TAAACACAAGGAAACGTTTTCAAAGGCAGAATTTCGAAATCGTCGGAATTACCTCCTTGTTATAATGTTAATGAAGTTTCGATTGTGTAAATTATCCTGACATTATAATCAAAAAGAGATGATATTTGACCAAAACCCATAATCATGGGTAGAGTGTACCGCTGCCAGTGTCTCTCTTTTCCAAACAAAAGGAAATGATATTAATTTGAGGAACCGTCCGCTAATGCAAATTGATACCGAGAATGAAATCGGTCGCTCGCTTTTCCCATTTAATAAGCTTTATTACAATTCGTAAGCCGTGAATGAATGGGAAAAGCGAGCGACCGATTTCATTCTCGGTATCAATTTGCATTAGCGGACGGTTCCTCAAATTAATATCATTTCCTTTTGTTTGGAAAAGAGAGACACTGGCAGCGGTACACTCTACCCATGATTATGGGTTTTGGTCAAATCACAATGCTGGCAAGCATTACCGTCGCCCTTATATTCACAATACTATTTACCCCCTATACTAGTATATCCCCTTTATTGTTTTCCAGGCATTAAGACTCATCGAAAGTAGTTCAGCAGGTACCTATATTTAAGTTCAAAACATTCTAATTCAATGTTAAAGATGACAGGAATAAGAAATGGTTATGTGGAGGTTTTTAAGAAATTTGCGCAAAATACGCGCCAGCATGTTATACGAAATTAGGTAAAAAACCCAAAATCGCCATATTCAGGTGCCTTAAAAACCATGTTAAAATTGAGTAAGAGATCTGAAACTTTGCAGGGCGTCTAGACCTTGTCCAAATCGACTGTAAAAAAAATTTCATGTTTCAGGAGTATCGGGAAGTGGGTTTTCTGGAACCCCTGTTTTACAACAGATTGTCGTGAAGTATAGTATAGACGCTTTTGCAGTCAATTTGCAGTCAATTGTAGCCTACATTTAAGTGTCCGTAGATTCAAAAGTATAAAAGATACAGTCAATTCGAACCACAGGTTTTGAAGATAATTGTTTATACTTTAGTTTGCATTATATCAAAAAATAATTTATCTTCATCATCATCACTTGATGACGTCATCAAATTAAGTGTTTTTAAAACTTGATTTTTGACAAAGTAACAACTTTTCAAATCGATTTTAAACCATTAAGGAGTAATTTTATTCAAAATCTGAGGACATTTTCACCTTAGATAATTGTTCAAGCATTTTGAAAATCTACCGGAAAAGTTTCTTACTTTGCTCCTTCATAAAGATATTCGCTATTGAAGTAAGTGCTTTTTTGAAGAATAATTTTATAAAAACACAAAAGTTGTGAATTAGTATTCTCTGGTGTTGGGCCATCCCTTGGGTTGTGGAGCTCAATTTTGCTTCCTAAAGGTCTAAATTGTGTTATAGGCTAGTTTTAAAGTGGAAATTCAAAAAGTTGCACACGTCGGGACACGCCCAATTTGATAGAAAATTGCTAAAATTACTGAAAATTGCTGTTTTCACCATTTTTATCAACTTTGGAGTCCCGTTGTGATCCAAGTTCTATATGAAATCTTCTGAAACTTTGCGTGCTTATTAAACTATATATAGAATACTGCTATGCAAAAATTTACGGTGATTCAATATTGTATCCGCACGCAACGTCCGCTCAAAGTTTGCACGTGCGAAAGGTGAGAATTTTGCTCATTCGTGATTTCGAATAAATTCTGCTTTCCCACGATATTTAAATGGCATTATATATGAATTTAATGCCAACTTGAATGAGTAAAAAGTGCCATATTCAGTCAGGTAAAATTTCGAAATCGATGAAATTACCTCCTAATTATTAATATAAATATTAATGAAGTTATGAGTTTACATTTCGGCTTTGTAAATTATCCTGACATTATAATCAAAAAGAGATGATATTTGACCAAAACCCATAATCATGGGTAGAGTGTACCGCTGCCAGTGTCTCTCTTTTCCAAACAAAAGGAAATGATATTAATTTGAATAACCGTCCGAAAATGCAAATTGATACCGAGAATGAAATCGGTCGCTCGCTTTTTCCAATCAATAAGCTTTATATTATAATTCGTAAGCCGTGATCGAATGGAAAAAGCGAGCGACCGATTTCATTCTCGGTATCAATTTGCATTTTCGGACGGTTATTCAAATTAATATCATTTCCTTTTGTTTGGAAAAGAGAGACACTGGCAGCGGTACACTCTACCCATGATTATGGGTTTTGGTCAAATAATATATATTATATATTATTATTATTTTCGTTTTCTTCTATAACATATAAATTGTTTTCTTCTCTACGATTCACTGATTCATGGGAAAGAGAAGTGAGAATCACGGTCCACCACCCTGAAATCTGATTTCTATAACCAAATTGTGATTTTTATAACGAAATTATGGTAGCAACCGACAATAAAGTTACAGCCCTCCATCCACTGCTTCAAAAGTCTTCTCTAGCACATATGAGACTTCAGGTAAAATATGATGATCACCACCCCCTTGGAACCCCATAATCTGAGTCGGCGGGTTTTTTTATGACTGGTAAAATTTTTGACCGGGAAAAATATGGCGGAATCTTCCAAAACCCACCACTTTATCCCGGTTATAATATTCCCGAGTAAGGTATAGTTTAGTTGGGAAGTTGGTAATGTAGCTACGCACGGTTAACGCACGGTTAAGGCACGGTTAAAGCACAGTTAAGGCACGGTTAAGGCACGGTTAAGGCACGGTTAAGGCACAAGGGTTACATAAGGCACGGTTGAGGCTAGGTCACTTAATATTATTCAGTATTATTCAGTATTTATTCTTCATTATTCAGTATTCATTCAGCATTCATTCAGCATTCATTCAGCATTCATTCAGTATTCATTCAATATTCATTCAGTTTTCATTCAGTATTCAGAACATCAATCGATGACTGCTAACAGACACCAAGCAAATAGTGTAGCAAAGTTCCAGCTGTTGTCCTGTTCACTTCAGAGACAATTAAATTTACGCAACACACACTTGACGGATGTTACTCGTCTAAATTTCTTCGAAGTAGCGCGCGCCGCTTTCTTCTCGAAATGTTAATGGCCCGATGGCAAGTGCTACGAAGTAGCGCGCGCCGGGCCAGATCATTAACAATGGTCAAAACACACACCTGAACGTTGAATAATGCTGTAAGTTGCAGCTGTTGTCCTCAGCTTCATCCCTTTATCAGTACACTTTACAGATGTCCTGATAGTACTCTCTATAAATTAAATTTCATATCAAACAGTCGTGAGTCAGTGTTACGTGACCGAGTACATTTTATATTTATTAGCTTCTGCATTCTGTTGACACCTATTTCTTTTAAGAAAACCACATTTTTATCAATTCACGTTAGTTTTATTTGGTTCTTAAATTAAGTAAATATCTGTCAAGTACAAACACAGCTGTTACCGTAACTTTACTATACAATGATGGTACAATCTTGGTAATATTAGTATTGAGTAACCGTCCTGAAAAGTACTTTCTCATTACGTTACCATATCAACAGTATTGTTGTTTAACGTGAACATATGTATACTATAATATACTTTAAACGGCCTTTGTAATTGCATGTGACGAACGTCATGTTAAATTGATACATCTGTATAGTTATATTACCTATAATTATATAGAGTTGAATTGATTGATGGGTTAAACTAGGTTAAAATGTGTACCATAATAATTTGTCATACGTTGTATGACCCGCCGCGCACGAAGTGCGCGGCTCCCCCTGTATCGTCGAAGACGATACTTCACTATAGTGAAGCGACAGTGGGGGTCACCACGTGATACAAATAATAATGTAATCACATAATTGGAGAACGACTCCGACTGGGATTCGAACTTGTACCCCTGCTAAAATTGTACTTGTAGCAGATTTATTTTAATTAGTCAACTGTGCTAAAGCTAAATGTGCCGCAATTTTTGGGGTAAATACAGCTCGAAAAACTCCCATTATACTATTAGTACTAGTACTGGCGGGTCTTGGAAGTCTTCGCCGCTTCGACGTGCCGCGCGAACTAGCATTCTTGCTTCGCATCGAAGATCGTTGGGTGACATCGTCAACCAATGGCGGGTCACACAACGTATGACTATGACAAGTATTTTGAACGAGTACGTAAAGTGTAAATGTACTTAATTGAAGATGTCAATTCTTTGTAGCTCGGCGAGGCCCAGTAGCGCATTTCGTCGATTTAACAAAGTTAGATCGGTTGTCAGTTGCGGTTGCGAGAAGCATTATTGAATAGAATGCGCGGCGCGGCCTAGTAACGCTTCGCGCTACAAAAACCAAAAATGTACTTAAATGTACCTGTGCTAAACTTGTCCGACACTAAATGTATTATTGTCTATTTTAATTTAAGCAACTACACATTTTATTAACAATGAATTTGATTTGGTTTTATTTGTACTCTTAAAACATAAAAGTAGCTGTAAGTCCGGGGGGCCGGGGGAGGGGTGTAGTGGTTTTGAAAATTCGGACACACCCGGACAGTGCAGGCCGCAGTGGGAGGGGGGGTCTAAAAATATGCGGTTTTGGCGGACGTCCTATTACTCTATTAGTAATGGCCCCTTATTATAATGAGGCTTATATAGCCTGATAGTGTATTTTGGTTTGACGGATGTTACTCGTCTAAATTTCTTCGAAGTAGCGCGCGCCGCTTTCTTGGCCCGATGGCAAGTTGTCATACGTTGTATGACCCGCCGCGCACGAAGTGCGCGGCTCCCCCTGTATCGTCGAACTCGAAGACGATACAGAGTGCAGTGTGGGTCACCACGTGATACAAATGGCAAGTGCTACGAAGCTAGTAGCGCGCGCCGGGCCAGACCATTAACAATGGTCAATATTTTGGTATATTTTGAAAAAGAGTAGCCTTAGGTTCTGGTTCTCAGCTAATTTACAGTTATTAATTGCCAGGGTGCTAATTACATTGTACATATTTATTCGATTTCATGATTGTTAATTATTGGATAGAAGATTTCACCATTTCACAGAGGACGAATGAAGAGATCGCTTGAACAGTAAATATCAAACTAACATTGAATGTTAAAGGAAGGTTCAACGTTCGATCGAACTTCATTTAAAGCAAGATAATATTTGATATTAATTGCGAACACGTACTATCATATTAAATATTAGTACCCGATTCAACGACTGTATCATGAATTAATCCGACCTTTCGATATTACAAAATTCATTTTCTTCTGATCACAATGAAAAAATATTCAGTGCAGGTCATTCAGCAATTATAATAACAAAAGCGCATTAAATTTGACTATCTGAAAATTGTATATTTGTAATAAGAACATGCTTACACTGGAAACAGTTGGCACAGCCAAGCTCATGCAACCCCTGCCGTACCACCTACCGTTATACACACATATTCAAAGGAGATTAAAAATCACACCATTTCAGCATGGAATAAATAATATGGAATATTCTGGAATTTTTGACAGTCCGTTACGGCTGCTGGTAACTGAATGTGCTGATATCTGATTAGTTCCACTGAGGGGTAGTGTGTCCTAGGTTTGCTTTGCGACTACTCTTTACTTTCTTGACGATAGCGTCAAGGAACTCGAGTTCGCTCTCGTTGATGTCCAGTCCACTTCTGGAAGAATCCTCAACTTGCATAGGGAGGCTGAAATACAGTGTATTAGCTTTAAGACAAAGCTATGCATGTATAATTTGAAACCATCAACAATGAGGATAAAATTGAAACATTTTATACCGATGCGATGGGCTAATAGAATGCTGAAGTGGAGTGAACCATAGTGACCCTTAGGCTGTGATCAACTATCAAGGTAGACAATGAAATTTGGGACTCCAATATCTTCGATCTGGGACAGAATTGTCCCTGTTTACTAGTCTGCGCCCCAGATCAAAGAATTTTGGGCGATATCGCCTGTTTAGCAAGGGTAATAAAATAAAACACAAGCTGCTAAAGTGCTTCTTACTGTGAATATTAAGAAACTAACCTCTGTCCGGGGGGAGGATTGTTGTACTGGTAACCGGATGAGTGGCTGTTGTAGCCCTGCTGACTCCCGTACCCGAACCCTTGCTGCTGTCCCTGCGTTTATATGGAGTGTCAAGAAACTGTACTTTTGTAAAACTCTATTTAGTATTAAGAATATGTGGGGTCACAATTTTGTACCTCACATTTGGTCACTCCTTCTTTAATAAATATTTTAAAATATGACTTTAAGCTACAGGTCATGAGATGATACTAACATAGGGGGGATAGTAAGAGCTGCTGTCTTGTCTGTAACCCCCGAATGGTTTAGCACCGGCTGGACCACCTCTCTCTGCACTAGCAAAATTTTCGTGTTCTCCAAACTTCTGTTTCTTGGCTGGTGGGTCCGGGATCGTTACGTTCAGAGGTGAATCCTTCATGAAGTGTTTTTGCTGAAAACAAAGTTTAGTAAAAGACGATGTTCTTAAGATTTGGTTGAGTGAAGTAACTTTGGGTGGTTTAATTGTTATGAGAATTCAACGAGAGAAAGAATTGTTCTCGATTTTGAGAGCTGTGACATATTATATTTGTTCATAATAATACTTGGGGCAGTCAAATCACAAGAACACTGCCCATTGACACAACTTGGCTGGATCAGGGCAATTTTAGGGGCCAGTCTTTGTTGAGTTGTATCTAACCTTGAGTACGACCTCAGCATCGTCCCCTTTCTCAAAAGTAATGAAAGCGAACCCTCTGTGTGGGCGAGGAATGTAGACATCTGCTAACGGTCCAAACGTGGAGAAATATTCTTTCAGATCTTCTTCGTTAGTTCTGGGATAGTGTATTAGTTGAGTCCTGCTACCAGGTCAATTTGAACAAACACTCTTTATTACCGTGTATTAAACAAGTAACTTACCATTTAGCTTGGCCTTAACTATCCGTCAGCTTCAAACAAAATCCTTCAAACCACTCCCTACAATACACGGAGTCTCTTAATTTCCAGAAACGCGCGCATTATCTTCAAGTGGCAAACAGAGCGCTGACATTGAAACTTTTCAAAACAAAATAGCAAAATTTTTGGCACACTTGCTGACAATTTCTACTCTACCGATAAAAACAAGGTGTTAAATTGCACTTTTGACGCTAATTTGAGAGGCTTCTTCCGCCGGAGAAGGCTTTAATATCTTTACTTAACACCAACTTCCCTATCCTTCACACAGTCAGTCAATAACAGATACTTATTCACCTGTTAACACTCCTCTGTGCCACTGAGATAAGGCTAACCACGCAGTCCATTTATATCCGCCACAGAACTTACACATTTATCATAATGAATACACAACAAGCACCGACAATATCCACAGCTTTAAAATATGGTTCATAGCGGAGGTAGCCATGCATTAATAATAAATCCAATATTTTTATCAGGTTAATTTAATCTCACTCTTGAATATCAAAAATCTAAATTTTATCGGGATCTTCGTCCGCGGAGAAAATCTCCGGCACCTGCATAAAACTTGGGGTGAACTTTTAACCGATGCGACTAATGATAACACACAAAGCCGGAACCGCTGCATGGCTACACTCCGCACAATATACACGTGTTATAGAAACTGTGGCTGTCTCACTCACCCTCTGGGTAGCCTGCCCACAAAGAGTTTTCTCTCGGGCTCAGTCCTCTTCGGGATTCGCACCTCACACTTCCTGCCAGTTATATTGTGGTACGTTTCGTTCATTACCCGCTTGGCTGACTCATCGCTCACAAAACTTATAAAACCGAACCCTCGCGAGTTTCCACTGTAGTCTTTCTTTATCTAAAATGAGATATTCGTTTTTAATTGGACGGTGTGTGTAGAGAGCATGCGGTGAGAACATGGGGGCAAACAGAGGCATTTAAGAAATGTAGGCTGTACACATATCCACATGCACTTGTCCCCGTATCATATTATACTCGCCCCGTTCACAATCTTTAATCTGACATCACTAACATGATGGTCTCGACATGCAGTCTCTATCACTGTCATCATTGGATTTTCTCAGTTTTATTGCAAAACTCTCTTATAATTCCATCTTAATCAGTGCCTTCTTTTCGGAGAAAAATGATTCGCAATCACCCATATAATAAATTGTTTGGGTAAAGTTAAAAAGAAGTTCTGACATGACTCAGCTCCTGTCACAGATAACTTACTTCGCAAGATTTTATTTTAACTTACCTCGCAAGATTTTATTTCTCCGTAACCTTCAAAGTACTCTTTGACATCAGCCTCAGTAGCCTTGTAGCTTAGCCCCAAGATTATGAGGTCTCCCAGTTTCTCTGATGTAACGCCGCTACTCACTTTCTTATTCTGAGAGGAATGTTTGTAACATTCCTTCATCCAACATTTTTACATACAACTTTATCAAACCACTCAATCTGACATTATATACACTTTTCACATTAACTAGTCCGTTAGTTTTAAATATGACACTGCACAAAACTCATTGTGTATTAGTGACCAGTATTTTAAAATTTGGCACCAAACAAATATCATTTCTTTCTGGTAGCGGTTACAGACAAAAACATCAACAAAAACAGAAAATTAGAATAAAACTCAACAACAAAAACAGAAAATTTGAATAAAACTCAACGACATACCTCACTCTCAATCTTCCCTCCCTCTTCTTCTCTTGTTCTTTTCTCTGAAAACGGGATAATGTTCACGATAATCAGGAAAAAAGTAACTATTTTCCTAAATTTCACAGCTATGTGCCAGCAATTTCCACAATTTACATGGCAATAAAACCGAATTCGTGGTTGTTGCTTTAAAATGATCAAAACAACGGGAGATTGTGCTCAAACAAATTGTCAAGACCAAACCACGGTGAAGCCAATCTTACGAGTGTTCTGGGAGTACTCTTTAATAAATGTTTACACATTGTACATGTAGAACACAGGGCATTGTTCAGTGTCAATGTTATGTTGAATGTATATTAACCGCACTACTCATCTACAAGTGTGTATTATAAAGTTAATTTTCATAACCAGAATTAGTAAGTCTGCTACGTTATCAGCCTGCCCCAACTTGACACGTTGCCAGCTAGCGTAACGTGAAGTTTTACTGTATTTACTGATCAGTAATCGTGGTGGAAGTAACAAAGGTTTCCGTTACACTAAATATCAACTGTACAATAGAATACACAATGAGAGCTAAGTGTGTGTTAAGGTTTTTTTTTTACAAATGTCTCAGACCCATAGCTAGATCTGTGAATTTTAGGCAGACCCACTCGACAGCGGCCAAATTTTGCGCATTATGAGCCCCAAGCCCGATACCCACTTTGCCTCCCAATTATATTATCATCTCGTAACTTCATAATGAAGGTTCCGTTATTCATTTAAAGATTAAGTTTTTTCGATTCTGGGCACGTAGCCCGACACGACACGTAGCCGGGGCGAAGCTCCTTTGGTTGGCTAGGGAGGGGGGAAGGCGCAGCCCCCCAGAAAATTTTTGAGAAATTATGTGTTTTAGACGACATTTGGCATTAAAGAAATTTGTAGGACAGTAATAATCAGACATCACAATAATACAAAGTTGGGGGGCTAGGGGGGCGCAGCCCTGGCCTTCGGAAAATTTTTGAGAAATAGGGTGTTCCAGACGACATTTGTAGGACAGCAATAATCAGACATTACAATAATACAAGGTTGGTGGGCTGGGGGGCGCAACCCCCGGAAAATTTTTGAGAAATAGGGTGATTCAGACAACATTTGGCATTAAAGAAATTTGTAGGACAGCAATAATCATACATCAGAATAATATACAGTTGGTGGGCTAGGAAAGCGAACCCCCAGGAAAATTTTTGAGAAATAGGGTGATTAAAACGGCATTTGGCATTAAAGAAATTTGGGGACAGTAATAATCAGACATCACAATAATATAAAGTTGGGGGGCCGGGGGGGGCGCAGCCCCCCAGAAAATTTTTGAGAAATAATGTGTTTTAGACGACATTTGGCATTAAAGAAATTTGTAGGACAGTAATAATCAGACATCACAATAATACAAAGTTGGGAGGCTAGGGGGGCGCACCCCCCGGAAAATTTTTGAGAAATAGGGTGATTCAGACGACATTAGGCATTAAAGAAATTAGTAGGGCAGTAATAATCAAACATCACAATAATATAAAGTTGGTTGGCTAGGGAGGGGGGGGGGGGCGCAGCCAATCAGAAAATTTTTGGGAAATTATGTGTTTTAGACGACATTTGGCATTAAAGAAATTTGTAGGACAGTAATTATAATCAGCCATCACAATAATACAGAGTTGGGGGGCGCAGCCCTGGCCTTCGGAAACTTTTTGAGAAATAGGGTGTTCCAGACGACATTTGTGGGACAGCAATAATCAGACATTACAATAATACAAGGTTAGTGGGCTGGGGGGGCGCAGTAATAATCAGACATCACAATAATATAAAGTTGGGGGGCTGGGGGGGGGGGGCGCAGCCCCCAAGAAAATTTTTAGAAATTATTTGTTTTAGACGACATTAGGCATTAAAGAAATTTGTAGGACGGCGATAATACAAAGTTGGGGGTGCAGCCCCCGGAAAATTTTTGAGAAATAGGGTGTTTCAGACGACATTTGGCATTAGAAATTTGTAATTTCAGACATCACAATAATACAAAGTTGGGGGCTAGGGGGGAACTCAGTACTTGTCACATTGAATGGAATAAGTACATATTGTATAGTGGGATTTGGGAATAATTTACGAAATGCTAAAGTCGATTGCCTGTCGTGTCGTTTAATCAAACAGTCATAAACACAGCCCACTTACCAGGCGACCATGGGGACTAGGGGGCTTATTTTTTTGGGGGTTCAATTTTTTTTACGGGGGTCTTCCCCTTGGCTACGTGTCTGCATTCTAGTTGCCAGACCCACTCTATTAGAGTGCAGACTCAACATTTTGGTTGCCAGACCCACTATTCTAGAGTCCAGACCCACAATTCTGGTTGTCATATCTCCTATATTCTAGTTCATAGACCTCCAATTCTGGTTGACAGAGTGAAGAATTACCTTTCTGGTTGCCAGATTCACTCTTCTAGAGAGGAGACCCACTCTTCTAATTCTAGTAGGTATAGAGTCAAGACCCACTATTCTAAAATGCAGACCCACCATTCTGGTTGCCAGACCCACTCTTCTAAGGCGAAGACCTACCATTCTGGTTGCCAGCCCCACTCTTCTAGAGTGTAGACGCACCATTCCGATTGCCAGACCCACTATTCTTGAGTGAAGACCCACCTTTCGGGTTGCCGGACCCACTATTCTAGACTCTAGACTCCAGACGCACAATTCTGGTTGCCATATATCCTATATTCTAGTTTAGACCCCCAATTCTGGTTGACACTTGACAGAGTGTAGACTTACCATTCTGGTTGCCAGACCCACTCTTCTAGAGTGAAGACCCACTATTCTAGAATTCTTACCCACCATTCTTGTTGCCAGACCCACTCTTAGCTAGAGTGAAGACCCACTATTCAAGAATTCTGACCCACCATTCTTGTTTCCAGACCCACTACCCTAAGGTGCAGACCCATCATTCTGATTGCCAGACTCACTCATCTTGATTCCCTTGATTGCAGACCCACTATTCTGGTTGCCAGACCCACTCTTATAGATTGCAGACACACCATTCTAGTTGCCAGACCCACTCTTCTAAAGTGTAGACCCACCAGACCTATTATTCTAGAGTGAAGACCCACCATTCGGGTTGTCCAAACCCACAATTCTGGTAGCCATATCTCCTATATTCTAGTTTATAGACCCCCAAATCTGGTTGACAGAGTGTAGACTTACCATTCTGGTTGCCAGGCCCACTCTTCTAGAGTGAAGATCCACTATTCTAGAATGCAGACCCGCAATTCTGGTTGCCAGACCCACTATTCCAGATTGTAGACCCACCTTTCTGGTTTCCAGACTCACCCTTCTAGGGCGAAAATCCACCATTCTGGTTGCCAGACCCACTCTTCTAGAGTGTAGACGTACCATTCTGATTGCCAGACCCACTCTTCAAGGGTGCAGACCCACATTCATGTTGCAAGACCCACTTTTAGATTTCAGACCCACTATTCTAGCTGCCAGACTCACTTATAGATTGCAGACCCACCATTCCAGCTGACAGACCCACTCTTCTCAAGTGCAGATCCACCATTCTGGCTGCAAGACCCACTTCTAGATTGCAGACCTACCATTCTAGCCGCCAGACCAACTCTTCTCAAGTGTAGACCCACCACTCGGGGTGTCAGACTCACTCTTCAAGGGTGTACGTACACCCACCATTCTGGTTGCCAGACCAACTTCTAGATTGCAGACCCACCATTCCAGCTGCCAGACCCACTCTTCTCAAGTCCAGACCCACCACTCGGGTTGTCAGACCCACTCTTCAAGGGTGTACGTACACCCACCATTCTGGTTGCCAGACCAACTTCTAGATTGCAGACCTACCATTCCAGCTGCCAGACCCACTCTTCTCAAGTGCAGACCCACCACTCTGGTTGTCAGACCCAATCTTCAAGAATGCAAACCCATCATTCTGGTTGCAAGACCCACTTTTAGATCGCAGACCCACCATTCTAGCTGCCAGACCAACTCTTCTCAAGTGTAGACCCACCACCCTGGTTGTCAGACCCACTCTTTAAGGGTGCAGACCCACCACTCTGGTTGTCAGACCCACTCTTCAAGGGTGTACGTACACCCACCATTCTGGTTGCCGGACCCACTTCTAGATTGCAGACCCACCATTCTAGCTGCCAGACCCACTCTTCTCAAGTCCAGACCCACCACTCGGGTTGTCAGACCCACTCTTCAAGGGTGTACGAAAACCCACCATTCTGGTTGCCAGACCAACTTCTAGATTGCAGACCCACCATTCCAGCTGCCAGACCCACTCTTCTCAAGTCCAGACCCACCACTCTGGTTGTCAGACCCACTCTTAAAGGGTGCAGACTCACCATTTAGCGGCCAGACCCACGCTTCTCAAGTGCAGACCCACCACTCTGGTTGCCGGACCCACTCTTCTAGAGTGAAGACTCATTATTCTCGAATGCAGATCCACAATTCTGGTTGCTAGACCAACTTCTAGATTGCAGACCCACCATTCCAGCCGCAAGAACCACTCTTCTCAAGTGCAGACCCACCATTCTGGTTGTCAGACCCACTCTTCAAGGGTGTAGACCCACAATTCTGGTTAACAGACCCACTTCTAGATTGCATACCCACCATTCTAGCTGCCAGACCCACTATTCTCAAGTGCACACCCACCACTCTGGTTGTCAGACCACTCTTTAAGGGTACAGACCCATCATTCTGGTTGCCAGACCCACTTTTAGATTGCAAACCCACCATTCTGGTTGCCAGACCCACTTCTAAATTGCAAACCCACCATTCTAGCGGCCAGACCCACTCTTCTCAAGTGCAGACCCACCACTCTAGGCAACAGGGGTGAATAATATCAACAAATAAAGATTGTTTAATTTTTGAAAAAAATTTCTCGTCATGTGACAACCCTTCCCAACCCCCCTCAACCCCCTACCCCTCCCCCCTAAAAAACTCATCGGATTTTTGCTTCCCGCGAACATGATTTTTTCTGAAAATTTTTGTCAAGCCAGATCTGTAAATCTATCAAATATGTAAAAAAAAAACCTTAGTGTGTGTAAAGAGTCATTGTGTTGTATGCAATGAGAGGAGTTTACTTTCAGTTACTGATTATCAGCTATATTATATCTAAACATCAGGGTAGATTTGAGATACATGGAGTTATAAGCGTTTATAGCTGACACTATTTTTATGTAAGTACATAAGTGAGTAAGGTGCTTTCTTGATAGATGTGGGCCTATCAAATGAGGGTTTTATTATTTAAAAAGTAAGTATTTTAAACCTTATAGGGAATGATTATTGCGATTGAACTGAGCCCCGGCCTTTCATACAAAATAATATGGCTTCAGTAGTCACAGTATGCGTACCCTCTTGTAATAGTAAATAGAAACCTGACTGCAGCATTGAGTTAAAGTGATTCACAAAGGGCATGTCCAGTAGAAGCGTGTAATTGATCCACAAAAGGTGCTATTGACTTACACCGGACATCTACATTCCAGAGTCCATACTAAGTTCAAACAGCTCTATTCTCTAATAAATGACAAGTACAACATCAAGAGTAACAATCAGTAATATGTAGTTATTAGGAGGTTACTTACTGTCCATTACAACGATAAATGTGAGTCCTTCCCAGCCTTGAGGGGGTGGGTACAGTTTCCCATTCTCGTCTGAAGATAACGCAATTATTAATAAGTAGCTAATTATCAATTAGTTAGCAATTATCGATCAGCGCAGTTTTTCATTTAATCAATCGTAGTAAAGTAAAATGCCGTTATTTAAATGTTCTCCCCACAAAATACACACCCATTTTAAGAGCTCTCATTCGTCCAGTATCAGGTGCCCTAAATCTGAGCCCCACTGCATTAGCAAACTGAGACTGAACTACTTTTATATCACATGTCCTATCTTCTTCTAATGGTATCTCAATTCCCTGCAAGAGATTAGGAGTTAATATATATGCAGGGTGGGCCAAAAGTCACTGGGCATACGTTGGCCTTAATAGCTCAATCACTGAGTGACCAATTGAAATAATTCTTTCTGGTACGACTTACTACCACCACTGGTTCGAGGAATTTGTCAAATCGAAAAATATTCGAGTTCATTTTTTTATAAATGAAGGTTCAATTTTTTCATTTATTTGATAGTTTGGATCGAGCTAAATTTTATTGAATTGTGTTTGGCCATTCGAATTACGTTTGTCCTGAAAAAAATTAGAGTTGTAGCTTCTCAGATGGCCGAGATACGAAGCATAACGAGTTTATTCATTACGTGTGATCAGGTCATTGGCTTACCTGATCACGTGATAAGGTCACCCTGTTAACCACCCCATTAAACATTATGGGAATCATTAAGGCTGCCCAATTAAGGTGTCGTGTCACGGTGTCACATAATCACCCAGTCAATTTTGTTAACGAGATACACAAAATGCTTGATAACTTCGTCATTTCTAATGTGTTTCACGTCATTTTTTCAGATCAGATGCAACATTTAATAATCTACCGTCTCTGAAAAAATCAGGCATCCAGCATGTTCAGAAAAAACAATATAGGTGTTTTAATTTTGAATGGGCGTGGTCTAAAATATTCGAATTTTCAAATTTTGACGACGGAATCGTCGAACCAGAATGTACAGTATGCTATCTGCAAAGCAACAGCTCTCAAATATAAAACACGGCGGAGCTATTAAGGCCAACGCATGTCCAGTGACTTTTGGCCCACCCTGTATATATATAGCTTATTTAAGTAGATATTTTTAATTATATTATCGATCCAATGTTAATCTACAGAGAATTGTGTTTAATTTAATTTTAGTGATATAGTGGAAGATGAGTTTCGTAACAATTTTGAGAATCTCGCGACACCAGCTGAGATTTTAATAACAATAGACGATCCATTTAATTAAACGTAAATCAATTTCTAGGGTCTCATTAAATTAGTTTAAATTCAGTCTCCTTGTTTTTAACGCGCAATAAGAAGTTCCCTTGTTCTTGGTAGAATTTGTATTTTAAGTCTCAGTTTCTAACAGAAAATGTCAGGACTCAACGTTTTTCTATTGATAATCATTTTTTCCTCGTCCAACGCGAGGAACAGTGATGATATCTACAAAAGAGCTGTTAAAGACAAGAAATTAATGCTGTCACTTTACCAAGAGCACCTGCCACAAGATATGAAACAGCACGGAACTGACCGATTACAAAACGTTCTGAGGTTCAAACTATTTGAGAGCAGTGTCCAGGAAGTGATAGAGATAAACAGCAGGCAGGACGGTTACGAAGTGGACATTAACTTCATGTCATATCTGACAGGAGAGGAGAAGATGCGGTACACTGGATTCAACGCTAGTTACCTGGCTCAGGCCCCTGTTTCTACCTCACATTTAGTCAGCTCTGCTACAGAGATTAACTGGGTGGGCTCAGGTCACGTGACGTTTGTACAGGATCAGGGAATGTGCGGTTCTTGCTGGACATTCGCAGGAACTGGACCGGTGGAATCCAGGTACGCTCTCCAGACGGGAACTTTGAAGAAGTTCTCAGAGCAGGAATCCTTGGAATGTGTGTACGATAAAAACGAGAAGAATGGGTGTAAAGGCGGACAATACTTCCACCAGTGGGACTGGATCAAGACAAAACAATCCCAGAGTTCCGCAAGTGACTACCCGTATAAAGGACGGATATTCAGTTGTAGGAGTGGGTGGTTCAAGAACCAGTTCACTAACGCCAAGTTGACAGGATTCAAGAGAACAGAGGCTAACTACGGGGCGATGGAGGGAGCACTTAACTCAGGTCCTTTAGCAGTCGGACTGAAGACATCTAAAGAGTTGTTTCAATACAAAAGAGGAGTGTTCCTCAAGGAGGAGTGTGGGACCCCCGCAAACCACGCCGTTGTAGCTGTCGGGTACACCCCCGCCTACTTCTTACTTAAGAACAGCTGGGGTGAGCGATGGGGAGAGAGTGGGTTTGTGAAGTTCTCCAGAGCAGTGGAGAACATGTGTGATGTAGCGCTGTGGGCCGCATATCCTGTGTTAGAGAGAACTGGGGAGGCGATTGATACTGACACGTGTTCAGATAGTAGGGGGGATTGTGAGGAACTAAAAGGGGACTGTGGTAACGGGATCAACTGGAAGATCATGGCAACAGGTTGTGCTAAAACCTGCGGTATTTGTGGTTGTAGAGACGCTATGGAGGACTGTGGAACATGGGCAAGAGAGGGGTACTGCACAAAACCCAACTACAAGGAATACATGGGATATTACTGTCCACTGAGCTGCAGAAAGTGTGATGTTCATCCAAAAATAGAGTCTGAACAAGACTGCGAGGATACAGACGAAAAGTGTGAATCTTACAAGAGACAGAACTATTGTGAGAGGTTCCCCAAGTTCATGTCCACCAGATGCAGGAGGAGTTGTGGACAGTGTGGGGAGGAGGAAGAGACGTGTGAGGAGATGGGACTAGTGCTCTGTCACGGAGAGTGCCGACATGCTCACATGTGCTGATTAGGATCTGATTTTTGTTTTCGCTTGATCTTATCAAGTAGTTAAAACCGTTTTGAGCAAGGTTATTTAGAATTTGAGTTAATTTATTTTGTGAAAATGTCAACAAAATTTTCAAAAACTTACTTCGTCGTCAGCGTTTTCTTCGTTTGGTGCAACAAACACAACTCCTGGATCCATTACTGCAGCTAAAAGTCAATGATTTGTTACTAAATTCCAAGGGTAGGTTTAAGATATAATCAGCTACTAAAGCGAGCTAATTCTGAATAACTATGATGAACATAACGTAACTGAGAAATGAACTAGTTGAGTTTCAGTACGATTTACACTTCAATAACGAAAATTTCATCGAGGTGACAATTTGCTTGTGTTAAGTGAGCATTGAGACGCAGGAAAATTGGTGGCCATGGAATAAACTTCGCCATAATTATTAATCATATTCAAGAAAAGAAATAACTTATAATTAAACTAAGTTAACAAAGATTTCATTCGTTCAAACGGTAAAACAAGATGTTAATATATCGAAAATCGCCTAAAGTTATTACAATTATATCAAAATGGCTAAAATAAAATGCTTTAACTTACTCCGGAAAACGAAGAGTAATAAAAACCTTCTGCGGGAATAGGACAATAGGCCAGGGTGTTAAAAATGGAATATCCATTAAGTACTCCGAAACCGAGTGTACCAGTGTTCCTGTTCATCTACTCAGTTTTAGACTTCTTAGCCATTTCCTCCTTGATAGCAGCTATTCTTTCCAGGATTGGGGGATGAGAGTAGTTGAATGTTGAGAACATCTTGTCGGCCATTGGGAAGCTCAGGTTATCTGTCACTAGCTTTATCAATGAGCTTTGTAACTTCTCTCCCTTACCGAGTCCAACAGCAAATCTGTCAGCTTGGAACTCGAAACATCGCGTGATGTAGATGGATACGGCTGACATAACTCGGTTTAAAGGACTGAAGATGAACTGGAAGATAACCAGAAGTGAGATTAGAGTAGGTTGCTCTTCAACAAACCCAAAGTCAGCTAACATCTTCTTATTCTTTACGAGAAGGCCGAAAGTGTAGAACATGCCCAGGATTAAGAACTGGTTAAGAATCATTGGTTTCCAGACGTGACCGTGATACCAGTGACCAAGTTCATGACCCAACACGGCCACAACCTCCTCCTGGCTACAACCCTTCTTCTTTCCTGTCGTTACAGTCTCCTCTTCACCTGGAAACTCGCGCTTGTTACCGTCTGCGTCCAATCCCAACATGGGATTACAAGTGTCGTCTAGTAGTGTGTCGAACAGTACGATTCTTTTATTCTTGAAGAAGCCGTAAAAGAATGCATTGCTGTGAGCAGATCTTTTAGAGCCGTCGACCACAAACAACTTGGTGAGAGGGAAGTTGATACTTTTAGCCAGGTCAACAATAGCAGTGCGGAGAGGGGAATCAGGGACGGGGGTGTACTTGTCAAACAGTGGCGCAATGAAGTCCATGTATACGAAGAAAATAGCCATGGTGAAAAGGAAAGTGAAGCCCCACGCGTATATGAAGAAATAATCCCCACCCCATTTTATCAGCCATATTAATGGTGTGACCATTATAGTGGTTATAAGTTGACTTACCGCCATCTTCTTGAGGGAATCTTTGAAGTAGAATCCCATCGTCATTTTGTTGAAACCATGCCTTTCTTCGATAACAAACGTGCTATACAGTGACCAGGGTAGATGTACAACGAAGGACAGGATGGTGGTCTGAAGGAGGAACATGTTGGATTGAATGAGCTCATCAGTGTACCCCAAACTTTCAATACTTTTACCAGAAAAGTTCCACAGCTTGGCCAGGAAGAATGTAAGAGTGATGGCTAATAATTCTAACTCGTGATAGGCGTCTTGGAGGATACCGAAGTTGATCTTTTCCAAGCTGTATAGACGAGATTTCTTGTACGTTTCTTCATCCATCAGTTTCTGGACGTCTTCATTGGCAGTCCGATTTTCTTTTACGGTTCTCCTCTGACGGAGAATGAGGTATAGATCCCAGAAGAATTCGGCCGTAACAAAACCCAGACTCCAGTGCATGTAGTTAATGTCAACAAGCATATCCTTCAACATATCCAGCATACAACATATCCCCATCATGTTTAACTGTCAAATAACAAGTGCAACAGTACACGGTACAGAGCAAGGACTGGGCTAAATGTATTTTGGATATAAAATAGAGTCTTCGCGCTTGACACTATCGCTCGATTTTATCCATCTCCAAAACGATTCCTTGCACAGCGCATTATCTGCGCGGCGTAAGTGGATTGTCGTTACATATATTTTTGTTAAATTGATAAATTTTGAAGTTAAATTTAGATTTTTGTAATTTAATAATAACACGTAAATGTATCAAATAATATATTTATGAGTTAAAGTTAAATAAAACCTAACTATTTAAGATCGATTTAAATTATTCTGATAACTACTATTTCCGCGCCGCGCTTGACAAATTTATCTTTTTGCTTATAAGTTCTTATTGAGCGAATGACTTTCGAATGTGTGCGGAGGGCTACCCACCTGACTTTCGCGCGCAATACTGTCTTCCTTTCCTTAGTAGACCTTTCCTTAGTTATTCACCAGTTTGCCAGGTTTCGAAGACTGGTTATATTTCTATGCAACTGACCGCCATGAATGCTGTAGAATTGAACAAAGTTCTCGAGGCAACTGTCTCAGTTGGTACGTAGTTAGCAAATGTTGTTCTTATTTGATTTTATTGCCGCGTTATACCGAGATTTACTGGATTAACACAGAGTTTTATACCATCTGCCCTGTTTTACTGAATTGTACTTTCACTGTATTTGCTGAAGAACGTGCATTTGGTTTGGGAAGAAATTAAACTTAGTTGCTATTGTTCCAGTCCAGATTATTTGAACTATTCTAACCTCAATAATTATTAAAACGATGTTGATGATCCTCCAGTTGAATCTGACACAGCGACTTTTCAGATATTGTTGCCTTGCAAGCGGCCCAAAAGTACCTCGAAAGTGCTGCTGCTTCTAACCTTGTAAGTTATTTTTCCAAGCCAACACTCGTGACCTGTGAATGGAGTGTATGAAGGGAGCCAAGTTCAGGGATCCCCTTGTCTTAGCTCGCTCGTTGGTTCAGATACTTGATTGATTATTTTGCAACATACTAGTAAAATTTAAAAAAAGATTTTCGACAGAAAAGCCTACTGGTTAAACCTCCTTTATAATTGAACCAACATGATTAAAAAATACTCATCTCACTGCATTTTCTAATTTAGCTATAATCATCTCAGGAGTTGTTATTGGTAGAGTTATCTAACCTGTTGTCAAATGCGGGCCAGTCTGAGAATGTCCGTAAAGCTGCAGCCATCCAGCTTAAGAACTACCTCACTAGCAAAGATGAGACTGTCAAAGTGCAGTACCAACAGAGGTGGCTCACTTTTGACGGCAACAACAAGCTCGGTATTAAAACTAACGTAAGTTCTTTAATCTAGATTAATTTTTAGATTTCATAGAGTTAAGTTCGAACGATATCAATATTGAAACCCAGATTAATATTGATTGTAGCTTACACTACCTACACTGCACTGATAAACCAAGCAAGGAGAGTTGGAAGGTTTATCAATCCTAATCTATTGACAAATATTTCAGATACTGCGGACACTTGGAACAGAGTCATCCCACCCTTCCAATGCTGCCCAGTGTGTTGCAGCAATCTCCCAGATAGAGCTTCCTCTTAATCAGTGGCCCGATCTCATCCAGATACTTGTTACAAACTGTACAACTCCTAATGCTCCCGATCCATTGAAGGAAGCTTGCATTGAAGCCCTCGGATACATAGTAGAGGACATTGTGAGTATTCCTTACTTCCTTAGCACGTTGTTTCTTTCAAATGGTTCAAGTTGTGTTGCCATTTAGATATTTCTGGGCTTTACGTTGAACCTTAAATTTCACTTTCACTCTCTAAGCTGATTTAGAACTAGATGAAATTAAGAATATGTGCATTTCTCGAGTGATTATTACCTTGCCTTTGCTCTCTCTGAAATACCGACTTCATTTATTCTGCAGCGTGAACAAAATTTGACTGCCAGAAAGTTCACCGCCGGCTGCAACTAGTCAGTCATATTCTTTCCAAATACGAAATGTTTTTGACAAATCTCGGGTTCCGCCATGTCGAAAATGGCAACAATAGAATAAATTTACCGGAATTTTTTGTCAATTTTGGCGACGATGGATGACGTAAATGGCATACAATTTTTCGTCATGGATGGTATAAATTCCAGAATGGCAAGATATGTTTCGCTATTAAAAAGTAGATGGCAAACATTGCGTTGGAACCATCCATCTTTGGTTTGGTTCCGGTTAATCCTTTAGTTTTTAAACTATCTGAATTAACTTGTATTCAGCCAAGTTATGTTAACTAGCACACGTTTGCTGAGGTTCCAAACTTACACGAAATACGTTTTTCTGACAGTAGCATTGTGTTTAACGTGCGATGACTTAACATGTATTTTTTTATCTGGTATTTTATACACATCTACTGATAACGAAATGACTATAGTCTCTGCTAAAAATTTAGAAACTCCTTCCAGTTACCTTATTTGAAAATACTTAAAAAGATAAGGCTATAATTCATGTCACTCGCGATTAAATATGAAATCTTTTTGAAGCCAAGATTTTCATAAGAGTGGGTTTCGTTGGTTGCCAAACAAAACACCTGGTTTTTCCATCAATTAACGAGTTTCATAATGCTAATCTGATTTAGATCAGTTCCAAAAGATGCATCTGCTCACGGGATAATATCACACCTGCAAATACAATGATTTAATACAGTGATTTAATACTTGTAAAGTTGATGCAGTATTGGCCATTGGGCATACACTTAGTCGGTTGTGTTGTATGATTTCATTGCAGGCTCTTGTGCACTAATTATTGCGAATACAACATTTTGCCAGGATTTGGATCGGGAAAAGCGAGAAAAAATTGTAATATTTTTCTAAAGGAATTTTTAATATTACAGTGAACGGCTCTGCAATAATTGTAATCTAAATTTTGAAAATAATTGTGTAGCCTCCCTCCCAGATAAGAAGGCGTGTCTCGTTCTTCAACACAAGGCCATAATTTATATGTACAATCTTCGTAATTTACATCACATTGTAATTGAAGATATGTTTGGAGATATCATTCCGGTCTAATTATCACTTCTCTCTATTTCAAACCTAAGAAAGTGACTCCCAGCTTTATGGAATTGTACCGCTATAATATTTCCGGCAGCAGATTACAGCCGGGTGAGCTCTCACGATATCATACATACATGTTACATGGTAAGGTCTCCTCCTAGTCGTTGGAGTGGCCTGCATCACACACATCTCGTTGGCGGCGTAACATATGTCTCCACTGTACTCGGTTGGTAGCCAAAGCTTCTGTTGTGTCGTTGTCGATGTTTTCAACACCTGTAAACTTAGCAGCATCTTCGAGTACGCAGGACTTCCAGTTCTTACGGGGTCTGCCCCTTGACCTCTTTCCATAATTTGGCTTCCAGTTCAACAGAAACCTCGGTAGTCTAGAGTCTGGCATTCTAACTACATGTCCATACCAACGTAGCCTGGCAGCACTGATGAAAGTCTCAACTGACTTGATGCCAGCCCTCCTAAGAACTTCGTCGTTGGTCACATGAAAGAACCATTTAATCCTAAGGATCCTTCTCAAGGAGGTTTGATGGAAAACCTCGAAGCGTTTCATCTGCTTTTTGGTGGTGTTCCAGACTTCAGCTCCATACAACAAGATGGTGAGGACAGCAGCCCTATAGATCCTGATCTTGGTTGGAGTCTTTATAGTTCTGCTATTCCAAATGTTCCAGAGCTGATGAAAGGCGCCATTAGCCTTCTGGATACGGACATCCAGGTCTCTGTTGATTGTCCCATCCCCACTGATAGTTGCACCCAGGTAGACAAAGTTGCTAACCTGCTCGACGGGTTCACCCTCAACCGACAGCTCAATACAATCATCCTTGATGAAAGGTCGCTGGGAGGCGCACTTGCTTACAGCCATGCATTGGGTCTTCTTTGCATTTATTCTGAGCCCAGCGTAGGAGCTGTAATGAACTAATAGATCAGTTGATTCCTGTAGGCCTTCCCCTGAGTTGTCCATAATAGCCATGTCATCAGCATAATCGGTGTCCAGAATGACCTTTTCCTCGACCGTCTTCATCTCTTTCTGCAGCACTGCGCCTTGACTGATGATCTTGTTGGTCTCAGCCAGAAATGCAGAAAAGTTTAGGCAGAAATTAAAGACAGGAGGTGCTTGAATGTCACCCTGACCTGTGCCTGAGTTAACATCAAACCAGTCTGTCAGCTCCCCATTAACCCTCACGGCACTCATGGTACCCCCAAAAAATGACTGAAATATTCTGACATATTTTTCAGGCAGCCCATAGTGTCTCATACTGCACCAAATAAAGTCCCTTCTGATAGAATCGAACGCTGCCTTGAAATCCACAAAATTAATGTAAAGAGGAATGTTAAACTCAAGACAGTTATGAATAATAGTTCGGAGAGAATAAATCTGATCAATACATGAGCGGTTCTGTCTAAATCCGCACTGATTCTCCCTGAGGAGACACTCCATACCAGCATGTAACCGCTTAAGAAGAATCATCTGAAAAAGCTTGGATGCTGTAGACCTTAAGGTGATCCCTCTGTTGTTCCCGCAGACTGAAGTGTCTCCTTTCTTCCCAATAACAATGATCACACCCTTTAACCAATCTTCAGGAACAGTCTCTTCTTCCCACACTTTCTTGAATAGACACTCTAGTTGATCAACTAGAGCACTCGCACCATACTTCAGTTGCTCGTTAGTTATCCCGTCCACTCCTGGGCTTTTGTTGTTCTTAAGCTTTGTCAGGGAATAACTAATCTCGTCTCTGGTGGGTGGTCCATCCGAACAAGAGAGAGAGTTAAAGTGGGGTTGGGGTGGTACTGTATCAAGGTCGGCAAGGTCGACACTTGATAATGGAGGGTTCAGAAGTTCAGTAAAGTGCTCCTTCCACCTATCCCTCTGCTGTTGGGGATCCGTGATCTTCCTACCGTCCTTGTCCCGGACACAAGATGCTTGAGGCTTCTTGTTCTTACCAGAGATCTTCTTGATCTTTGCCCATACCTCACGCTGCTGACCTTTGCTCGCTGCTTCCTCAAGATCAGTAGCTACTCTAACTGCCCAGTTATTGTCGTCTAGCTTGCTGCTTTTCTTGACTAACTTATTAAGTTTAGAATACTCTGACCTGTTAGCGTCTGAGTTTGGGTCTTTGCGCTTAAACTGTGCCCGCTGAATCAATAAATCCTTGGTCTTCCGTGACAGGTGTTGCTCCTTTGCCTTCCGGGGTCTTTTGCCTAGTACCTCCAGTGAGACATCAGTGACGGTCTGACTGAGATTACGCCACATATCCTCGAGGTCGACCTCACTATCCAGACTTGCAAATCGGTTTTGAAGAGCCACATTGTACTCTGTAACCGTAGTACTATCCCTCAGGCGCTCAATGGCAGGCACATTGGGCCTGTTGGCGTTGATCTTTGTCACTGACTGAAGTTTGATTTTCAGCAGTCCTAGAACCAGATAATGATCGGAGCCGATGTCTGCCCCGCGACATACCCTAACATCAAAAAGTGACTGACGAAACCGCTTTCCAATGCAGATATGATCTATCTGATTGACGGTGAGCCCGTTGGGGGACCGCCATGTTCCCTTGTGAATGTTCTTGTGCTCGAAGAGAGTTCCCCCGATGACAAGCTGGTTCGTCGCACAGAAATCCACAAGTCTTGTCCCGTTGTCATTTGATGAGCTATGGAGTGATTCCCCACCGATGACCGCTTCACTTCCATATCTGCCTGATGTTACTTTTGCATTAAAATCGCCGAGCAGTAACTTGATATCGTGACGAGGTAGCCCATCAAATGTATCTGTGAGTGTCCTATAAAACTTATCTTTCTCACTCTCCTCTGCACCCTCAGTTGGAGCATAGGCCACAACAACAGAGATGTTGATTTGCTTACTATGCAGCCTAGCAGTTAAAACCCGCTCCGATGTGGGAGTGAACGATATCAGGGAGTTTCTGATTCGTTTTGAAAGACTGAGACCGACTCCCTGTCTCTTGATCCCGTCGACTCTACCGGAATGGATGAGTAGACTGCCATTGTCCAGTAGAGTGGTGCCAGATCCAGGCATGTGAGTCTCGGTGATCCCCAAAAGATCCAATCTGTACTGATCAATGTTTTGACTAAGTTGGTAGAGCTGTGTAGATGAGCTGACAAGAGATAGAACGTTCCATGTTCCAAAACGTAAAAACTGTTTGCAATAATTTACTGGATTGGATTTGTTGGAAGCAGGGTCAACATGGATGATCTGTTGACTAATAAATCTGGTCGGATGACGAGTACCCCCTCTTCTCATCAGGCGACTGGGGTCCCGTAGGCTTTGCCCAGCCTCCGTCATGCTGGAACCATCCGTCCTTGAATTGGAAGTAGCACTCCGTCCATTTGATGTGTGTGTTGTTTCAGTAGCGTTGTTATTTGAGGTGGAAGGGATGCTGGCCCTTCGCACCCGATGAACCGCATGCAGTCCTAACGAGACAGATGTCCCGGTTATATTTTTCGACCTGTACTGGTCTAGAGCCGCAGTGTTCTGTTACCGTTCACCTGTTTTAACTGGAATCACCCAGAACAGGCTACTAAGCTTAACAGTGGCACCTCGAGAAGGGTGTGGCTCTTCACCACGCACTACGGATCTTGGGCTCGGAGAGGTTGTGTAAGACACTTCACGAGCCCCTGGAGTTTGGAAAACCCCTTAATCTCACGATATCAGTCGGTCCCAAATGAAAGTTATTTTACGTGATCCCCACTACAAGACTAGACATAAAGTTTCTCCCAAGTCTCACTATACCAACTGAACATCAAGGTGATTGTGAGAACATGAAACACAGTTTGATGTGACTTACTGTACTGCTTTACATATTATACACTGCTGTATGTTATACAGGGTTGTCCAAAAGTCATAACAATCTGGTGCTTTACTGAAAATTTTTCAGGACCTACTAGTTTGCAAGTGACGTTTACTGAAACCACTAATAAGTGAAAATTATCTTATTCCAGACCACACCTTTTATTATAGATATTCTATAGACTCAGTTTCTGCATTTTGCAATTCCCCATAGAATATAAAATGCCGAAACAATATGCAAAGCGGAGTTGAAATGTAAAGCAATTTGTGTATCTCGTCAGCAATATTAATCGGAGGATCACGTGATGCGACACTGCAATCAAGCAGTATCTTATAGTGTATCTCTGTCAGGTAGCCCAAACATCTGATCCCACGTAATGAACTAACGGATTATGCTTGATATCTTCTTTCTCTCAATTGTTTAGAACACACGTAATTTAAGAACCAAAACATATTGCGTAGCGGAAAAATGCAATCAGAATGACGAAATTGAACGAACAAAGGAAAACAGTGAGTCTGCAATGTTTCATTCGATTTTTTTCACTGAGCATTGAAGACAGGTCTAGGTCATAACACAAGAATTGTCTGACTCGGCCCATCAGTGTCCAAGCAATTAGCCCAAATGTCTGTGCCCTGATACTTGGGCCACCCTGTTCTGTATATTCTTAACGAGTTCTGAAAGAATTCTAAAAGACTCCTTGGAATACCCAAAATGTACCATGGACAGCTCTCATTCTGATCATACTAATTAATGAGTACTGTAAAACCCCAATTTATCGCGGACTTTGTTGAAAGAGCTCTCGATTGTTCAGAACATACGTTGCGTGTCAAGAAATTTATGTTTCATCTGATTTATTCATTAAATGTGTAATGAAGGCAGGTCATAATACAACGAATTGTCTGACTTGGGTCATCAGTCATATCAATCATTCGTAGTCTGATTGCGGGAAATACTGAATATCAATCAGTGTCTCGTCTAGGCAAGTAGCCAAAAAAAGGTTCTTAAAGACTTCTGATTTTAAAAGACTCGTAGGATATAGGATTAGGAATACCAAATGATAACCGAGTTTGCAGTAAGGGCCGCCTGTCCTTATTTACCTAAAGGCCCCATTGTTTGAGGCGTCTATATTGTTAAAGGCTGCTATTTCGGAGGCTGCTATCTTTGGTTTCTGTGACTGTAAGTTTTCCCAAACATGACTTTTGGATCTTGGGCATATATTTTGTAGTAGGCTACCTCCGTATCATGAGTTTCGACCGACATTTTCCCGTCCCAAAAAGCTAAATTAATACAAGGGTTAACTAACAAGATCATGATACATCAGCGTAGTGTGCAACACGTGCATATATAACGTAGTACAAACTGCACCTTGGTAATTTCAGGTAATTCGGTTCGATGTCACGTATAAAAGTTATTTGTTCACATAAATGCGCGCATGGCCGACCATTATTTTAATCGATTCAGTTAATTGCAACACTTAAACATGTCACTTACGGTTCCCGCTTTAAAACTCGCTTTCAGGTATCGTTTCTTCGTGATGATAAAAATAAATTATGCCCTTATCCACTGATCAAATTTTGTGTTGTCGCTCCATTTCATTCAACGAAACGAACCACAGTATTTACTACCCCGCTCCTATGCGGAAAAGATATATTATAAGATATAAATAAATAATTTACACAATACGGTGCCTATGTCTGTCATTACCAAATATGACATGGAAGTAGTACGTACACGTCTGGGACGGGAAAAATAGTAGCCGCACACAAACCAAGGATTGCAATTTATTTGTGGATGTCGGTTATAACGCAATACTGCGGGATCAATTCTGACTGGTAGATATGACACTATTTTGTTCACAGCCAGCGTATTTATTAAATGGCTTATCAATGACACTATCCAAAGAAGAGTATAATTATTTCTGTGTCTTGAACTGGAGTGACGCTAAGTGTCTAGAGTTTCAAGCTGTGATCGGTACCCGATATAATGGGATAATGGTGCACTTGACGACACTGATGATGCAGACCCCACGTTAAGGGAGGCTGTATGTTGTAACGATCCACCATCATTCAGAGATCTGGTGAACTTGCTCTATCAGGAGGTCATGACGTCTGCAGTATGCTTCCCAATTATTGGGTTTTAAATAACTAAGCAAGAGTTTATGGTTTATAAATCTGTCGATAACCTTATTAGAGATCCTGATGGACATGGAACGTGAAAAGCAAAAAGCCTTATCTCTGTACAAACACTCCTTATCAGGAGTGTTACTTACCCTACCCTGAAGTTATCTTCCAGTCATGAAAAAAACCTTGTTTCGTTTAATAAATTTAATTCTTTCCTAGGTAGTTTGTCTTATGGTCTACGGATAACATAACTTAATCATACCACTTTTCACCATGTACACCACAACTAGCATGAAGCATCAGTGATGAGTGAGCACTCTACCGCTGAAAATGTGTGTCGTTTGTGTGTGTGTCGTGTACAGGGTGCAAGAACTTGAACAATTTTATGTACTAACATACTTTAGCGCGCATACTATTTCATTGGCTCAAAAGAGAGTTAGTAATGTGTTATGAGTAAGGAAAAGTTGACTGGAAGCGAGCTTTGTTTGTATGTGGTCATCCTAATGAATTACTGAGTATAACTGCACCACCAAATCTCCAACAGATTACATTTTTTTATTTCTTAAATAAGATTCTACCATACTGGCTTCATATCGGAAATATTCCTACAGGGTTATTCTATCTTGTTGGAATTAATCATTTTGCGTCCTGTTCTGATTACGGTGACGTAACTAGAAGTGATTTGGGTGTGATAGTGCTCGGTCTAGGAACATGTGCCCCTTCTCTTTGTAGCGTTGAGCGCGCGCGATCATATCTTTGTTGTGCTAACCAAATTTTATCAGCTAAATTTTGCTTCGCGCTGCATGCGCGTTTAAAATTTGTCGCGAAAATTTTGAAAATTATACATTTTGGGATACCAAAACCTCATAATGTATCTTTTACGAAATGACACTAGCCCATGAGAGGTTAAGATACCCTGCATTAAACCAATTATCTGTTTACAGGAACCGACTGTTTTGGTTCATCAATCGAACCTCATCCTTACTGCGATCATCAACACTATGAGAAAAGAGGAACCCAAGTAAGGGCTATACTTTATGTTAATATTCAGGACACTAATTAAGACATAGAAGATCTGATACAAGTGGGTACATTATGAGGCTTGAAGGTGTGGTAAAACCATTGTAATATCTCACCAGTTAATTTTCAGTGAACGTGTACGAATCGCTGGAGCACAAGCTTTATTCAACGCTCTAGAGTTCTGTAAAGATCAGTTCGATCGTCCGGTAAGAAAATCTTTAAACTGGTGTTTAAATTTTCTAAATATTTTTAGGATGTTTTTTTGAAATCATGAAGCATCTGAAATTGAAGTCCTTCGGAGTGTTCATCAAATGTTCAGCTTATTAATCTTGTCCGTTAATATTCAAATAGCTTTCAACATATGGTGTTATTCAGGAGGAGAGAAACTACATAATGCGAGTGATCTGCGAGTCTACCCAGACAAACATTTCCAAACTGAGTGTAGCGAGTCTTCAGTGTCTCTCCAAGATCATGTCTTTGTACTACAAACACATGGAGAACTACATGAGTCAGGCACTCTTTGCTATCACTCTCTCGGCGCTGGAGAGTAAGGAAGATGAGGTGGCTCTGCAAGGTTGGTTCCGTATTAACATGGCTTCGATAGGTTACAAGGATGTAAATATAGTTTAACGTTAAATATAGAGTACTACAGACGTCAGACACATATGATATAGTGGATGCGTGAATGTTTTGTTAGAAACTTGGTTAGTTAAAATTTCAACACGACATAGTTTAAAGAATTCCTCTCTGGATATCTTACCTATCTTGCTATCCCACAGGTATTGAGTTCTGGAGCACGACCTGTGAGGAGGAGACGGATCTAGCAATAGAAGCCCAAGAAGCAGCGGAGTTGGGCGAACCTCCAGATATTGTCAGCAAACACTACATGTTAGGAGCCTTGCAGTATGTCGTACCTCAGCTTCTCAAGTGCCTTACTGTACAGGTTACTGCCGTCATCTTATCTCTCCATATTCATTATTCAGTATTTGGATGTTACTTTTCCTCGTATATATCGGCTTTTTTGTGGTGCCTGTAGCTTGTGTTCAATGAAAATGTCCTCAGGAAGAGTACGATGACGAAGATGACTGGAACCCTAACAAGGCAGCTGGAGTGTGTCTAATGTTGATTGCCCAGTGCTGTATGGATAACGTGGTGCCCCATGTCATCCCCTTTGCAGAACATATTGCACACCAAGATTGGAGGTTCAGAGACGCAGCTGTCATGTCCTTCGGGTGCATTGTGGACGGTCCTGACCCTAAAGTACTGAACCAACACACCTGGAACTTGATCCCTCACTTGATCAACATGTTGAAGACGGATGTTAGTTTAGCAGTAAGGGATACCTGCGCCTGGACCCTGGGTAGGATTTGTGAGAGGTTACCTCAGACTATCCTACAGCACCCTAGCGTTAATGACCTTGTCGCTGCCCTTCTTATGAGTTTGGAGAACGACCCTAGGGTCGCTACTAACGCCTGCTGGGCCTTCTCTTCTCTTGCCGAGGTTGGTTAACTTTTAAATTTGTCGATTTCCTTGATTTTGTTTGTTGCTTCAATTGCATTATATCATGCTTCAATTGAATTAAAATGTTAGTTCACATTGCCTCCCTCTCCATAGTCAGCTTACGAGGCAGCTGAGAACTTGGCAGGAGATAACGAGGAAGAGCCTCAAACTTACATCCTCTCCTCCTTCTACCCCACCATCATACAGAAACTGTTGCTCACCACCGCTAGACCTGATGCTAGCCAGAACAACCTTCGAAGGTTAGAAGCCAAAATTATGTTTTAACCTTTACTCATGATTTCTAACCTCTACTCCAGTCCCATTCTCTGCTGCGTGTCAAATTTAAGATTTATAGAATATCTCAGCTGATTTTTTTCGTGCAGAGCCAATAAAATAATATGGATATAAGTATTGGCACATCTCCACCACTCTTTTAACACGACTCTGCTCCAGTGCTGCTTACGAAGCTATCATGGAGCTACTGAAATCGTCACCGCGGGACTGTTATGCTATAGTACAGGAGACAACAGTCACGATAATTGCGAGATTAGAAGAGTTGCTTCATCACAAACAGGCTAATAACGAGAAGACTGGAGGTAACTTTAACGACCTGCAGTCCCTCCTTTGTGCAACACTTCAGGTAACTTACGGGAACAAGTGTAATCGCTCAGACAATATCTGAAGATTAATTTTCGGATTAGATATCACGTACATTTTTTGGTCAAAATTATCTTATTAGCCAGGAGTACTTAAACCTCGAGCGTCTACTCTTATTTTCTTAATACCGTAATTCAGGACTTAATTATGCATATGTTTGGTATTGAGCAAGTCATATCACGCCCCTGTTAATTGACGGCCGTGTAACTACTCAACTAAATATGTATCCTGCCTATGATGAACACTAAATAGTTACACGGCTATTCCAGGACTCACTAATCCATATTACAGTGCGTGATAAAGAAGATGCAGCAAGGAGATGCTATCCAGATATCTGACACTGTCATGTCCGCTTTTCTCATGATGATGAGTTCCAATGAGCAGTCGAGCGAGGTTCAAGAGGACGCTTTAATGGCTGTCGGTTAGTTACCATAGCAACATGTATCTATAGTACCACAGTGCCATTACAAAACCTAACCACAGTTAATATTAATGAGTACCACATTGCCAATACGCTGCCGTAGTGACAATCAAAAATACTAGTAATACAAGTTTTCTATTGATCAACTCTACTCCCCAGGAACGGTGATGGAAGTAACTGACAAGCACTTTGCCAAGTATATGGACAGTTTCTGGCCTTACCTGATGGCCTCCCTCCAGAACCACGCCGAGTACTCTGTCTGCGCTGCAGCTGTTGGTATCGTAGGGGACATGTGCCGAACTTTCGGTGCGGAGATGGCCAACTTCAGTGACAAGCTCATGGACTGTTTGGTAGCTGCTCTATCTGTGAGTTATAGGATTCTTATCCAGAATTAAGGGGTTAGGCTGTGAACCGTGACTTTATCATGTGGTAGGTGAAAATATAAAACCTCTTTTTTTTGATTCCAACACTCTTTAAATTTACATTTATTGAGGAAGGATCTTTTTCAGAACCAAGGTCTACACCAGTCCGTGAAACCAAGTATCTTGAGTACATTTGGAGACATTGCCATGGCAATAGGTCCAGTTTACACCAAATACCTACAAGTGGTTATCCACATTCTGAAACAGGCCTCTGAGGCTACTGTTGACAAGGTAACTAACCGTGTTCTATGAATATTGAATATTTTATTAATCTATCGAGTAAATAATGATCTAGCCCGTCCTTTGAGAATAGTCCCTTTAACAGTATATAGTTCCCTGATTTGTAAACTCTCAGAACGATTACGAGATGTTGGACTACTTTAACGAGTTGAGAGAGGGAATACTAGAGGCGTACTCTGGAATAGTTCAGGGTTTAAAGGGAGAGGATACAGCTAACAACCAACTGGAGCAACTGAGACCATACCTCCAGATCATCCTTCAACTCATCATCTCCGTGTCGGAGGACAGAGATAAAACTGACAGTTTGACTTGTTGTGCTTGTGGACTTATCGGGTGAGATTAGAAGTTTTGTTTTCATCAGGGTGTAAAGCATTTACAAAATACGTCTTGTGTTTGCCGTTTGGCACGAAACAGCTTAAGCTTGATTTTTACCCGCGTTCAATTACTATCTTAGACTCTGATAAAAAACGGATATCAAATTTGAGTAGAATTTTACGAATGAAACTGACTTAACCCATTACCTCCCCAACAGAGACATAGTGACTGGGTACGGCAGCTCCGTAAAGAACCTGGTCCAGTTTGACAGCATTGCAGATCTTCTCAGTCAGGGCAGACGAAGTAGAATATCTAAAACAAAGTCCATGGCTCACTGGGCTAGCAAAGAAATGAAGAAGATAAATGCTTTGTGAACACGTGTGATAATTATTAGTGTGACAGTGAGACTGTGAGCGAGTGTGTGCCGTGCGAGACAGCTACAGATTTGTGCCTGTGAGATTTTAATTGTCCGATATACGAGCACCTAACGTTATCTCTCGATCAAACCCGATTTATTATCGTAAAGGCTTTAAGATATCCTTCTTTCTGTAAGGAATGATTTTCTAGGTTTTTCTTGAAAATGAATTGTTATTTAATTAAACCTGTGCTATCTATGATTTCCATTTATTTGTGATAGCAAATCCCTGCCTAATTCTACCTTGATTTTAAAGAGGAGAACCAAATTCAAAACTAATAATTGTTTTGTAATAATTGTTTCTAATTTCATTTTACGAAATCTAAGATCAAAGCAATTGCCTTAAGCGACATCAAAGGGGTGTCCAATATTTGCAAGATCTTTTGGTTGCACTGGATTTAATATGATTTTCGTAATTACTCAAGAAATTTTTCGCGATCGTCATGTTTTTGCGACTGCTAACAACAATTTACGATCAAATGTGGAAAGTCGATACTAAGATCATCGCAACAGAATAGCAGTCGTGAAGAACAGGACATGTGTTCTTGACTACAACGAGACTTGTGTTCTTGACATGTATTCTTCAGACTAGACATGTGTTCTTGATGTTAACATTACAAATATTACGTACGCTGTGCGAAGTGTGTGAACAAGTGGTATGAAGTCCCGTGTGTACTGTGTATATAGTCGGCTTTTTTACGGTTTTAATATTTATTCTTTGAAATTTTAGCCCTCATTAAATTGAAATTAATTTATAAACTGTGCTAGGAGCGTTTTATATTTTCGTATTATTAAAACTTGAGGTCTGAGGTATTTAATTTTTAAAGGGTATTTCCGACATGTTATCTTGAAAAAGTTTCCTCTACCATTTTGGGTAATATTGGCTATAAACTTTGACTTTTAAGCAGGGCGTTCAACTAATTTTAGGCGTCCCATAACCGACTGGTGTAAGTTTCCATTTCTCCTAATATTTGACGAATTGGAGAGCCGAGCTGCTAATAATCCAAATGCTGGGAGCTTTTAACCGGTCGGTAGTGGGACGTTGAGATACTTTAACACTCTAGCTGACCCTAAAGAGCATTTGTGCGTTGTACAGCGAGCGAGTGCAGTCTGATGTGGTGCGAGTTAATGAGCAAATGTGAGTGAGTTATATATTGATCTGTGACTTGAACTTATACTTTAGTTTAATTACACAAACAAGTGCGTCTTACTGAGTTGATCTGGATACAGGCAGTACGAATTTTCTTGTTACACTGCGTAACATTTTCAAACATCACCCATTTAAGAACAGTGTATTGATGAGTGAGGCCAAGAGTGGCCATTTTCAGACAAATTAGTGAGTCGACGGTATAGATGGCACAAGACACAATTGACTTTGAGGTATTGGAGGCTATATAAATATTTCCGGAGAAACATTTGGAAAATTGAAATTCACTACCGGTATAAATGTGCAGGCAGCTGGGGTCGTTCACATATTACTTATATTACTTATATTATATATAATATTTGAACGATCACATACTCAATTAGGGGTCGTTCACATATTACGTAATCACTTTTAGTTTTTGAAATCGGAATTCCCGACTGAAAATCGTCGGAGAATCCCGATATTCACTTCAAACTTTGATCGATGTATTTTTGAACACTGGGCGGCGCGCTCGGCTTAACGGGTGATACTCGTAAAATATTTGTTCCAAGACCGTCGACGAGTCCAACTCGGCGCGCGTCTTGGTAGGTTATAAACCTACAAGTACAAGTACAACACTCAGCCAGCAGCCTGTCATTCTCGCCGAATCTCTATTATATGTTAGTGAACATAAACATATATTGTATATAATAATGGCCTGGGCCGGGGTCCCCAGGTAACATGGGGTGGGAATGCTTCCCTTCCCTTATATTACCTGGCGAAATGGGATCGGAGCATTTTGAATTAATATGTGATGTGGGATGATTCAGAATTGAGAATCAGCTTTCAAAAATCTATCGATTGAAGCTTGTTTGTTAATGAGACTGACAATTTACTGGGCAACGTTGTAGGTTTACAACCTACCAGGACGCGCGCCGAGTTGGACTCGTCGACGCGGTTTTTAATTGTATCACGCCGTGACCCCCACGGTCGTTTCACTATGGTGAACCCTGTAGAGTTTCTACGATACAAGGGGAGCCGCGCACTCGCGCGCGGTGGGTCATACAACGTATGACGAGTTTTTAATATTCGACGGTCTTTAATATTTGAATCAAATTTGTATTGTAGCGCGATGCGTTACTGTGCCGCGCCGAGCTGCCATGAATTGACATCGCCAATTAAGAATCAAATATTTTACGAGTATGGAGTATCACCCGTTAACATAAACTTCAATATAAATTATCAAATTCTTACCTGGGGACCCCAGGCTATTATGTTTATGAACATTAAGATTCGGTGGAATGACAGGCTGAGCGCCACCCAGTAATCAAATTCGTGTTTCACTAGCATGTCACGTGACCAAAACATTATTTTGCCCATAACTTTTTAAGGAAGCGCCAAGCTACTATAACTAAACGTTATAGGTTTATAACCTACCAAGACACGCGCCGAGTTGGACTCGTCGACGGTCTCCTATATTTGAAACAAATATTTTACGAGTATCACCCGTTAAACTAAACGTTACCTGGCCTGAACTTGCTCTAACCAGAGCCCTCTCGTTTGCAGTAGCGCGCGACCGCTTCACATAGCCATGTGCCTACGCGTACTGCGTGACGCGCTTGTTTCACAAGTAGGATAGGCACATACAGATCAGCACACATAAGATGGTACGTGTGCGCGCGCGCAGTGCTGACAATTGCGTCGTATTTAACCCCGGGTGCACGTACATCGTGTGCGATTATTTATACTTATCGAAGGCTATAAATGCCTCTTGTTTATTTTAATTTGGTATTGTTCACTTTTAGACGATAAAATACAGGAATTGCGGTATAATAATACGAATAATTAAGATTGTACGATCAAAATACATCACGAAACAGTATCAACTACCTCACTACTTATCAACTTATACTATGTACTATGCGACAAAGATACACAATGCAATATTTATATACTTATAGAATAAACGAAACACAGTATTCAGTATTTACTAGTACTACCCCGCTACTAGTAGTAGTACTACAACTTAATGCGACAAAGGTCAAAGATATTGTATAAAATATAACTAAATAAACAATACGGTGCCCATGCCTGAGCTTTATAAAACTGGAAACACTTCTCAGATTAATTATTTTGCTTCTCAAAAACAATTACAAACTAACAATTTTCGACGTTAAACAGCTACATTAAACATTAACATTACACTTCACAATCCGAAAGAAAGGGGCTCGTCGCTGCAGGCATGACTTTGACTTGATCCTGAAAAAGTACATGTCATTTAGGTACCGCGACAATTGTGAATTGACCCCCCGACAATTGACCCCCTACCTATGTAATTAAACTAGGGTCAATTGTCGCGAAATCTAGGACTTAGTACGACAATTGACCCCCATGTAATTACACTGGGTCAATTGATCGGGTTAGGGTCAGGGTCAGGGTCAGAGTCAGTGGTCAGGGTCAGGGTCCTGGATCAGGGTCAGGGTCAGGGTCAGGGTCAGGGTCAGGGTCAGGCCTAGGGTTAGGGTTAGGGTTAGGGTCCTGGGTCAGGGTCAGGGTCAGGGTCAGGGTCAGGGTCAGGGTCAGGGTCAGGGTCAGGGTCAGGGTCAGGGTCAAGGTCCTGGATCAGTGTCAGGGTCAGGGTCAGGGTCAGGGTCAGGGTCAGGGTCAGGGTCAGGGTCAGGGTCAGGGTTAATTGTATTAAATTATATTGTCGGGGGGTTAATTGTCGGGGGGTAAATTGTCGCCCACCCGTCATTTAATGTAATTACATAATACAATATAATACATAATACAATGTAAATGTTGCTGTTACAAAATGTATAGCTAACATAAGCGAGCGTTCATGTATGACGTCAGCAGCCGAGGGAAAAGGGTATTAATTGGAAATGCTGACGGTTGCTGACAGGAGGGGGAGGTATGAGCCTTGTTAACGTCAACAAAAATACGTGAATTCAAATCAATTTTATTAGCAATAAAACGTCACTAATTTCCTTAAAATTAGTACTCGAACTGAACTCTGGTGACCAACTGCTTAAATCAGTCACACACTAATTTTCCCTGCCTCATGCCTACTACTGGAAACTGTATCTCCAGACAAGTGTCAGACGTTACTATGCATTGGTTGCTCTTCAAAAAGGTTAGCAAAAAGATAAAGAGTGCGACCCTGATAAACTTTTGGGAGAGATTCATCGACGACATATTTGGAGTGTGGATGGGGACAGCGGGACAATTTACAATGTTTGTCGAATTGTTGAACAAACTGGCTAAATCAAACTGGCAGAACCATATAGAATCAAGGTTAACTTTTTAGACCTTACCTTGAGCTTGGACTCAGAAAATCAGATCTGGTACAAGCTATTTAGAAAGGAAACAGATGCTAGGAACTACTTGAGATCAGATACATATGTAGTTTCCAACCCCACCATGTGTAGAGGACCTGGGCGAACTAAAGGAGGATCTTGCTAGATGCGGACACAACAACAACGGTGACAAACTAGAAGAAATCGAGCCGAAAGCAATACAGAGGTCTATTGAGAACCCAGGAAATCCAACCAGAGACACTGAGGATAAGACACAACAGAGCCTCGTATTTTCCGTACAACACTCTTGATAACATTAGTCTTACAAAGTTGGTTAAGAACTTAATCTGGTCATTAAGCTACTAGGTTAATGTTATGTGGGGATGTACGGATAGTATTTGCCACTAGGAAACACCCTTCAATCGGTAATACACTAGAAAAGAATCGACAACTGGGACAACTGGAAACCCTTGATGTAGGACAATTACAGAGGTGTAATGGACCTAGCTGCAAAATTTGCCCCGTCCTCTTTGGCAAGGACTCAAAAGATCATGGGGGGGGGGGGGGGGGGGGGGGGCCAATGACTACCAATGGAGACTTTTGGGGACTAATGGGGACTAAAAATCATGGGGACTAGAGGTCAACTCGTTGACGTAATTCACCATTTGTCCCCATAAGTCCCCAGAATTTTTGACAGTTATTTATGGTTTTCAAGTTAGTTTAATAACGATACGATCGAGATGTTTTGTCCAAGATAAGAGTAGGATAAATCTAAATGGGGACTAATGGAGACTTTTGGGGACTAAAAATCATCTAAATGGGGACTAATGGAGACTTTTGGGGACTAAAAATCATGGGGACTCGGGGTAAAATCGTTGACGTAATTCCCCAAGTCCCCAAAAGTAGTCATTGGCCGTATGACGTAGTTATGTCGATACGTTATTCAACTATTTATTTCTATTAGAATCTGTCTTCACTAAGTCTATTTAGAGACAATCAGAAATTTGAATCATTTATCAAGACATTATACTTATACATCACAAAACCTCCGACTTGATTTACAACTTAACTTCACAAACACTAATATGATTTCATATAATACAAACTTACTCTGTCGGTTATCATACTATAATTCAAGGCAACATTAGCGTCCGTGAATTGATCACTGCAGGAGCCCTCCCTTACTAAAACTTGTGTCTTCATCTGCCGTATTACTTGGGAATATCGCCGGTCTCAGCTTCAAACATAAAGGTATGATATTCAATAGACGCCGCTCTGCAAACGTCACCTGAAAAGGGATAAGTAGATAGAGCTCCTTATAATCCCTGACTACGACAGGGAGCTGAAGGCAGATCTGGGAGGGTCTGGGCACAATATTATATTGCTATATTATCATCTGCACACTTATTCTTAGTTTTAAACTAATTACAACACTACAAATCCATTACATTTATTGAGGATATGAGTATGACGTAGTTATGTCGATACGTTATTCAACTATTTAATTCTATTAGAATCTGTCTTCACTAAGTCTATTTAGAGACAATCAGAAATTTGAATCATTTATCAAGACATTATACTTATACATCACAAAACCTCCGACTTGATTTACAACTTAACTTCACAAACACTAATCATATAATACAAACTTACTCTGTCGGTTATCATACTATAATTCAAGGCAACATTAGCGTCCGTGAATTGATCTCTGCAGGAGCCCTCCCTTACTAAAACTTGTGTCTGCATCTGCCGTATTACTTGGGAATATCGCCGGTCTCAGCTTCAAACATAAAGGTATGATATTTAATAGACGCCGCTCTGCAAACGTCACCTTATCACCTACCTGAAACAGATTTTAAGATAAGCAACTAAATAAAGATTCGTTGAGATTCTGAGTTTCTGCCCTGACGGCTAACCAAATAAAATTTGGTCGGACAGACTCATCTCGCATATTAGGAAAAGCAGCTGAGGTTTAAGATATTTACCTTTTTTCAGATTTCTTTTATAGACTGAACTAAACTTTAAACGATAACCTCTGAATGATCTGAACAACTAACTTTAAGGACATCGATCCTAAGAAATGGCCGTTTTTAAAAGCTTTAAAAATTTCAAAGGGTCTACACAATGTCAATAACGCGCGGCCGGCTGGCGCTAGATATTGTAAAAGGCTTACGATTTTTTCCTTTATTCATCAGAAAGTCAATGTGGCAGACATAAAGAGCTAAAACTCTGTCAAAGCTTCTAGATCAATCTTTCGATACTGTTTAGGCGGGAACTACAGGAGGTGCTATTTTCAGGTCCGTCTAGATCTCTAATAGGAAAAGTTAGTGGATCACTGGATCCGTCCCTGAAGTGAAACAAATGTTACTATCTTGCAAATGTTAACCATTTTATTTCGATTAGAATCGAATTTAACATACTTAAACTTGATATGATGTAATAATGAGGTACGTGTAAAAATCAAGGGTATCCCTCGAGCCAGTCCAGCTTGTGTAATATAACAAAATAAATAGGGAAAAATAAGGGAGAGTACTGGTGCCATGCTGTGTCAACAGAAGCGCTGAGGATAAATTCAGTGAGCATTAGTTGGAAAGGATTGTCATCAGTTACTGTGTGAGTTAGTGTTGTGGTGGACGAAAGGATAAGCCGCTGATCAGGGATATAGGCCCCTCCTCACGAACTCTCTGCTGTGTTGGCGCAACGAGTGAGACTTTGGGGTGGTCAAAAGATGTGATGGTCCCGTCAAGTCTTGGCGAAACTCAACATAGGTCAGATAGGTAGAAAACAATGCCATTGGAAAACTCTATCCAATGCAATAGTCACATTATAGTCATTTCTAGAAAAAAAAAAACCTGGTTAATGTTGTTTAATGTGAGAGAATAAGATAAAAGAGTCGACCAATTTTTGTCAGTGTAAATATTGTCAAACAGCGGGCTCCAAAATCGTCTAGGGGGAAAGAGCCCTGAATATCAGCTATCTGCCTTAGTACCTTGGCTCTAAAGTCTAAATTATGCAGCGATGACGACATAAAAAGTCGCTGTATCATGGCAAATCTTGCTTTGTCAGAACTAAAAGAAGGTTTAGGAGCAAAGTAAATATCAGACTTAAGATATGAAAGCACAGAAAGACTGAGTCAAATGTACAATTGTAGCTGCTGTCAGCTATTCTGCATCAAATAAAATATTAAGGGGCCATCTACTTAGGACGTCCAGCAAAAAGGGAGGGGGAGGTGGTTTTGGAATTTCGGACAAATCCGGACAGTGATAGGGAGTGGTTTCTGAAATTAATGGCAGAATTAACGAAAAAGTCGCATTTATTTCAACTCTTTGACACTAATTACTCAGTAAGTTTAGATCCCTGTATTTTGAACGAGAAGTTGTTTCCCAGAGCAGCTCATGAGAGCCGAGACACAACTCGCATATTCTGCTACTGCCTTAAAACTTATTCCATTGGATGGCTACCTACTTAAGTACCTTAATGTAACTGTGCTAAACTTGTTCGACACTAAATGTATTATTGTCTATTCTAAGTGACTACACATTTTATTAACAATGATTTTGAGTTGGTTTTATTTGTACTCTTTAAAGTAGCTGGAAATCCGGACGTCCGGGGGAGGGGGTTTGAAAATTCGGACACACCCGGACAGGGGGAGGGGGTGCTCCCCGGGGGTGGTCTGGAAATCTGCAATTTTGACGGACGTCCCAAGTAGATGGCCCCTAAAGTCTAAACAAAAGTTCTCAAAACGTACACAACGAGAGAGTGTCGACCTACATGTCAATGAAACAGACTGTTTCACTGTTTGAGACAACACGTGTGTTTGCGCGCAATTCTGGAATAATCCGAGAGATGAACTGTAGCGAGTGTAACTTTAGTGTGCAGATGAGTGTGTACTTCGATGTATACTATTTCTGCACGTACAGGATCCTTTGTAAGGGGTCATTCACATATTTAGTTATCACTCACTTTGCTAACCAATACAGCGATACTGGGGTAGGTTCACTGATAGTCTTTCTCAGAGATATAGATGGCTGTAAATTATGCTAATAAATATATAAAAATAAATATGGTCAAATGTTAAACAATGAGATGATTTAAGAGAAGCAAATATTAGTGGACTGAAATTATAATCTGATAAAGTGCAGCTGTGAACTCAAATGTATAAAACAAACTCACAATTCGGATCGAACAGTTTAAAATGAAACACAATAAGACAGAGTAATTGGTAAAATGTTAAACAATAAGCTGTTTTAAGACAAGAAAATATTAGTCGACTGAAATTATGATCTGATAAAGTGCAATGTGAACTCAAATGTATAAAACAACAGATCGAACAGTATACAATAGTACATTTAACAAATGTACTATTGCAAATGACAAAAGTGTAATAAGGTAACTGGTAATAAGTCTGCTGGTTATTCAAAATTTAACATTAAAATATGTCCCGGCCCTTTGAATCATCCGCCGAATGATCAACCGAATGATTGCAACAGACAAAGAAACAAGCAAAATTTGTTAAATGGAGTGCATGATCAAAGAAGGTATATTAGCTCCCTACAAAAATCTAATCCAATGAGAAAATAAATCTAAAGTCCAATTGCAAATGACAAAAGTGTAGTAAGGTAACTGCAGGTAACAAGTCTGCTGGTTATTGAGAATTTAACATTAAAATATGTCCCGGCCCTTTGAATCATCCGCCGAATGATCAACTGAATGATTGAAACAAACAAAGGAACAAGCAAAATTTGTTAAATGGAGTGCATGATCAAAGAAGGTATATTAGCTCCCTACAAAAATCTAATCCAATGAGAAAATAAATCCAAAGTCCAATTGCAAATGACAAAAGTGTAGTAAGGTAACTGGTAACAAGTCTGCTGGTTATTGAGAATTTAGCATTAAAATATGTCCCGGCCCTTTGAATCATCCGCCGAATGATCAACCGAATGATTGCAACAGACAAAGAAACAAGCAAAATTTGTTAAATGGAGTGCATGATCAAAGAAGGTATATTAGCTCCCTACAAAAATCTAATCCAATGAGAAAATAAATCTAAAGTCCAATTGCAAAAGACAAAAGTGTAGCAAGGTAACTGCAGGTAACAAGTCTGCTGGTTATTGAGAATTTAACATTAAAATATGTCCCGGCCCTTTAAATCATCCGCCGAATGATCAACTGAATGATTGCAACAAACAAAGGAACAAGCAAAATTTGTTAAATGGAGTGCATGATCAAAGAAGGTATATTAGCTCCCTACAAAAATCTAATACAATGAGAAAATAAATCTAAAGTCCAATTGCAAAAGACAAAAGTGTAGCAAGGTAACTGCATGGGTAACAAGTCTGCTGGTTATTGAGAATTTAACATTAAAATATGTCCCGGCCCCTTGAATCATCCGCCGAATGATCAACTGAATGATTGCAACAAACAAAGGAACAAGCAAAATTTGTTAAATGGAGTGCATGATCAAAGAAGGTATATTAGCTCCCTACAAAAATCTAATCCAATGAGAAAATAAATCTAAAGTCCAATTGCAAATGACAAAAGTGTAGCAAGGTAACTGCAGGTAACAAGTCTGCTGGTTATTGAGAATTTAACATTAAAATATGTCCCGGCCCTTTGGAGCATCCGCCGAATGATCAACCGAATGATTGCAACAGACAAAGAAACAAGCAAAATTTGTTAAATGGAGTGCATGATCAAAGAAGGTATATTAGCTCCCTACAAAAATCTAATCCAATGAGAAAATAAATCTTAAGTTCAATTGCAAATGACAAGAGTGTAGCAAGGTAACTGGTAACAAGTCTGCTGGTTATTGAGAATTTAACATCAAAATATGTCCCGGCCCTTTGGATCATCCGCCGAATGATCAACCGAATGATTGCAACAAACAAAGGAACAAGCAAAATTTGTTAAATGGAGTGCATGATCAAAGAAGGTATATTAGCTCCCTACAAAAATCTAATACAATGAGAAAATAAATCTAAAGTCCAATTGCAAAAGACAAAAGTGTAGCAAGGTAACTGCATGGGTAACAAGTCTGCTGGTTATTGAGAATTTAACATTAAAATATGTCCCGGCCCTTTGAATCATCCGCCGAATGATCAACTGAATGATTGAAACAAACAAAGGAACAAGCAAAATTTGTTAAATGGAGTGCATGATCAAAGAAGGTATATTAGCTCCCTACAAAAATCTAATCCAATGAGAAAATAAATCCAAAGTCCAATTGCAAATGACAAAAGTGTAGTAAGGTAACTGGTAACAAGTCTGCTGGTTATTGAGAATTTAACATTAAAATATGTCCCGGCCCTTTGAATCATCCGCCGAATGATCAACCGAATGATTGCAACAGACAAAGAAACAAGCAAAATTTGTTAAATGGAGTGCATGATCAAAGAAGGTATATTAGCTCCCTACAAAAATCTAATCCAATGAGAAAATAAATCTAAAGTCCAATTGCAAATGACAAAAGTGTAGTAAGGTAACTGCAGGTAACAAGTCTGCTGGTTATTGAGAATTTAACATTAAAATATGTCCCGGCCCTTTGAATCATCCGCCGAATGATCAACTGAATGATTGAAACAAACAAAGGAACAAGCAAAATTTGTTAAATGGAGTGCATGATCAAAGAAGGTATATTAGCTCCCTACAAAAATCTAATCCAATGAGAAAATAAATCCAAAGTCCAATTGCAAATGACAAAAGTGTAGTAAGGTAACTGGTAACAAGTCTGCTGGTTATTGAGAATTTAACATTAAAATATGTCCCGGCCCTTTGAATCATCCGCCGAATGATCAACCGAATGATTGCAACAGACAAAGAAACAAGCAAAATTTGTTAAATGGAGTGCATGATCAAAGAAGGTATATTAGCTCCCTACAAAAATCTAATCCAATGAGAAAATAAATCTTAAGTCCAATTGCAAAAGACAAAAGTGTAGCAAGGTAACTGCAGGTAACAAGTCTGCTGGTTATTGAGAATTTAACATTAAAATATGTCCCGGCCCTTTGAATCATCCGCCGAATGATCAACTGAATGATTGCAACAAACAAAGGAACAAGCAAAATTTGTTAAATGGAGTGCATGATCAAAGAAGGTATATTAGCTCCCTACAAAAATCTAATCCAATGAGAAAATAAATCTAAAGTCCAATTGCAAATGACAAAAGTGTAGCAAGGTAACTGCAGGTAACAAGTCTGCTGGTTATTGAGAATTTAACATTAAAATATGTCCCGGCCCTTTGGAGCATCCGCCGAATGATCAACCGAATGATTGCAACAGACAAAGAAACAAGCAAAATTTGTTAAATGGAGTGCATGATCAAAGAAGGTATATTAGCTCCCTACAAAAATCTAATCCAATGAGAAAATAAATCTTAAGTCCAATTGCAAATGACAAGAGTGTAGCAAGGTAACTGGTAACAAGTCTGCTGGTTATTGAGAATTTAACATCAAAATATGTCCCGGCCCTTTGGATCATCCGCCGAATGATCAACCGAATGATTGCAACAGACAAAGAAACAAGCAAAATTTGTTAAATGGAGTGCATGATCAAAGAAGGTATATTAGCTCCCTACAAAAATCTAATCCAATGAGAAAATAAATCTAAAGTCCAATTGCAAATGACAAAAGTGTAGTAAGGTAACTGCAGGTAACAAGTCTGCTGGTTATTGAGAATTTAACATTAAAATATGTCCCGGCCCTTTGAATCATCCGCCGAATGATCAACTGAATGATTGAAACAAACAAAGGAACAAGCAAAATTTGTTAAATGGAGTGCATGATCAAAGAAGGTATATTAGCTCCCTACAAAAATCTAATCCAATGAAAAAATAAATCCAAAGTCCAATTGCAAATGACAAAAGTGTAGTAAGGTAACTGGTAACAAGTCTGCTGGTTATTGAGAATTTAACATTAAAATATGTCCCGGCCCTTTGAATCATCCGCCGAATGATCAACCGAATGATTGCAACAGACAAAGAAACAAGCAAAATTTGTTAAATGGAGTGCATGATCAAAGAAGGTATATTAGCTCCCTACAAAAATCTAATCCAATGAGAAAATAAATCTAAAGTCCAATTGCAAAAGACAAAAGTGTAGCAAGGTAACTGCAGGTAACAAGTCTGCTGGTTATTGAGAATTTAACATTAAAATATGTCCCGGCCCTTTGAATCATCCGCCGAATGATCAACTGAATGATTGCAACAAACAAAGGAACAAGCAAAATTTGTTAAATGGAGTGCATGATCAAAGAAGGTATATTAGCTCCCTACAAAAATCTAATCCAATGAGAAAATAAATCTTAAGTCCAATTGCAAAAGACAAAAGTGTAGCAAGGTAACTGCATGGGTAACAAGTCTGCTGGTTATTCAAAATTTAACATTAAAATATGTCCCGGCCCTTTGCATCATCCGCCGAATGATCAACTGAATGATTGCAACAAACAAAGGAACAAGCAAAATTTGTTAAATGGAGTGCATGATCAAAGAAGGTATATTAGCTCCCTACAAAAATCTAATCCAATGAGAAAATAAATCTAAAGTCCAATTGCAAATGACAAAAGTGTAGCAAGGTAACTGCAGGTAACAAGTCTGCTGGTTATTGAGAATTTAACATTAAAATATGTCCCGGCCCTTTGGAGCATCCGCCGAATGATCAACCGAATGATTGCAACAGACAAAGAAACAAGCAAAATTTGTTAAATGGAGTGCATGATCAAAGAAGGTATATTAGCTCCCTACAAAAATCTAATCCAATGAGAAAATAAATCTTAAGTCCAATTGCAAATGACAAGAGTGTAGCAAGGTAACTGGTAACAAGTCTGCTGGTTATTGAGAATTTAACATTAAAATATGTCCCGGCCCTTTGGATCATCCGCCGAATGATCAACCGAATGATTGCAACAGATAAAGAAACAAGCAAAATTTGTTAAATGGAGTGCATGATCAAAGAAGGTATATTAGCTCCCTACAAAAATCTAATCCAATGAGAAAATAAATCTAAAGTCCAATTGCAAAAGACAAAAGTGTAGCAAGGTAACTGCAGGTAACAAGTCTGCTGGTTATTGAGAATTTAACATTAAAATATGTCCCGGCCCTTTGAATCATCCGCCGAATGATCAACTGAATGATTGCAACAAACAAAGGAACAAGCAAAATTTGTTAAATGGAGTGCATGATCAAAGAAGGTATATTAGCTCTCTACAAAAATCAAATCCAATGAGAAAATATTGTTTTCCGATATTACAATCACAATCCACGGACATGACTAAAAATGACTGACACGTCCCGCGCGGCATCAGAAATATAGGAGGAAATCTGGCACCACGATTTGTGGTGCCAGTTTGTGGCCATGGATAGAGCCCTCTTTGCCGCCTCCGGCGGTCGCGCGCTACTGCAAGCGAGAGGGCTCTGGTTAGAGCAACGCGACCGCCGGAGTCGCGTAGGCACATGGCTATGTGAAGCCTGAACCGCGCGCGTGTAGTTTCCTCTCATTTGTAGGTTTACAACATACTAGGACGCGCGCCGAGTTGGACTCGTCGACGGTCCAATATCAAATATATGGAACAGATATTTTACGAGTATCACCCGTTAACCTCTCATGGGCTGAAAACAAATAATTAGTAATACTGGGCCACGCTGCGTATCAAATAATGTTATTCTCGCAAGATCGGCGGGATGCACTCTTGATGACTGGCCGACTGGGCCACGCCGAGCTGCGAAAGATTGAAATCTTGAATTAATACATACACTTGCATTACCCTTGGCCTTTACAGGTCCAGTTACCAGTTATGCAGATATAAACAATAAAAGGATTTTTGATGGGTCGGGTAGCGTTTGATAAAATGTTGAGTATCTTCAATCTTGTATCTGTCGCTTTTGATTTCTAACCAAGAGTCAATTGTTTCATTAATTTCATTTGATGTTTTATTATATTATATTATGTAATATGTTTGCAGCGCGATACGTTACTTGGCCGCGCCGCGCATCTAACAATGCTTCTTTTCGTTAGATTGGCGAATTGATTGACAATGTCAACCCATCGAGATCGTTGCTCAGCTCTGCACAGTTAACGGATTTTACTCGTCTAAATTTCTTCAAAGTAGCTCGCGCCGCTTTCTTCTCGATGGCAGGTGCTATGAAGTAGCGCGCGCCGGGCCAAACCATTAACAATGATCAACTGCAAAGCAAAGCAACGATGCAAAGCAAAAATGTTAGTTTGCGCGGCGCATCGAAGCGTCGAAGTCCTCCAAGTTGGCGAAATGCGCTACTGTGCATTGCCGAGCTATACTACGAAGAATTGACACCGTCAATTAAGTTACCTGGGGACCTCAGGCTATCATGTTCATAAACATACGAATAGAGATTAGGTGGAATGACAGGCTGAGCGCGGCCCAGTAACAATTAAGTAATATGTGTTTTGATAGACTAAAATAAATGAAATGTGATTTATTTTGGGTATCTAACCTTTAAACTGGACAATGACTGTTGCTGTAATTATCTGTGCATATTTTTTGAATAACTATCTTTCATAGAAATACAATACAATACAGCTCGAATTGTACCCTTTTATTAAATTGTACTCTTTTATTCATTCCATGACATTTTTCTGAAAATTTTGGTGAAGGAAAGGAATATAATATAATACCGGTTTATAGAGTTAAGTATACATATTATATGATATGTAATATTTAGTCCCTTGGCCACTTTACAGTTAACCTGGTTTAGAGAAGGACTGTTGACAGTTGATGTTCAATCACGTCCAATAATGAAAGCGACCATGTATACATGGACCATACTACATGGAGTCAACGGTTGACGGAATTGGATCTACTATATACCGTTTTGACATAGATGTTAGGAGTCCTTGAGAAGAGCAAGCAAGAAAGAGGTGGCAACTGCACTGCTCTAACACGCAACGTTATGCCACTGCACTGTAGACTAATAAGATTTCTTGTTAATGTGTAGTTTCACAACAATATACTCATTACAGTGGCATAACGAAAGGCCCCGCCATCCCCGCTGTGCAGGGGGGGGGGGGGGGGGGGCCTTAGGGGGGGGGGGGGGTGCCAAATCGTAGTGTGGATGTGGGACAATTTTGAAAAACTTAACTGCGGTATTAGCAAAACTATGCGCTATGCTCTAGAAACACATTTTTGAAGAGATTTTACAGGCGTATCATCTCAGATCATCTAAATTGTCCAATTTTAAGGAGGGACGCCAAAAGGGGAGGGGGTGCCAACAGGGGGGCACTTCTTCAGTGGGGGGTGCCAACAAGCGACGTTACGCCATTGACTCATTGCAGTTTCTACCACTTTGAATTAATTGAATACTGATTGCACCTAGATGTTCAAGATTTCTGTTTTAAATTTGATTCAAGTGAACGAAATCTATTACCAAAGGTGAATAACTGTACTATCATCGCAGGATGTATGGGGATTTGCTTCTTGCCCTATCAGGACATCCTGGAAGTATATTCGTCAGAGATAGTGGTGGTGAATTTCATATAAGTGAAGACACTCCTTGTTTAGCTCCACATGAGGCTGCTCTCTTGAACCGTATTTTGAAAATAGCAAAATATTACTACAACATCTTGGGGTTTACTAATGTTCACAGAAACACTATTAAAATTCGCAGAACAAAAGATCCACCTAATGCAGGCCAGTACACTGCAGCCTTGTGCGTTGGTTTGGAAAAAGGCCTGAAGGGATACAGAGATACACTTATAACCCTTGATGCCCTCGTTCGTGAAAATCCAAATGTCCCCTTGTCACTACTTCAATTTCATTTGGACAAGTTTCAAAATTTGTTTCCAATCCTTGCCAATATCATTGATGAAATCAGAACAAACGAGCACATGAAAGGATGTAAAATTCTAGAGCTGTTGCATGAACAAAGTGCTTGTGGAATACCGTTTGTCAAAGATCTATTGTCTGATTTATTACAGAGTTGTCACAGTGTTTTTTACCAGCAGCTATCAGCATGGGTGTTACATGGCCAAGTCAAAGATTTCTTTGGAGAGTTTTTCATTAGAGATGTTCCAAGTACTGATGCTGACGGAGTCCCATATGAAAATGAAGGAGGCCTTTTTGCAAAACATGAAATGAATATTGACATGGTACCACACTATATCAATCCAAGAGTTATTCAAGTCATTCACTTCATTGGCTCGTCTGTACATATTTTTGGAGCAAAGAAACATTCATCCAATCCCCTCCAAAAGGAAGATGAGGATCATTTTGTTGAGCTTTTGGAGAGTCTTCAGAGAAAAGACAAATTCTGCTCAATTGAATTTGAAAGAGTGATTGAGATAATGAGAGAAAAGGTGGCACAGCACTTATATTCATTGATGATGAATGAAGGGAAATTACTTGAAACTCTTGAACTGTTTAAAGATTTCTTTTTACTTGGTCGTGGAGAACTTTTCCTAGCATTCATTGATAGTGCTGACAACATGATGCAACATTCTGTTTCTAAGAAAAGCAGTGACAGTGATATAAACAGGTTGTTCCTTAAATCCTACACTCAATTGGGATTCTCTAATGAAGATCATGTTGAAAAGTTCCGGCTAAAATTTGCCAGTGGTCTTGCCAAATCCAAGTCAGCTGAACAAGTTCCAAGTAAATGGAATGACTTGACATTAACATACGATGTTCAATGGCCTCTTCATGTGCTATTTACTGCTGATGTCATGGCTGAATACAACAAAATATTCATGTGTCTATTGAAGCTGAGTCGCTGTCAGATTGCTTTGCAGACTGCTTGGAGTATAAGCACCAGATCTGGTTACAAGTTTGATGCTGATCTGTTGAACCTTCGCTCTAATGTTGCTTATCTCATTGACCAGCTTCAGTATTATCTCCACGTTGATGTCCTAGAAACAAATTACACAGTCTTGCTCACTGAGATCAAAGAAACTAAAGACTTTGAAGCCATCAGAAGGGCACATAATAAGTTTTTGGGTGAAATTCAGGCCTGGTCATTCTTATCAGATGAAAGTGATAAAACAGTCTCTCAATTGATTGATCTGGTCATCATTCTTGGATTTCAAACTGCTGTGAAATTCACTTCGATGGCTGATAGTGAGTCTAAAGGAGCATCTGTGAAGAAACTTTCAAGCAATTATGAACATGTTGTTCTGATTATGGTGGCTCTTCTTGAATCCAGTGCTGCACGTCAACACAATTCTCTGATGAACCAGTTGTTGCTAAGAGTTGATTACAATGGATTCTTCTCAAACAAGAGGAACCAAAAGAAAGAGAGGTTAAGAAAGGCTGCTCTTTCGAGCAAAGTGGTTAATCAGCCTCCATCCTGACAAGTGACAATTGTTGTACCTGCAATTTGTTTGAATACAGTAAATTAAACAGTAAGTACTCAGTACTGATAAATCTCATAGTTTGTTGCCTTACTATACAAACTTAATTGTAGCTTTGCATTGTTGTATTTATGTATTTCTCAATTGCATGATTTGAGCCCTTCTGCTCTTTTAAAGCTGACACTTTTTTAGAAGCATGGGTATTTGCATAAATAATAAACTTACCATATCATTAAATGGTACTAAAAAGTACCTGGTATTTGATTATTTATAAACCAATTTTTATACTCACAATAGTAATGCAATCAGCAATGTTAAGGTTTTGGTATTTGTTTTCTTTTGCAAATTTGTACAGTTATTTTATCACTTAAATATTTTACTGTGTTTCACATCTTTGAGTCAAAATTCTATAATGACTGAATATAATAATATTGCCTTGATTAGGTAAAAAATCAGATAATTTTCTTAGTGTGAAAATCAAGTTGTGTTAATGAAACCCAGATTTATATTGAAAGTTTAACACATAACATGAAAAAAAATTTCAAACACAGAAGCACTCAAGTTTATTTCTCTTTCTAGGTTATGAGATGGTAGTTCACTACCTCCGATTGTCCAGTCGGTCTGTAAGAAACGTGAGTTTATTAACACTATTATTTTACTTAATAATTTGATAAAAACTGAAACTTATTTATTTTGGTCAAATGACTATGTTGTGGTCATGTCACGCTACGTGGTATGACAATCACTAACCAGTAACCTTTTAGTAAATACGTGTACATAATAAATAATTCCTCATTTTGCAGGTAATACGTTTCCACAGCAGAAAGTTCTCAGCCTCAAATGTCCATCCCAAAAGTTCAAGTCCCCTAAAATGGGTTCCTGTAGCAGTAGGAGGAGGAGCTGTTGGTGCTGCAGCTCTTGAATACTTTTATCCTCAAGCTATTACTGCTTATATACCATTTCTGAAGAAAGATGTTCCTCCAGTGGATTCAGTTCAGGTACAACAATACAATAAAGTATAGTGTGGTAATTTATCTAATGTATTTGATTGACAAATGTTTATTAGAATTAATAATTAAGAACTTATATTTGTAGATGAACAGGAGTGTCACTAGTAACCTTTTTCAGGAAGAGAAACCTTTTGAAGCTATTGATCTACTATTCAAAGCATCTCAAGAACAAGTGAAAGAAGATTTGGACAATTCTATCAACAAACTGAAAGATATAATAGGGGATGAAAGTACAGCTGCAACAAATTCAGAGGCTGTCAGTAGTCCACAGGATGAACACCTAGAATTGAGTATACCAGATGAAACTGTCATCGGGGTTGTTGAAGAAGTGACAGATTCAGAGACTGAAGCAGGTCCTGCGAAGAAGAAAAAGAAGAGGAGGAAGAAGAAGAAGGTTGAAGAGGTGGTTCCTGCAGAAGTTGAGGTGGTAACTGTTGAACCTGCTGAAACTGTAGCTCCTGCAGTCCAAACAACAGTGGAAGCAGCTGAGATTATCCCTGATGAAATCACTTCAGAATCAGATCTCACTGCTCCTCAAGTACCTGATGATGTCATCACCACATCAGCTCCTATTGCAGCTACTGAGGATCTCACATGTGTCAGTCCATTTGAGGTCCCCGAAAATATGTTGCTAGAAGAGACCCCAGATCCAGAAGAAATAGTTGAAACTGTAACCGTCCCTGAACCAGAGACAGATGTCTCAGTTGGTGCTATTGAGTCTGTGATAGAGAGTGCATTAGTAAGTGATCCAGTCGATGAGGTTCTCGGACTCGTAGAGGTTAAACCAGATGAAGCTGAGTTGATAATGGATGCTCTGAAATCATTAGATTATGAGCCGGTTCTGTCTGATACAGTACTTGATCTCCTAGTTGGTAAAGCTGCTAACAGAGAGAAAGCTGTAATTGCAACCATATCTAGACTTGAGAACGCCATGGCTAATGTGGTTAACATAGTCCAGGACGCACTGGAACACCATAACACTACCTCTGCTCTGGTCACTTTGGCTAAACTTAATGCTCAGTCGATATCTGAAGCAACGAGTAAGGAAGCTGCCAAGGAGTTGCTCGAGGAGCTACTTCGGTCATCTGGAAACGTGGGAGATGCATTCAGCAGGGGAGAGGATATTGGTGACAAGGTAACTGGAGCATTCAGCAAACTAAGTGAGATCATTGAAAAAGCTGAGCAGTTTGACTTAAAGGGTTAGTAAAATTAATAGAATAATACCAGACATTCTAATTATAATTGATGATATCATTGAATCACTGAACTGGGCCATGTTATTGTACTATGGGCATTATTTTGCAATAACACGATTTACCTCCTTTTTCATACTCTATAATGTTCGCTGCTCAGGTCCAGTCGATGCAGCGAGAGCTTTGCTATCAAAAAGCAGATCAGATTACTACAAGTCATGTGAGATAGCTCAGGAGAATCAAGTAGATCATGCTCTTTTGTCCCACTATCAGACTAGTGTGATCAACAGAAAGAAGGTACCAGCTTTCAAATAACACAGATACTTTCTGTTGCTCACACAAAAAATGTTTTAAAATAAAAATTTCAACTAATAAATATAGCTGTAAAACCTTAATTAATTTTTTTTAAATTTACTGTTTCCAGGTTTTGGACAGAGAGTTGGAGATACTGCGAGACCACTTCCCACAAAAACACCACCAGCTGAACAAGACATTTGAATCACTTGAGCACCACCAAGCTCGAGTAGATGAGCTGAATACACTCATAACTTACCTCAGTAACAAGGTGGGCAGACTGGAATCGGAACTTGAGACCCAACAGAACTCTGAACTTGAAAAACTGAAAACAGTCGCTGAGGCTCAGAAAGCAGAGGATGCTAAGATACTGGAGGAGCGGATGAAGGGTCAGGCAGAACAGTTGAGGTACAAGTACGAGTTGGAAAGGCAGAGTGAGGTCGAGAGCGCTGTTGCTGCTGCACGTGACGAGAGCGCTAGACACGCAGCCAAACAGGCACAGATATTGAAACAGGAGATGACGGAGGCAGCTGAGAAACAGATCAGAGATCTTAATTCCTTCTGGAGTGACGAGGTATTTAATTTACAATTATTTCTCGTCAATGAAACGTGTTTGATTACATCAATATGAATAACACTGCTCAGTATAGAATAAGTAAATTATACTATGTAAGTAATATCAGTATAAATGTTATTGTTGTACATCCACAACAATCTTATAGTGAACCTCCGATCAGGCTGCACTAAGAGAGTCAGTGGTAGAAGTTGAGTACCAGTGTAAACTTGAGAAAACAGACGCTCTTCTCTCTGGTGTCACACAAATGTTGGACGTACAAAGTGAGAGATATCAGACTCTTCTGTACAATCAGAAACTACTCAATCTTACCACAGTCCTGTTCGAAGCAATCAACACGAGTAATGATATTTTCTTTATTGAATTTAGCTCTAGATTTAGAGTTAAATCTCGAGTAATAAAATAAAAATTATAAGAAAAATAAAATACTCTCTATATTCTAATTTAGAAACAAGTTTTGGATTGTACCGTTCTGTTGTAGGTGAGAATATTGACGCAGTGCGCCTACAAGCTAGTGTAGATTTGCTAAGAATGGAGTACACCAGTGATCCGCTGATATCTGCTGTTACTTCTTCTATTCCTAGTTCAGTTCATTGCTCTTCTCTTACTATTCTCAGAGACAGGTTAACATTGTTTACTTACAGTAAGTACAGTAGACAAGTAGTACTTACTGAATTATGTTATTTAAATGGTTTTTAAGAGTTTAATATTGTGATGTATAATTACCTCTGTACGACTAGACAGCTGCTTTCGCAATAACAATAATTATATCTGCAGCTCATTATAATTTATATAATCTATGTTGGCAGGTTGACTGAATTGGATGGTAAATGCAGAAAAGTAGCACTGATGACGTCAGAAGACTGTGGTATTGGGTCCAGTATCTTGTCACGTGCTATGTCAGTCCTAACACTACACGATGACACGTATGATACTAAACCCGAGTTAGTGAAATGATAAATATTTGCTTATTAAAAACCGAATCTAAGTTCACTTGAATATGTTTACTTTATCTTGAGAGTTAGCTAATGTTGTTGTCAATGCTTTTAACTAAGACTACATATAAAAGTTCTTAATTCTCAATACAGGGAGGGAGGATCGTGGACGCTGTATTACCTTAACAAAGCAGAGCGAGAGATGAGGAACAATAATCTGGACACTGCTGCGCGGTATCTCAACCAACTTGTCGGCAAACCACGTGCCATTGTCACGGTTAGTTTGGGGAACTACAGCTGTAGACCCTATTTAGGTCTGGTAATGGAAATACAGTGGCCGCTGTTAACACACACCAGAAGCTGCCAATTCTTATCGACTTTTAAGTTTTATACATCCCAAACGCCCTTTTTAATTTATAAAGTTATCCTCAATCCTATCATAGTTTATTTACTTTGGACCAATTTTAATTTGTGAGAAGCGCGTAATAGCGTTAATGAAGCCCATTGATTGTACATGATGATTAGTTACATAGTAACTTTAAAACAGACTTAAAATTGACAGCCCATTTATGTAAGTTACAATGAAACATTAAACATGGTTGGATTTTACAGTTTGTTAATAGCTGGGATAGCTATTCACCTGGTAAACATTGTCCATTACTGATCTCTCTTTAATCGATATCTGTGTCAAGGTACTGTTTTTGAAAGGGTCTGTATTAAGGAGGTTGAGGGGGAGCTCGGGATACGGGGGAGGGGATTCGGGCCTTTGTTTTAGTTATTTATAATTTAGTTAAAGTACTGACACATCTCAGTAACATACCGGTAAGACAGGAGGAAGGCTGTTCAGTAGGTACGAGGACCCCGTCCTGACAAGTAGCCTGCTGAGTATTGAGAGCACCCTCCATAGTGAACCCTGGAGCACACCTCACTGTAACCTCTGTTCCGTGTACTTGGGGGAGTGGGGGTTCAAGGACTAGGTTAACGTCCCAATCTGGAGGCGGGGCCTTGCACTCGCCTGAAATTGTTTTTTCTGTTTGAGGAGTCCAGAGGCTTTTAATAATTACATAATTCTGTCAAAACTGAAAACCCTCTCAAATAATGTAAGATCTTCTGAAATAATCATAACAGGTTAATCATTGATTTTGATTTGAATTTGACTGTCTCACCTTTACAGCTAGGTGGCACACTGTACTGGAAACTCTGATCAGAATCACAAGTCACTTCATTATCTCCTGTGATAGAGTAACCAGATGTGCAGGACACTGTTATCACATCTCCTGTATCTACAGGTAGTCCAGGGGAGCTGGTCATGTGGGTCCAGGTCGGGGGTAGTTCGCTACATCCTGTAGATTTATTTGAGTTTAATCATTTAACCAACTTTTCTTCGATAAGAGATGTTTCATTGATTTTCGTAAACACAGCAAACTGTCATATCAACTAAAAATTAACACGCGATCTCAGTTATTCCATATGAGATGTAATCTAGAATCTGATCGCTAAACTTGGAGCAGTGCATGACTGCCAACTTTAAAGACGAAGCTAATATCAGATTTTCACCTCTCGAGATGAACAGAGAGTTCCAAGTCCGTCCGAAATAAATCGATGCAGATTGTCCGGTCCACTCTTTGTGACAATCAGTATATCCACTAAAATAATTACTTGCAAAGTGGAAGTTAAGGACTGTCACATCATTGCATACCATTATCAAGGCTGTACTTGTTTTCTGGATTTTCCACACTTTAGTCTGGTCGTTTGGGACTCCGCTCAGAAAGTTGGGTGTGTCCCACGCGTCCTCCATGCAGTTTCTGATCACACAGATCCATCTGCTACCGTCGTTTTTGAAGATGAAGGAGCTTGTACTTGAATCGAACATTACTTCAACATATTTTTCAACCTGATTTTCCGTGGTTTTTATTAATACTGTTTGATCAGATGTTAAAGGATAACGTTTTCCTGCTGTCACAGTATCCCACCCTGAGCAAAGTAAATGGAGTTACAGACTTGTTGTTTACAATGGAGTTTATAATGGTGTTAACTCATAAAATATGATCTGTTGACAACTTTACAAAATTGACTATAATTGAAATTATATTATATCCAGAAAGAAAATGAGCAGTACCTGTTGATCCATGGTACATCGTCACTGTTATAGCTAAGATAACAACCAATTTCCACAAACTGATCCACATTTCAAAATCACTAAAACGTTGAGAAATTATTTCCTTTCTACTATTATACATATTATCAGGATTCAGGGTAGCCTTAATATCATAGAGGAGACATAAACTTTCAATAATCTCCTGAGGCAATTCGGTAATTTGTCGGTGGAAATTTAAGGCACGGATAACACACAGACACGGCACGGTTAAGGGACACATCGTCGTGGTTTTTTCTAAAGGGCGAATGTACAATTACACTATGGCTTAAAACATAGGTTTAAGGGGGCATACAAAAAAACTGTTCAACCCATTACCCAAATGACCTCATAGGAGGTTCAGTTTAAACCATCTAGCACACCCTTTCCATACCATACAAATTTTGTTTGGCGATCCCCAATTTTGTAATTAAGCATTTCCTGGTCAAAGTGCATTTTTCAGAAAAGTACAATTTGTTTTGTTGAGAGTCTATAAGTCAATAATTTCTTGTGGTATCGAGCTGAAATGTTGTCAAGGAACATCTTTAGTCAAACAACAAATTTAAGCATATTTTTCGTTTTTCATATTTACAGATTTTCTAAATTTTCGATAGGAATGTGCTAGAGACTTTTGGAAGGGTGCAAAATAACTGCAACTAGCACAATTATCTATGAGTTATGAATAACAACACCCTAAAATGCTTCCTTTTTTTGTTGTTGATTTTTTGGCTTTGCAGATACGAGCCTTTTCAGATACGATATCAAGATTTTACACACATCTTGAAAAAGATATGAATAACCTTCGAGCAACATTTCAGCTCGATATCACAAGAAATGATCGACTTTAAATAGCCTCTCAACAAAACAAATTGTGCTTTCCCGAAAAATGCACTTTGACCAAAAATGCTCGATTACAAGAATGGGAATCCTCAAACAAAATGTGTATGGTATGGAAAGGGTGCTAGATGGTCACTGAACTTCCTACGAGGTCATTTTGAAAGGGCCCTTTTTGAAAGGGCGAATGTTACACAAAAGAGTCATTTAAAAAACTTGGATGGTCATTATCTCGAAAGCCCTTAATAAAAACCACGACGATATGTTGTATTTTGGGCAGGGGAGGTCCCAGAAGCTTTAGATTAGTGCAAAATTCTTGCAATAGCCACATTTACATGCAACTTATGAAGCAACATATGCCCTAAAATGATCAGGTAGAGGTCACTGATATCAGTTGATAGATCTGTCGAGGGGGCAAAAACAAGTTGGAGAAATATCAAGAAAACTTGCCACTGTGCCTTGCTCAACTTGATCGTAGAGTGTGTCTAGAAATATAATAAAATACCCAGCTCTTTTATGAGCAATGCCAGAGCGATGCTCTAAGGGCCGGGTATTGTCCATGGTTTTCCTAATGGCATAATGGCCTTTGTTTTAGCACCGTTTCGCTTGCCACAATCAAGCAGGAACCCTTTGCAATCCTCCTTTCTTTGTGTTACATTAAGATGATCTCACATAAACGGGTCTTTAAAATTCGCGGACAGATTACAAGCTACCATGAACATTGACTGGATTGACCTTTGCAAAGAGAGAAGCCGGTAGATCTGCTGAGGAGGCAGAAACAAGTTGGAGTAATAACAAAACTAACTTGCCAAGAAATCACAGTGCCTTGCTCAACTTGATCGTAGAGTGTGTTCTAGAAATATAACCAAATACCCAGCTGTCTTATGAGTTATGAGCAATGCCAGGGCGATGCTCTAAGGGCCGGGTATTGTCCATGGTTTTCCTAATGGCTTAATGGCCTTTGTTTTAGCACCGTTTCGCTTGCCACAATCAAGCAGGAAACCTTTGCAATCCTCCTTTCTTTGTGTTACATTAAGATGATCTCACGTAAACGGGTCTTTAAAATTCGCGGACAGATTACAAGCTACCATGAACATTGACTGGATTGACCTTTGCAAAGAGGCAAGGACCTGAATCCAGCTTCTTTTAACTCATACTTATGTCAGTGACGTTCAAGATTATGGAAAAATCCTAAGCGTCAAAGGGGAACTTGACGATATGGACATAAAACAGCTTTCTTAACGTTCGACAACCAACTAAGATAGAAGTTAATTCTGTTTAAATAATTCTGTTTTTTTTTCACTATCGGTAATCAGTATTATGTAAATTAACTGCAGAAAACAATACTAGATAGTATACTTTCCACAAAACTGTGGCCACCCTTAATCCAATAATGGCCAAAATATCTGCAAAAGTTGCGTGTTGACTATATATCACTCATATCAGACTGTTATATTAACTGACGGTAATGTAAGTACCTTACAACTACTGAGTACTGATCTCTAATATTTCAGGACTGGTTGAAAGACGCTCGAACTCTGCTCGAAATGCGACAGTCTGCGAGTGTGCTACTAAACTACGCCAAGTCAAGGAACAACTCGTAGCAGGAAGTAAAAATATCACACCGAGTATTTCTTTCACCCCACTAAGAGTAATTTATTTTGATCACTATTTGTCGATAACTAAGGGGAAAATACGATTTTAAACTGTTAAGGAATTGAAAGAGAAAGAGACGATATAATTATCTGTCAAAGTTTTTCTAATTTTAGAAATGTTTGATACTCTACAAGGTATGTTTTATTTATGAAGAGTTGTGTTTATTTATTGCAAAGGTAAATCATGACGAAGACTGATACATGATTTGGGATAAAGTTTTTTTACTCCACCGAAATAGTTAAGTATTTGATCGCTAAGAAACATTCTCCACGTCACGTTAGGAATTGTGTTTTGTACTTAGTTTTATATAATTCCAGGGAGTGTAGATTATGTTTTGTGATATAGATTGTCTATTTTGAAAAATCGATCCATTGATCATTAAGTTACTTAAATTCCTATAATATGTGCATAATAGCTTTGAATTGGTTGTTTAACTGACCTCCCGATTAAACAAATGACTTCCTTGTGCTCTGAAATTTTTACTTTTTGTGTTGTATTATATCGCTATATTCCGCTTTCTTATCACACTTCTACACTATATAATCTAACTAAATAATCTTAAGGATGAGGCTAACTCCGGACCTAATAGAAGAAGCATGTCAGTTTGTTAATCCTCTCAAAGAAAGGGAACTAGATCTCAGAGCTAAGAAGATACAAGTTATTGAGAATCTCGCTTGTACTTCAGATCAGGTATTTTTATTTGTACTTCCGATCAGATATTTTACCTCAGATCAGGTTTATCGGAATTTGGGTGTGTCTATGAGCGGATAGTTTCGTTAATACAGTCCACCAATGTATGTGACCAATCTGTCTTACAGAGTCCAGCTGTGTGTAATGAGTTCGTTACTTGGGAGTATACTTTTACTTTTATCCTTCTAGCACGTACTCATAGTTCAGATCAGCTCTGCTCTCTATGACTCTGATATTATGATAATCCAATCTTTATTTTGAGTAAATTCTTAATTCTGGCTTTAAGAACAACTCTGATATCCATGGTATAGAATTTTGTTCACTGTTGTTCATTTAACTAAAACTATAAACTACCGTTTCAGTTTGATTGTATTGATTTCTCTGATAACGAAATAAAGCGACTAGATGGGTTCCCGCTGCTATCACGTCTCAGCATGCTGCTCTTCAACAACAACAAGATATGCAGGATGTCAGAAGATCTGTATGCCTCTGTCCCCAACATTGAGACTCTAGTACTTACAGGCAACTTGCTGGAGGAGTTATCAGACCTTAAGGGGCTGGAGAAATTGACAAAGTTGAAGTATTTGTCTCTAATGAGGAACCCAGTGACTACTAAAGCTAAGTACAGGTTCTACATCATCCACCACTGTCCCTCAGTCACTGTCTTGGACTACAAACGAGTCAGGTTGCAGGAGCGGAACACTGCTAAGAAGATGTTTGGAGGTAAACAAGCGAAGAAAGAGGAGGGGAAGGTGAAGACCTTTGTACCTGGAGAGCCTGTAAAGAAAGGATCTACTCCTCAAGATAAGGAGGCTATCAGAGCTGCTATCGCCAAGGCTTCTTCTCTGGACGAGATCAGGAGATTAGAGATGATGTTGAGTTCTGGGTCCATTCCCGGCTTCTGAGATACAGTATGTGTCCGGAGTTTTATTTATCAGATTCCTCGACTTTCGCGCCACTTTCTTACAATAACTGCTTAATGTTTTAACTTTTTATGATAGATCATATCCTGTCTTGACCATCGGGAAATGCGAAATGTTTGGCCTCGAAAGTCAATATTTATTCAAAATTATTGCTATTTCGTATAATATGAGATATATTTTACACTTACTATCTGTTGTTTTACTGATTAGAACAGAGAATGCAATTCTATTACTACAAGGCCTGGAAGCGATCATCAATTGTTGAACCATCCAATTGTTGAACAGATACTAAAATTAATATTTTGCGATAAATGATTCTAATCATTGATACGTCAGTGATGTCTTGAGTGGAATAATCACAATCACAAATGGCCCCTTGGAATGGAAAAAATAATTTTCTTTCTTTTTTCGAAATGAAAACTCTAACCCTATATTCTAGGTTGAAACAAAATGCTGATACCAAATATCCTAGCCGTGCCCTTCACATACGTCGCAGGAAGAATAGATGCTCGATTTGTTGACAGAGTTGAGTGAATTTATGGCAGTAACGTTCACTAGCAGCATGGTGCGAAAGTAAGTTCACTAACTGCTTACCGGGTAAATGCTGCCTACGTACCCAGTTTCTGTCCACATTTTCAATAACATTTCTGTCAGACGCTGTGGTTTAAGTATAATGAAAGGCAAACTGACAACATTCAAAAGAACGCGCCTTACGCGTACGCGCGTACTGCATGGATATCACGGATCGGTTAATTTGTTATTGGCCACCCGCTTTCACATTTACCGCTATTTCAGCTGAAAGACGAACAATGACGAATGGAAGACGATAGTACATCCTACCAAACCGAAAAAAAGTTCAGGTGAGATGTTCTTTGGATAGTTAATGTTTCATGTAATGTTCATTAGAACGCTGTGGACACTTTTGTCTCTATATGAACCTTGTGTCGGGAATCTTGGAAGGTGTGGCAAAGCTTTCTGCGTAATTCCTCACTTGGTACTTTTCGTTTTTGGTCTTAGCAGTCACTTACAAGTTACAGATAAAATGTTACAGTGTTACACCAAGAAATGTTTCTACCTAACCTGCTCGTTTGGTATGAATGAAACTTGCGAATTTTGCCCGATTGTTTTTACTTCTGTATGTGAACTTCTACTTCCTTTTTATAAAATGAAGCACTGTCTCCTCAAGTTACGAGATCATATCGCATGTACAGTTTTTCATTGCAATCCCTCGGTACCACATTATGCGCAATTCTATTTTCTATTTTCTTCTCAAATCTCACTCACTGCTCATTTCTAAAATAGTAGCTGCCCGATGAGATTGTAATATTAATCAGCGATCGATCGTGCATCTCCACAGACAGCTCTGTTTTAGAACTAACTTTTCTTAATTACCCTAGTTTGTAGAATGGATGATCCGGTGGGGTCTACATCGAGCTAGGATCTTGATACGTCTCCTGTTTGGTCATGGACACGGACGTAATAACTTAAACTTTTTAGGGCTGCCTATTGAGATAAGGTTGGTCATTTGCAGATATTTGTCCAGCCCTGACATAAAATCTCTGTCCCAAGTTAGTACGAATTACAGAAGATTCGTTGATGAATACTTTCTATATGATCAGATAAACTTGCTTGAACGTTCTCAGACGGCTGGTGACCCTAAAAATCGATATGTTTTATCAATAAATGTAGATTTTGTGAAACAGTCGCCTGTGAAAAGAGCATGGGGTGTTGAGGCAGTTAAACTGATGAACATAACAGAGCTAAAAGATGTCGTGTTGCACAGCGACGGTTATAATGATAATAAACGCCAAACACAACAATCAATGACCCAAATATGCCAACGGTTTTCGGAGATTTCTTTTGCAATAATCAGGAATGCTTCCTATATTCATTCCATAGATCTCACCCTTTTTAAATGCCAAGATTCTTTGACAGCTATGGAAACACTTGTCACTAATGCCAATCATCTGAAAGATGTGACATTAAGACGTTCCACGTCATACGTTTCAGAGGCACATTTGCAAGAACAAAAATCATTTTCTTTATCAAGAATGATCGCAAGTTTGGTCGCAAAGTCGGCTATCACATCACTGCATCTCATTGATTTCATTTGCAAATCACTAGCAGAGATTGGTGGGCTCCTGATGCTAATAATAATATTCCTCACTTCAAAGGTCACTTGCTATCAGTTGAGTCCAAAACCCTGCAGAACTTAAAGTTTACAACTTCATCGCGGAAGGCAAGTGCTCCTGATTATATCGGAAATATTGATCTTATTTGCCCTCAACTGACAAACTTCTTCATTATCTACGGACAGAAAGAGAGACCATGTCTTTATCACCTCCGTCAGGTGGCCCCCGGAGTGTGTGATAGTTTAGCAAAGCACAGTCCTAAATGCAGGTATTTCAATGGTACCTATGTGAAGTATAGATGGTATTGGGATGAGTGCGCTTGGTCCTGCCCCTATCCACGCCGGCGTAGTTAATACTTTAGTGGTCACGGCCCGGGTTGAAGGACTAGTCCTAAGTTTTAATTGTTTTAAACACTACTTTATCGACACCGAATCATTTCATTATATTGTGATATACTTAGACACTTACTTACTTTATGTATATTATTTAGTTTGTTTAATGTCATATATTATATATACAAATAGTGGTTTTCTCAAAAAATAGCTTTCAGTTTTGTTCTTTTATTCTGCGGCGAGGGCAGTCAAAGACAAATATTTTTAATTTAGACTGTTTAACCGGGCTATGAGTTTTGATATGAATTTTAAAAACTTTATGATTTTTTTCTTAATATTTATGGATGACTAGTACAAGTGTTAATGTCAATTGTCAAATCATAAATTTTACTTTATATTTTACAAAAAATAAATTACCGTTCGTTTTATTTGAATTGGAGTCATAGTGCTGAAATTCTGCATACAACTGAAGTTTCGGATACAAACTGTCAAACTGGAACTATGAACGTAGAAATATGTCAGTTGGGTGTAAATACACTATTATCGCTTAGAGTTAAAGCAGCCATAAATGCCAGTGATGTATGTATCCGTCAAATTGATGAAGCAAACCATTCACATCTTGTACAATAATTTGAATTATGGAAGCTCTACCCTCATTATAGTAACAGTGAAATGTCTTCAGGTTGTAGAGTGCACTGATGCTGTTTAAACCAGTGGAATTATTTTGTTCAGTAAGAAGACAATGTACTGAGATTAAAGTTATTGGTAGTGTGAAGAGGACAAGCTGTGATTTTCAGAACTTAAGATTATTTTGATTTGTAAGTATTACAGATAACTTCTTACGATTCATCCCGTATGTCCACTGATAGTTTCGTACTTCTCTTAAGAACTAACACTTTTAATTGACCCTAGCTTGTAAAATGTTTGATCAGGCTAGCTCTCCTACGAGCTCGGATGTTAGGAAAGTATGGACAAGGTCCCCTTCCTGCCGTCTTGTTAGAAAAACAGTTCCCGGATATAACTTTAACTTTCTTGGGCTACCTCTTGAGATAAAGCTTGTCATTTGCAGATATGTATCTACATTTGACATTGAAACTTTGTCCCAAGTTAGCGAAGACTACAAAAGGTTTGTTGATGAATACCTCCTATATGATCAGATCAACTTGCCGGAAGATTCTCAGACAGCTGGTGACCCTCAAAATAAATGTGTTTTATCAATAAATGTCAATTTAATGGGAAAGTCACCCGTCAATAGGGCTAAGAGTGTTGAAGCAGTTAAACTCATGAACATAGCAGATTTAAAAGATGTGGTGCTGCACAGCGACGGTTACCACGATAATAAATCACAACTATCAATTACTAAAATATGCCCTTGGTTTTCAGAGATTATGATTTCAATATTTAGGAATGCCGTTTATATTCAGTTTATAGACCTCATCCTTTACAAAAGCCAAGATTCTTTTACAGCTATGGAAACACTTGCCAAAAATGCCAATCATCTAAAAGATGTGACATTAAGGCGTTCCACGTCATACGTTTCAATGGTGCATTTGGAAGAACAAAAATCTGTTTCTTTATCAAGAATGATCGCAAGTTTGCTAGCAAAGTCTTCGATCACATCTCTAGGTCTCATTGATTTTCATTCGCAAAGCAGAGACTGGTGGGCTCCAGATGCTAACAATAACATATTCTGGGAAGGTCACTTTTTATCAGTTAATTCCACAACTTTGCAGAGCCTAATGTTTATCACTTCATCCTGGGAGGCAATTGCTCCTGCTAGTGGTTATATCGGAAATATTGATCTTATCTGTCCTCAACTGAGAAACTTCATTGTTATGTTCGGAATGGAGAGGCTGTGTCGTTATCACCTCCAAATTGCCCCCGGTTTAGATGATAGTCTAACAAATAACTGTCCTAAATTAAGAGGTTTCAATGGTAATTTTGTTAAGACCAATTGGGATTCGGACAAATGTACGAGGGCGTGCCCCTACTTTCACTCATTTCTACTTTTCTAGTAACATTATAGGTGTCTACTTTTCTAGTAACATTATAGGTGTCTACTTTTCTAGTAACATTATAGGGTTCGTATCGAGGGCTATGATCTATGGTGGTTTTTTAGTTTAAACTGTTAATCGTTCCGAATAGAGTAGTCGTAATTATCTTTAAATGTTGCAATAGATAAACTAGCAGCTATTATGCATTGTTTATGGTAAGCTTATTTAAGCTAGTTGTTATTTTAATTTGTTTTCTAGACACATAATCATTATAGGTTTCTTCTGTTATATTACTTAGTTTGTTTTTCACGCGGTTTGAAAAATTATCTTTTATTCCGTTATCAATTATTTAAATTTTACATGCAATATAATCTAAACCTCATATTAACTGAGGCAAGGGTAACTGTAATACTCCTACCTAACGATTTTAATTTTAAATTATTTCAACCAGACTGAGAGTTTTTACTTAGTTTGACATTTTTACATTTTACATGGTTTATAAATTTTAACATCCAATTATAATTCTTAACCATTTTTAAAGATATTTCTTTTATTCAAAACTCAAGTCCGCAATTCTGAAATTTTTCTCGTTGCTTTAGTTTCAGATCCACACTTAAAATGTGAGTGTAGGTAAACTGTCAGTGGGGTATAACAAATATTACTCTGGTATCGCTCAAAGCAGCACAAAATGCTAACGTTGTATCTGTTTAATCGATAAAGCATATCATTCACATCTTGTACAATAATTTGAATTATGAAAGCTCTACCCTCATTAGAGTAACAGTGAAATGTCTTCAGGTTGTAGATTGAACTGATGCTGTTTAAATCAGTGGAGATGTTCAGTAAGAAGAAAATGTACTGAGATTACAGTTATTGGTATGGTGAAGAGGACAAGCTGTGATTTTCAGAACCTAAGATTATTTTGATTTGTAAGTATTACAGATTACTTCTTACGATTCATCCCGTATGTCTACTGATAGTTTCGTACTTCTCTTAAGAACTAACACTTTTAATTGACCCTAGCTTGTAAAATGTTTGATCAGGCTAGCTCTCCTACGAACTTGGATGTTAGGAAAGTATGGACAAGGTCCCCTTCCCGCCGTCTTGTAAGAAAAACAGTTCCCGGATATAACTTTAACTTTCTTGGGCTACCTCTTGAGATAAAGCTTCTCATTTGCAGATATGTATCTACATTTGACATTAAATCTTTGTCCCAAGTTAGCGAAGACTACAAAAGGTTTGTTGATGAATACTTCGTATATGATCAGATCAACTTGCCGGAAGATTCTCAGACAGCTGGTGACCCTAAAAATCGATATGTTTTATCAATATATGTCAATTTAATGGGAAAGTCACCCGTCAAGAGGGCTAAGAGTGTTGAAGCAGTTAAACTCATGAACATAGCAGAATGAAAAGATGTGGTGCTGCACAGCGACGGTTACCACGATAATAAAACAGAACTACCAATTACTAAAATATGCCCTTGGTTTTCAGAGATTACGATTTCAATATTTAGGAATGCCGTTTATATTCAGTCTATAGACCTCATCCTTTACAAAAGCCAAGATTCTTTGACAGCTATGGAAACACTTGCCAAAAATGCCAATCATCTAAAAGATGTGACACTAAGGCGTTCCACGTCATACGGTTTAATGTTGCATTTGGAAGAACAAAAATCTGTTTCTTTATCAAGAATGATCGCAAGTTTGCTCGCAAAGTCTTCAATCACATCTCTTCGTCTCATTGATTTTCATTTGCAAAGCAGAGACTGGTGGGCTCCAGATGCTAACAATAACTGGGAAGGTCACTTTTTATCAGTTAAGTCCACAACTTTGCAGAACCTAAGGTTTACCGATTCATCCTGTGCAACATTCGTTCCTATTGATGATTATATCGGAAATATTGATGTTATTTGTCCTCAACTGAGAAACCTCATTGTTATGTACGGGGTAAGTGGTTGGCTGTGTCGTTATCACCTCCGCATTGCACCCGGTTTAAATGAAAGTCTAACAAATAACTGTCCTAAATTAAGGTGTTTCAATGGTAATTTTGTTAAGACCAATTGGTATTTGGACAAATGTACGAATACGTGCCCCTACTTTGATTATGGTTGGTGGGCTAGACAGTGAAACACGCAATTGTAGTGTATACCTACTTCGTAGGATTACATCATTAACTACAATGGAATTAAGTTAGTTAGTTTAATTAGTACTAAACAAACGAAGATCTAAAATGCCTCAAAAAATCGAGAATCAAATGACCTAAATAAAATACACGTGGTAAATGGAAATGAACTACAAAAAGAATAAAACTTCAAAAAGTGAATTAAAAACTAAAAATCGTATCTTTTAACTTTGCACCTATTTAAACCCAAGCAATTAGTTCTATACTTAAACTTCTCAATATACCTAAATTCCTCCCTATTTAATCCCCTGGGGTTACATTCTTTCAAAATGGCAAATTTATAGTTGTCAATAGTAAAACTGTCACTGTGATGTTCATAAGCATGAATCGAAAGAGCTGATTTATTACGATCCTCTACTTTAAAACAAGCTCTGTGTCCATTGACACGTCTATAAAAGTTTTGCATTATTTGCCCGAAATAAGTGTCTTCTACAACTATCTTATAACCTTCTTCCTTTATTAAATTACAAAGCTTACATTGGGCCACATAAATAACAATTTTTAGATTTACAATCCCCTACATGCCCCTACTTTGACTATTCAAAAAAATAATTTCTACTTTTCTAGTAACATTATAGGGGTCTATTTTTCTAGTAACATTATAGGGGTCTACTTTTCTAGTAACATTATTGGGTTCGTATCGAGGGCTATGATCTATGGTTGTTTTTCAGTTTAAACTGTTTTAATCGTTCCGAATAGAGTAGTCGTAATTATCTTTAAATGTTGCAATAGATAAACTAGCTGCTATTATGCATTGTTTATGGTAAGCTTATTTAAGCTAGTTGTTATTTTAATTTGTTTTATAGACACAATCATTATAGGTTTCTGCTGTTATTACTTAGTTTTTTTCTTTCTCACGTGGTTTGAAAAATTATCTTTTATTCCGTTATCAATTATTTAAATTTTACATGCAATATAATCTAAACCTCATATTAACTGAGGCAAGGGTAACTGTAATACTCCTACCTAACGATTTTAATTTTAAATTATTTCAACCAGACTGAGAGTTTTTACCTATTTTGATATGATATTTTTACATTTTACATTGTTTATAAATTGTAACATCTAATTATAATTCTTAACCCTTTTTAAAGATATTTTTATTCAAAACTAAAGTCCGTAATGTGAGAGTAGGTAAACTGTCAGACGTCAGTTCAGACAAAAAACTAATGTGGTATCTAATAGCTTAAAACAATACAAAATGCTAACGTTGTATCCATAAAAGCATACCATTCACATTTCACATCTTGTTCAATAATTTGAATTATGATATTAGCTCTACCCTAATTATAGTAACAGTAAAATGCCTTCAGGTTGTAGATTGAAGCGCTGCTGTCCCTGCACTCGTTATAACACTGGAGATGTTGTGTTCAACAAGAAAGCAATTTGTTGAACTTGATACCAAAGTGGCAGAGTGGAGATAAATTGAAGATGTATTAAACCGATCTGAATTTGAAGATTTCCGTTTTTGTTTTACCTTAGTTGATTTTTGTCGGATTCTAGCACAAGATCTCTTGTTGTCTTCTCGTAATTACTGAGCTGATTATGCTAAGTTTTAATCGTTACTGTCATGTCAGCCTTTTGTTGTAGATAAACTTTGTTTTAGTGCGTCTCCAATTATAAAAGTTGTTATTTTGACGAATGACAATCTCAACTTTTGCTCCAGTCTGTGGTTGTTTCTATTAAGTTTGATAACTAAATTATGAACATAGACACAGCTAAATAAATCACCCAATATAGTGAACATGTCCAGTGTGAAGGACAGGTTAAAAGCGGAGTTAGCATCGAATGAGCCTGAAGCAAGCACCAGTGCTAGTGGTACTAAAGAAATACCTGCTCCTGAACCTGATACAGAAGATAAAGCAAAACTTCAGGTTATTTGAAAACAAAAGTCAAACTTTTCTTTGCAGCTTTTTTAACAGCTAGAATGCCCAAGTACTCAACTGATTTACTAAAGACTCTATTTTCACTAGGGAGTAGGGACTCTATTTTCACTAGGGAGTAGGGACTCTATTTTCACTAGGGAGTAGGGACTCTATTTTCACAAGGGAGTAGGGACTCTATTTTTACTAGGGAGTAGGGACTCTATTTTCAAATAAAAATAACCGACCAGATGAATTAGTGATTTGTTTTCTGTATTTGCTCTCGATCATAAAATTCCCAGATCCTAGTTTCGGCGCTGAGCGAGGAACAACTTGACAGATATGAAGCGTTCAGAAGATCCAAGTTTCCCCAGTCTATGATGAGGAAGACTGTACATGGAATGACGGGGGTTATGCCCTCTAGTAACTGCTGTATTGCTTTATCAGGTTAGAGAACTACAGATGTCTGTCGATTACACTTTTGATCTAGTCACAATTAAAAAAGGAGACGTGGTATGTGAGTTTTGAAAATGACTAGCTAACAGCTAACCAATTTATGATCTTACTAGTGTAACCCGGCCTACGGCCGGGATTTCACTGCCGCAGTTAAAAAGGGTAGGAGTAATTACCCGCTGAGTCAAAACCCGCATTAGGTGACCCAATAGTTTCTTAAACAATAATCTCATAATCAGTTATTTCTTGTGGATAATTAAGTCATTATTAGCCATGAGGCACCACACTCCATGATCATAAGGTCTGAACACCGAGTTTTACACCTCATCACTCCCGTCTTGAACCGCTTTCTATTTTTATTTAAATCGTTATAGAAATTAACCCTTGTTAACTCCGCACCACACCCGCATATTATATTTGAAAACACGCATAACATTGTCGTATGAACTCTCTCTCTCTCTCTCTCTCTCTCTCTGCAGTCCAAACAGACCCCAAACACTAACAGTCCCCCCTCCCCTAATAAGCTTAAGGTATAACATTACAGCGAATCTTCCGGGCTAATCCCATTATGACGCTACTTAAATGCAGCTATAACATATTACACAGTAATGAGAGAGAGAGAGCAAGCCCCGTAACTCTTGCCGTTCTGCTCAAGCAATTTTATGTAACATTTGTGGTACAAAACCATCAATTAAACCACTTACCACCGGCCGATTTAAAAAAAATTTCCTATGGGCTTCATCAGAGTTTTGTCGGCACTATACCGAAAAAACCAGTCCCGTAACTATTACCGTTTTTTTGATATAACTGTTTGGAAATTACACACAGACACACACACAGACACACAGACACACACACATTCTGGTGTTATTAAGTTGATTTGTTTTTTGTCGATTGACACCAATTATAACATACCTCTATTTCATCAGGTATTGCTAAAGTTCTAGTTGGTCAGATAGTCGAGGAGTCACTGGATGTACAAGAAAGTCTCAAAGAAAGTGGACCAATACACCCCAAACACATCCGGGACGCGGTGAGACGTCTCAGAAACCAGGGACAGTTAGGAATCAGTCATCACAGGAAGAATAAGTTGAAGAGGCTGTGAGGTGGATGTAATGAAATTAGAGTTATTGTAAGTCACAGCAGAGCTGTAAGCGGACAAGTTGCCAGCAACAAGATTCAGATGTTATCAGTCTATCTAGTGTGGTGGAATTATTATGCTGATACAAATTAAAAGAGATGCTCAAATATATGTTCACGATGATGACAATGACGAGTGACGACGAACTGTATTGTAATAAATTTTCAGTTTATACGAATTAAATATTTATGTATGGAATCAATCATTCGAGAAAATCGAATTTTCATGAAACTTTAGTAGTAATTAGTAGTACTTTTATTTACATTTTGTTAGATTGTCCCGAAGGTACGTATTGTGGAGTTCTTTTCTAAACGCAATTTTTAATGCGACCTGGTTTCATCTTTAAATCTTTGATTAACCATTCTTCTTCTGCAGTAGGATAGAATGACTTGACAAATACAGATGAATGTGCCTTCAAAATCTTGACAAACAGGTTACGAAAAGAAAAATTTCCATATCCTCTACCTCATATCATGCTTTCGATGCATTTCAACATTCTTACGTTTAAAACTCCAAACTAGGCTTCACCTGACTTGACCTGCTAGTAGATCAGCCTACTAACCCGCACAACACCAGGTATGGTACTGGGGGAAGGAGGATAAGGATGACACAAACAGAGCGCTAGAGCACTGTCTGGATGGTACCTACCTAGTCCGACAGAGCTCCAACCCACCGGACCAGACTATACATGTGGTCTACAAGGGCGTGGTCAAGTTGGTCCGGATCTTGGTCCGGGATGGGACGGTGGGGTTGTCTTTGGATAATATGCGCTTTAAAAGTGTGGTGGAAGTCATACAACACTTCAGGTATTTTGGGGGTGTTTTTATTATCACTTAACTATTGTTCGTGTTTTGTTTGTTACTGGTTAGGGATAAATTCAATGACAGGAAATTTCTCTATTGGAATTAATTGATAGATTTTTTTCCCTGCTAGACTTGGTTTGATCTCACCACTAACTATTATCTAATCCTCCTCCTCTCCCAGCAATGTGTCTCTAGCACAACACAACAAGGCCCTCAATGTCAGGCTTACAAATCCCCTCGCTAAAGATCTTGACGATGACAGTGCTTTCGATGACATACTGAAGGAAGATGAAACTTGGGCCATTTACGTTAACTTTTACATGGAGTCTGAGATAAGGTAATTATATTATATTTCTACATATTATGAGATAAGATATGTATGTAGTATTTATGTATCATAATGCAGTAAAGATCACTTTAGAACCTGTTATTCATCCCGTTCAATCGATTTTATATAAAATCCAAAAATCTGTATGTTCTCTTTGAGTTCCGTTTTTCGAGCCCTCACAGACCTTCACCCTGTCCCAGAATGACGAAAGAGGAAAAGTGTCTACAAGATCTAGCTGTAGCACAGGAAGAAGCCCAACGTTTCTCCTACCAGGCAACTGCACAGCACATGGTAGTTGAAATGCTGAAGGAACAGCTGGCAATCCAACCCATGGCTTGCAAACACTTTAGCAGCGAATATATCGGATTTATTAACAATAATTTTGAGACGATGAAGTCTAGGTTAACCGAGGCAGAGAAGAAGCTAGAGATTTGCAGTGACCAGGTGACCAAGATCCAGGCTAAAGTTAGGGAGCTGGTATTGTTGAAGGATGATATGGATAAGAAGAAAACTAAGTTGTACCGGAAGATGGATTGGTATGAGAGGTTACTTCCGATAGAGGGTATAGATACCGATACTATTTCAAATGGTATTGCTCCCTTCACCCAGAATTTAGGTAGGAAGACTGATTTTTTAGCTTGCTTTATCTGCAAATGATTTACATCTTCTAGACTGTGACTTTTGAAGCTCTGTACTTGATGGTAATTGAGTCTTGAATATGCAGGATGTGTTGACTAATGTTTTGTTTCTACCAGGCCCAAAGATCCTGATAAATGGAATAAAGGAGATGTGGTTTGTTGGTGAGATGAACAGTGTGGATGGTGACAAGCTCCTTAAAGGAAAGGAGAACGGTACCTTCTTGGTCAGACTGAACAACAACAGAAACTACGTTCTTTCTGTTGTCAACAAGGTAAGTCAGCTCTGTTTGTTCGAAAATTAGGCATCATGTAGCCGGTGGGCCCGACATGATACAACATATCTCGACACGTCGGGGTTTGTCGGGGTTTGCCAGGGTTTGTCGGGGTTTGTCAGGGTTTGTCGGGTGTGTCGGGGTTTGTCGAGCCTGGAGGCTTTTTTTTTTTTTTTTTTTTTTTGAGTCTCCCAACAAAAAGCTGAGACGGAGTCATCAAGCTTTACGTGGAAAAACACTACACAAGAAGGCCTCATGTAGCCGGTGCGCCCGAGGCAAAACCCCTCGACAAACCCCGACAAACGGGGTGTGTCGGGGTTTGTCGGGGTTTGTCGAGCCTGGAGGCTACATGATGCCTAAAATTAAACTTTAATTTATCAATACATTCTCTTAATCTCAACAAGTCGAAATTGTAAAATACTGGAAATGTTGGTCGGCAGTTTTGAAGGTATGTAGTTTACGAATGCTCCTCTAATTCTGACATTTAATTAATCCGCAGAGAAAAGTGCGCCACATCCGCATCCACGAGAACGAGGACAGACACTTGTGCTGGCTTAAAACCACCAAACAGTTCTACTCAGTGGATCAGCTTATCCAGTTCTTCCAAGATAACTCCTTAGGCCTGCAAGACAGGGAGTACACAACTAGTCTCAAGTACCCTGTTTACTATTAGTATTTACTGTTGTTCACATTAAGTGTCATATAAATTTAGGTGTACTGTTGGTGAGAGATGGTGCATCATTTCTTTATTTCTTTATTGTGGGTTAATTTTAGATGTTATGCTTCTTTGGGGTTTAAAATCTGTCTTTTGGGTTTTGACATTATTGATAGGTACCTTTGAATTTAAATTGTCATTATTTTAACTTAGTCATATTTCTGTAAGTAGATAATTTAGTTTCTTTTACAATTTACATAACCTGCATTTCACAGATGACCAGATAAACAATTTTTCTTGGACGTTATATTAGTTTTGTGATGTATCACCGTAAGGAACTACCGCTCAGTTTTTTGTTTCAGTTATGACTTTAGTTTTCCGAGTTTCGAGATTTTAAACTTTTTAAATCAGATATCCATTATGTTTGATGAACTATTATTAATTACAATTTATTATGGTTAACTAAAGTTAATCATTAAAGAATTATTAATATTAACTGTTTTGTAACGCACTTTGCGGGGATTTGTACATACATTTTTCTTTTATAGGAAACGCTATCTCAGGACGCGAGGAGGATTAGGACTCCTCGGACTACATTAAATCAATTTCTTCTGTGATGTCCTCAATAAATGTAATAGATTTGTAGTGCTGTAATTAGTTTAAATATGTCACATTTTAAAGTATGTTTTATATTATGCGTAGATAGTTCGAGAAACGCCTCAAATTTTAAACTTTACGTATGTTTTATATCTAAGCCTAAACAATCATGTATGTTATCAGTTTAAGTGATAAGAATTAAGAATGTACATTCAAGAAAAATAATCGTTTGTGAATGTGAAAGCGTCAGTGATTTGTATATTTTTGTTATTACTCATGTTTACTTATTATTCAATTTGATGTGTGTATTATTCAAAGCATTTAACTATTCTCCATATAAAGTAAAATTATATCTAAAAACTGTTACTTATTAATAATCATCTTGCATTGGAGCTTTGGAGCAACAAGAAAGTTTCAAAGATTGGAGGTCTGTGTAGTTACATTTGAAGTTATAATTGTTTGATAATAAATAAAACCTATATCTTAAATCTTAATGAACTCACCCTCACTGTCTCCTGATAGGATGGCAGCAAAGCTTACCCGAGAACAAAGTGTGGCAGAGAGCCAGGTTCTGATAGATGCGTTACCGTACACAGACGAGGGTTATGAGGATGAGAAAGTCAGGGAATCTGCTGCCAGACTCATCGAGGAGGAGGTTCGTTTCTAATAGCGATCTGTTTTCTATGGAGTTTGGAGTATTTAAGTTTTAGTTAACTTAATTGTGACTCTGTCTTCAGGAGTACAGACTTGTCCTTACACGGTATTGTTCTTTATATTAAAACTGGAAGATGGAAACAATCATGAAAACTATAATCTAACCAGCTATATTAGGTGAAGCGTTACCACAGCACTAAGAACTACCTGGAGCACATGCCCGGGAACCTGCACGAGAAGTGGGAGACCCCGACTATGAGGACCATGTTCGAGAGACTGGACGCCAGACAGCCCAATGAAATGTTGTCTATGAAGAGGTGCGAGCTTCCCCAGCCTCCCCCTGGTTTGTGATACAGTGCTTCTAATATTACCTACTGTATCTCGTGCAATATTGATTATATCGTCTGCTTTTTTATTTGCTTCGTTATTATTTTGTGTACTGTTTGGGAGGTTTTCTGTGAAGATTTCTAACGAATTTGTACCAACAATCCTATCCAACATTTGTCCATCAGTCACACAAACCTGACCCCCAGGACAGAAACACGACGTATCAGCGTGGTTGTCAGCAGTAAGCAACTCCCGGGCTCAGCTGGAGCATCAGGACGTGAGGCTTGCCAACTTGGAGCTCCTCAAGGACTACGGGTGTAACTCGTGGACTTTGTATCTGCAACAACTTCAGAACCTGTCTGAGTCTCAGCAGGCCAAACTTCATGCTCTCAAACAAAACATACAGGTTCGTTGAATGTAGAATTTAGAATTTTTCAAATTCGTATTATTATTAATCATTTAACTTAGTTATTAGATGTGCTTTTCTATTCATAATTTTCGACTATCGAGATTTAAGGCCCCAAACTCAACACTGTTTTTATCAATAGTTTAGCACTTGAAACTAAATCAATTAAACCCGATCCTTACCATCCCAGGATACGAACTGGGCCCGAAAGAGAGAACACACAGAAGCGGGCAACATGCTTCACAAACTAGAAGGGGAATGGTTGGAACTTGTCGGGAAGAACTACGCAGTAGAACGGGCGTGTGCCGAGCTAGAGACAGAAGTTGATAATTTGGAGACTGAAAAAGTGGAGGGTCTCAAAAAACAGAAAGTTTCTGAGGAGACCGAAATTCCCGCTGACGCTTCATGACAGTTTTGGTTGAAAGATATTCTTGAAAATAAGCCCGTTTTAGTGGAAAGAGCCACTTATTCAGATTATATTGGATCAGGAATCTAGTGGACATTTATTTGTCCAGTGTTTATTATCCTTTTTACAATTATCATCCTTAATACCGGTATAATGTGACGTCATATAACATCTGCTGCCTCTTGGAGAGAGTCTACATTCTAAATTATAGCTGGTCATTGTTCGTTTTATTGGAGATTGTTACCATCTTTCGTGGGGTTGATGTTAAGTTTAGTCTTATTGTATAACGAACGATGGTATGCGTTTTTGAAGCTTTTACTATTATTTTGGCTGCATTTTTAATAGTTAAGACTAAAAGTTTTTTTCTAATGTGTCTCTAAGGTTTGGTCCGAAAATATGACGTAATCCGTAGGAAAACTTTTGGCTTAAAAAAAGCTGAAATATAATGCCCTTAAAAGGAGCTCACATTTCAAGATAAAGAAGCCGACCTATTAGCCGTGTGTTCAGGCTATCTTGTTATTTATTTCGTAGATGATAACCATGACCATTTGAACGGGTCTCAAATTTCAATACCTTTCATTGCTCAAACTTTATTCTAGAAATTTCCTTTTATCCCTCACTCTTGTATTGACTCGAATCTCGATTTTCTGGTTCGTGAATATCAAATTAAACCAGTAATATCGGTATCGAACGATTTTTATCAAGTACGCATGAGGGAAATTTGGCATTCTTCCAATTGATAGGATTCCCCGAATCACCCTGGACCTGTTGGTATCTCAGATTCAATTATCTTTGAATACTGCTCATATTTCCGATCGTTTAACACGTAAGCCTTTGTGCACCACCACAATTTATTTTAAAGTTTTATTTGACAAGATTTCCAAATATAATTTGTGTCATGACTGCTTTTCAATCATCAAGTGAATTCGAACAGGCGTAACGACTAACGAACAGCCTAGCATATCCCCATTTTTAATTATCTTGAAATTATCTTACATTTTCTCCCCGGCCCCTGCGGGACAATAAATCATAGATTGATGTAATTTTAACCGTCTCTTCTTCCCGATAGCTTAAACATTAGTCGTGTTCAGAACGTATAGTTCAGAACAACACAAATATCAAGGAGACGCCGACACCACACCTCTACTCTACTCTTACAACCGCTCTCAACCAACCAACCAACAAATTCAGATATGTTAGTTTTATAGCTCAAGTGAAACTTCCTTCCAGTTTGAAATTTTTATAGCCTTTTAAATTTTATATTGGGACACATGCTAGCAACAACTAATAGCGTTTCAGACAATGTTAACAGTCCTATTTTTCAACAGGCAACAGGATCTCTCATTTAACTTCTTAATTTTCAGGCAGTACACACACCCTTGTAAACTCGCGAAGGCCGGACATGGTCCCATCGGCCTCGGCCGATAAGTTAGCTTCACATTCAGAGTATGTTTTAGTTAGCTACGTGGGGGATACTCCAGCTCCAGCTAGAGTTGGGGAGTACGACAAGCCAACTCCAGCTCAGAAAGGTACTTTTAATTTAATTTTTGCGTTTTCTGATAATCTTTTACTTTGTGCATTAATAATAATCACTGCCTTTTCGTAAATTACGGAAGATCAAGAGAGGAGTAGGTCTGGCTTTAAAAGATTTTACGTACTTTAGAAGAGACTTGCAATGTGCCCCATTCCGTGCAACTGAACATAAAGGTTATTGGAGGTGAAGGAGTTAACCCTCTGCTCTCTTCAATACAGCAGGTTTTTATTACTTTCTATTTCCTCGCCGTTCGATTAAATAACTGAACAATTTATCAAGATTGTCACTTTGTAACACATTACCCTGAACTCTGTTCAACCCTCAACGATCAAGATTCAAACATAATCATATTCTGAATGTGCCTCTTAACAATATTAAACAGAAAACACGTTCCCGCAGGATTTCCCCGGAGAGTTTGTAGAGTACACGTTGTTAGACTACTACGGAGGTTTGGGTCGGATACAGACCCTCCGGTTTAACCACGTACTCTACATGCCCATGACGCATATTACTGATAAAACCACAAAGGAATGGTACGTACCACTAGTGTTTTCTGTTCAACTGTATTGACCATGTTCTAGTTGTTCGGTGGTATCAGTAAGATACTACCACTAAGTTATTAGACTGGTATAAGGTATTGAGTTATACTTTGTTTTAAAGACCATTGCACATTACCACTATTTAGCACTATTTACCACTACTTAAAGTAATGACTAACTCCTCCCAGTTTCCAAGAGATGTTGGAGCACTGTGAAGGGACCCAGTCAGCCCAGCAACTAGTAGCCTGTATTGAGCGGTCTGCTCCGGAACGTGTATCCCTTGTCCGCTCTCTCATGTTCATAGGTTTTAAGGCTGTTACCTTTGTCAAACATCCCCGTCTCGTACCAAAGAACACAAAGCTTATTTTCATGTTGTACTGGATTTACAAAGATAAAGAGTTAATTACGATTGAACCTTAGTTTCCAGAAATGAACCCCCCTCCAGGTACTTGGTTGATGTGTGGGAGTTTTATTTCTGGTGCTATAATTTACTACAAAAATAAAGATTTTATCAAGATTTTTATTTAAAGATACTTGATGATTAGCTATTTGATTTATTATTACAATACGTCAGGCACACACGCGACCTTTTCATTTCAACTTTTCAAATGCAAACGTTAAACAACAAGTTTTTTGATTTTGTTCGCTGAATTGTGAATGATTTAAATAATTTCAGCATTAATTTTTTGTAAAAGAGACTTATAATTATTGTATTTTGATTAACATTGATTTCAAATTTTTGATTGTAATTACAAATTCAAATAAACTTTAACGAACAGTAAAGAGTTTTACTTTTGCAAATGTTTACTCATTTTATTTATATGAGCAATGAAAGTGAATGCTTTAAAATAGAAATTGAAAGAAAGAATACCGGTGTTTCTGGTGTGCAATTCTAAAGCAGTTTAGGGTAGCCAACTAGTTAGTATTATAGTAGTTACTAGTTGGCTACCCAATAGTAGTTGTAGTTCAACCTTTGCCCCTTGCTGTGGGCCTACCATGCACAAGTGCACGGCCACTTTGCAGCCCACCACGTAGCGGCTGATAGCCACTTTGCAGCCCACCACGTAGCGGCTGATAGCCACTTTGCAGCCCACCACGTAGCGGCTGATAGCCACTTTGCAGCCCACCACGTAGCGGCTGATAGCCACTTTGCAGCCCACCACGCAGCGGCTGATAGCCACTTTGCTGAGTTTGCAGCCCACCACGCAGCGGCTGATAGCCACTTTGCTGAGTTTGCAGCCCACCACGCAGCGGCTGATAGCCACTTTGCAGCCCACCACGCAGCGGCTGATAGCCACTTTGCAGCCCACCACGCAGCGGCTGATAGCCACTTTGCAGCCCACCACGTAGCGGCTGATAGCCACTTTGCAGCCCACCACGCGGCGGCTGATAGCCACTTTGCAGCCCACCACGCGGCGGCTGATAGCCACTTTGCAGCCCACCACGCAGCGGCTGATAGCCACTTTGCAGCCCACCACGCAGCGGCTGATAGCCACTTTGCAGCCCACCACGCAGCGGCTGATAGCCACTTTGCTGAGTTTGCAGCCCACCACGCAGCGGCTGATAGCCACTTTGCAGCCCACCACGCAGTGGCTGATAGCCACTTTGCAGCCCACCACGCAGCGGCTGATAGCCACTTTGCAGCCCACCACGCAGCGGCTGATAGCCACTTTGCAGCCCACCACGTAGCGGCTGATAGCCACTTTGCAGCCCACCACGCGGCGGCTGATAGCCACTTTGCAGCCCACCACGCAGCGGCTGATAGCCACTTTGCAGCCCACCACGCAGCGGCTGATAGCCACTTTGTAGCCCACCACGCGGCGGCTGATAGCCACTTTGCAGCCCACCACGCGGCGGCTGATAGCCACTTTGCAGCCCACCACGCAGCGGCTGATAGCCACTTTGCTGAGTTTGCAGCCCACCACGCAGCGGCTGATAGCCACTTTGCAGCCCACCACGCAGCGGCCACACAGTTATCGCAAAAATTAAGTATCTGGTAGTGGTATCGCGACGTCAAAAAGTTCAGCCTTTTATCGCAGAGATATGGGTGAACTGGAGAGGAAGTGAGATTTCCATGCAGAATAGCACAACTTCTTGGTAAGTTCACGACTCAACAAACCCTTGAACTTCTTTCTCAATTTACCCGAAGAAACATTGCAACTGTAACTAATGTCATGTTGTATAGAACCAGTATCCTGTATTATAGACACAAATGTAACAACCGAGTTCGGCCCTAAAATTTGAAATTGAATTTATTCCTTATAATTCTTATTACAAATAATGCACCGAATTGGGTATACTGGCAAAAGGACTGGACGATGGCCTGATATAAAGTTGTAATTGTGCTGAGCATTCCTCCGGTTCACTTAGGGGTACACTCCTAAGCTCCTTGTTATGTGGTTGATTGTTACTCTTTATTGCAGTTGTGCACACAAGGGACACAGTATGATTTCTTTGTCTCCGAACATTTATAAAGTATTTATAAATAATGTAATACCTAATTTATTTCCTAGAACTATAACTTTTTTTTAAATACTACTAACGAAATACAAAATAGTTTTCAGTTGTGATGAATGATGATCGCGACTTGCTGAATTGGAATTGGAACTATTTACACATTCTCTTATGACTTCTCTACGATATGGCCGGTATCTTTTAAACATAAGGTAAGCCAGATTCTAGACATCCTAGAGAACATTCCTCCCCCGTTTGTTGCTTTCCCAGTTATGGTGTGAAATCTAGTTCGGTCATGTATTAGTAAGAGCCCGTTTGTTGGCCACCGCAAGCTTTGAAGCTATAGGAACTGCAATTGTTGCTTTACAGTATTTTGATGTGGTCACACACTGGCGTAACGTTGCCTGTTGCCCCCCCCCCCCCCCCCCCCCCCCAAGCGCCCCCCTGTTGGCGCCCCCTCCTCTTTTGGCGCCCTTCCTAAAATTGAACAAATTAGGTGATTTTAGAGGATACGCCGGTAAAATCTCTAAAAAATTGTGTTTCTAGATCAAAACGCGCAGTACCTCGGTTAAGTTTTTCAAAATTGTCCCGCATTCAAACGACGATTTGCCCCCCCCCCCCCCAAGATGGCTCCCCCCCCCCCCCCCGCACAGCGAGGCCTTTCGTTACGCCACTGGTGACACAGTTCATTGAGACAAAGCTCAGTGCAGTTACAGTTACACGCCCGTCTTTCGTTATTAAGCTCTTCAAGTTTGAAAAAAAAGAAACAGACATTTATAGTACTACTAAACATAACTCTAATTATTTTTTCCATAATTTTTATTTAAATTTCCGGTTTTCTCTTCAAAAAGTATAAAAAAATGAAAACGATACTAGTCCGAAATCCGAATCTTCAGTGTTCAGGAGTCTGGGCATTGGCAAGCGAATGGTCGCTTCCTCTCCATCTGATCCTGGAAAGAGTCGTCGAATTCTCCCCATCTGGATATAGCCATAGCGTTTTGGCCTCCATCTGACAGATATTTAGCGTTATCCTTGCCCGCTTTTTTCCTCCAGGGCATGTCCCAGGTATCAGCTAGGTCCCCATTTTGCCACCTCCACACTCCCTCTTCTTTCACGTCATTTCCGCCCAACCAGATCCAGTTGTTGGCATCCCAGGTTCCCCAGGAATCATCAGCGTCTCCGAGGAAGTACACCATTGCAGTCTTTATCTCTTCAACCTCCGCCGGGTTTCTGACCATAGCAAGATGTAATCCTGCTGCCTCACAAGCACTTTCGGCATCTTTCCAAGTCGATGGTTCGCTGGAGAGGATGTATTTTCCTCGGTAGTCGCAGGCGTAGGGATGTTTCCTGAACTTGAATGTGTCGTCCCACTTTCCCTCGTGGTTGATCCTCATCTGGTTCTGGAAACACCTGGGGTCTTCATTACAAGTATTGGCACCCCCTGACAACCCCTTTATCTTGCTTCCTTTCTTCATATTGTCCTGATCAGGTTGAGCCTTCTTCTCCCCAAAGTTCAGCCATTGTTGAAATTCTGTGGGATTGGTGCCATCAGCCCACTCCCATTCCAAAGGAGTGTAGTCCCCACGCTTCACCTTTGTGTCCTTGGTGTTCTTGGTTTTCCTGAGACCAGCCCAGACCCACCGAGTGGAGCCCCACTTGTCTACTTCAGGATCTGCTACCGGGTACGCCAAATCTAGAAGGACTTGAAGTTCTTGGTTCTTCTCATCGTTGTTCACTGTCACCAGATTTCCTTTTTCAGCTCGCCCGGTACCTATTTCGAAGTTCTTGCAGTGCTCGTCTGCTACGTTGTAGTCAACCAGCTCTTTGAAAAAAACGATTGTGCATGTTGCAATCGCTGTTTGTTCTCCTTTTAAAAGCTTTTGCAATCCCTTAATCTGAGAAGTTTGTAACTTTTAGTGCATGGATCTGTTAAATTCAAAAGTTCAAAGAATAGCTTCGATTAATGTCTTACGATTCGGTTCAAACGATGTGGGGGGGGGGGGCAATGATTTTGATGAATGAATTACAAAAACCTGGCTTTGAGCAAGATCAGACAGTGCGGTAGCGCTTCCAGCTACAACGAGTAGGAGGATTATCTGACGGAACATCTTCAAACTCTCTCGGAAACAATTTGCTGACGATCGTTATGAAAATAAGGAACAATAGAAATGAGCTTAATCCAGCTTAGGGTGTTGGTAGACTCGTGACCCAACTAGACTTGGTTGACTAAGGATTAACAGATCATTGTTACACTTATATTATGAATATAATATTAATAAGGCAATGTATACGAGAGTACGAGCCTCTTCAAATATTTATATAACCAGGCGACTCACCGACTCTGTTTTTCCATCTGCTTTGTTCTGTACTGTTCGGCATTAAGTTAGGTTGCAAAATATTATATTTATAACAATTCAAACCCCATGAGGGTATGAGCAATGTTACATTAGCAAATTGGAATATAAATACTTAATAAATTCTAAAATTTATTACACAACTTTTTTATTAAAATATACCCAACGAATATGTACATCATTCTAACGAGACTTAGTATGGAAACATTCAAGATTATGCACTTCAAATATCAGGAATATCACCACTAGCCGTTAGGTGGAAATAAAATGTCTTTATGGCATTTTAAAAACATATTACAGTTGATAATTATCACTATTTCTAAATAGGGTAGTTTATTCCAAATTTTCGACCCACAAATCATAAATGCAGCATCTGTTCGTCTGAAATGAGGAGCAGGAGGAACTTTCAGCCAATAAAAGTCATCATCTAGTCTGAAGGTTGAACTATGTCTTTGTATATCTCTGGAAAGTAATTAGGATAATCTACGTAGGTGTAACCAATTTCAAACATGGCAACTTTTTGCTTTTATCTTTGTGAATATCCCTTAAGCCAGTCGCAGTTATAACGTGTCGAACGCGAAATATAATTATAGTACGTGTACCCGCTAATTATAGTACGTGTACCCGCTATGAGGTATATGTGGATTAAGCTTCCCGATGTGATGTTGCTCAATGGAGTACGTGTTGCCCTATATTAATCATAAATATAAACATTAAACACAAAACAGCAGCCCCATCCTAAGTACAGTAAAACCCCGATTTACCGCGCCCCGTTTTAACGCAAACCCCAATTTACCGCGATATTTCAGGGTCAATGAAGCTTAATGATAGATGAATGCCACTGTCATTAACGTGGCTACTGAGTGGTCACGGTTCTTTAACAAGCAAGATCAGGTGAGCAGCTTTTGTGGTTTTTAATGATGTAAGGGAGCACCTTCAAGTGAGGGAGCACCTCCGAGTGAGGGAGCACCTACCAGTGAAGGAGCACCTCCAAGTGAGGGACACCTCCAAGTGAGGGAGCACCTACGAGTGAAGAAGCAACTCCGAGTGAAGGAGCACCTCCCAGTGAAGGAGCACCTCCAAGTGAAGAAGCACCTCCCAGTGAGGGAACATATCCAAGTGAGGGAGCAACTCCGAGTGAGGAGGCAACTCCGATTGAAGGAGCACCTCCAAGTGAGGGACACCTCCAAGTGAGGGGCACCTTCAAGTGAGGGAGCACCTACGAGTGAAGGAGCACCTCCGAGTGAAGGAGCACCTCCAAGTGAAGGAGCACCTCCAAGTGAGGGAGCAACTCCGAGTGAGGGAGCAACTCCGAGTGAGGGAGCAACTCCGAGTAAGGGAGCAACTCCGAGTGAAGGAGCACCTCCGAGTGAGGGAGCACCTCCAAGTGAGGGAGCACCTCCAAGTGAGGGAGCACCTCCAAGTGAGGGGGCACCTCCAAGTGAGGGAGCAACTCCGAGTGAAGAAGCACCTCCGAGTGAAGGAACACTTCCGAGTGAAGGAGCACCTTCGAGTGAGGGAGCACCTCCGAGTGAACGAGCACCTCCAAGTGAGGGAGCACCTCCGAGTGAGGGAGCACCTCCCAGTGAAGGAGCACCTCCAAGTGAAGGAGCACCTCCCAGTGAGGGAACAAATCCAAGTGAGGGAGCAACTCCGAGTGAGGAGGCAACTCCGATTGAAGGAGCACCTCCAAGTGAGGGACACCTCCAAGTGAGGGGCACCTTCAAGTGAGGGAGCACCTACGAGTGAAGGAGCACCTCCGAGTGAAGGAGCACCTCCAAGTGAATGAGCACCTCCAAGTGAGGGAGCAACTCCGAGTGAGGGAGCAACTCCGAGTGAGGGAGCAACTCCGAGTAAGGGAGCAACTCCGAGTGAAGGAGCACCTCCGAGTGAGGGAGCACCTCCAAGTGAGGGAGCACCTCCAAGTGAGGGAGCACCTCCAAGTGAGGGGGCACCTCCAAGTGAGGGAGCAACTCCGAGTGAAGAAGCACCTCCGAGTGAAGGAGCACTTCCGAGTGAAGGAGCACCTTCGAGTGAGGGAGCACCTCCGAGTGAAGGAGCACCTCCAAGTGAGGGAGCACCTCCGAGTGAGGGAGCACCTCCCAGTGAAGGAGCACCTCCGAGTGAGGGAGCACCTCCAAGTGAGGGAGCACCTCCGAGTGAAGGAGCACCTCCGAGTGAAGGAGCACTTCCCAGTGAAGGAGCACCTCCGAGTGAGGGAGCACCTCCCAGTGAATGAGCACTTCCAAGTGAGGGAGTACCTCCAAGTGAAGGAGCACTTCCGAGTGAAGGAGCACTTCCGAGTGAAGGAGCACTTCCGAGTGAAGGAGCACCTTCGAGTGAAGGTGCACCTCCGAGTGAGGGAGCACCTCCGAGTGAGGGAGCACCTCCGAGTGAAGGAGCACTTCCGAGTGAGGGAGTACCTCCAAGTGAAGGAGCACCTCCGAGTGAAGGAGCACTTCCGAGTGAAGGAGCACTTCCGAGTGAAGGAGCACCTTCGAGTGAGGGAGCACTTCCGAGTGGAGGAGCACCTTCGAGTGAGGGAGCACCTCCGAGTGAACGAGCACCTCCAAGTGAGGGAGCACGTCCGAGTGAGGGAATACGTCCAAGTGAGGGAGCACCTCCGAGTGAGGGAGCACCTCCGAGTGAAGGAGCACCTCCGAGTGAGGGAGCACCTCCGAGTGAGGGAGCACCTCCGAGTGAGGGAGCACCTCCGAGTGAGGGAGCACCTCCGAGTGAGGGAGCACCTCCGAGTGAAGGAGCACCTCCGAGTGAGGGAGCACCTCCGAGTGAGGGAGCACCTCCGAGTGAGGGAGCACCTCCGAGTGAAGGAGCACCTCCGAGTGAAGGAGCACTTCCCAGTGAAGGAGCACCTCCGAGTGAGGGAGCACCTAGTCCGAGTGAAGGAGCACCTCCGAGTGAGGGAGCACCTCCGAGTGAGGGAGCACCTCCGAGTGAAGGAGCACCTCCGAGTGAGGGAGCACCTCCGAGTGAGGGAGCACCTCCGAGTGAGGGAGCACCTCCGAGTGAAGGAGCACCTCCAAGTGAGGGAGCACCCCAAGTGAAGGAGCACCTCCAAGTGAAGGAGCACCTCCGAGTGAGGGAGCACCTCCGAGTGAGGGAGCACCCCTCTATTATTTATACCTGTAACACGTCATAGTCCACATGTTCCACTATTTCACACTTATAGCATAATGGCAGGGTGAGATATTGCAATCAGCTGATTGTCCAAGGTCTGATTGTGAGTTCTGTAACACACTGCTGCCCCCTCTCTCCTCGCCCTAATGTCACACTTCACTGAACTCTAGTATTTTGTCTGATCTTCTCGCTGCTCAAACTGACCGAGTTTGTCCCTGATATTCAGTAACTGCTACTATATTCCATGCACCTGTTGAAGCATGTATCTGAGGCTGTCATAAATTCACTGGGATGTACAAATACAGTCTGATCTAGGGATTTTATTACAGATAACTGCTAAATTAGCCATTTTGGAATTAACCATCCGATTTTGTCAGAGATTTAAGTGCTCCACCAAAGCTCGAATCGTGAGTGAGCTTGAATTTATTCATTTGTACACATAATAACACATTCATATAGTTCGCACCATTAGTCTGCACCATTGAATGACGCAATAGTCAGCAAATTGATGATGTTTGACCGACAAAGGGTTACTGTATCGCTTGGATCTGTAACAACCAGGTCCCTGCTGCATATGTCAAATGTTTAGCATATTATCGCATCTCAAATGTACAGTGAATGTAATGACATTGTGAGCATTACTAGTAGTATAACTGCAAACCTCTACTAATGTACTCTGAGGATGTGCATGCTCGGGATCAGCTGCTCTTATATTGTTGTCAGCTTTTTATAGAGTACACGGAAACTATCTGCCTTCAATACACGTCCAGTAATCTTACTCTCTACCCTACCTCTCTCTACTCTCCTAGTACAATCCCATTCTCACTGTCCTCTTTGTTACTCTGTCATATTGTGGATAATTGAACTGTGAAATCTCGATTATGAGATTTTGAGGTCGAGCCGAAGTGGTTTTTATTCAAATGCTGTCTCCATAATATTACAAATTGCATTTTGCTTTGTCTTTGCTGCGTCTTTTCATTGTCAGACATTAACTGTGCCAGTAGCTCTAATTTTCACGTTAAATTAATGATACATTTTCATTAGTGGTGGGATTCACTGCTTGTTTGATTGTTCTCCTGTAAACCAAGAAACCATAAGAATTGAGATAGATATAATGGTAAAGTTAGTATGATCGTAATTGGGCTGGAAAGTGTCCTGCATTAGTTGACCTCACTCGCGACTGTTGCGTATATATGATGTCTATTTCGCTGGATGCAAGCAGACTTCTCTCGTAAAGTTTTAACATGAATTAAACCACCATATTCACCGCCACTACGCTCACTCTCATTCATTCTAAAGCCCGAAGTACAGGTCATGTATCGAAATAGACATTTATAACAAAATATTAGATTAAATGTTATCACGCACGTACTCAAATGTAATCTCAAAATGTCCTGGTATGCTCTCTAAAACTGGTATTTTTGTTTTTACGAGGACAGAAGTTAAAACTATAAAGTAGATCATGAAGTCCTAGTATAGAGTGCCTAGTATAGAGTGCTAATCAAGCTATTGACTAGCATAGACATATCGACGAGAACTGACAGCTGTCTGGAATTTACGCACATTTTTACTGATCCCAAGGGATCCCAAGGGATCCCAAGGGATCGAATTTTAAGGTGGGATCAAGCTGCGATCGCCAGACAATCTGATAAAGCAATTATCAGTTCAGCTTGGCAAACCAATCTTTCATGCTTGTCATATCGATGGTAAAACTTATATCTGTATTACTTTGTCGGCACTTCATCTAATAATTTAACATAGTTTAGAACTGTAAAATCCGGATTGGAGTATTATTTATGAGTCGCATTGTTGTAATGTATTCTGGGTAAAATTATCTTTATCCCGGTTGTTGCGACAAGTAAAAATGCTCTTATTAGGGAAAGGAGATTACTCGACGTTTCAATGTAACTACATCGTATTCATGATCTCAAATTATTTGTTATATAGTAGTGTTGAAAGTATTACCCAGAATACATAGTTTAGAACTGTTCGCTTTAGAGAGGAAGGTAAAATTGCAAATTACACAACTTACTAAGTAAACATATTACATGATTACACAACATATTTAGTAAAATTAAGGGCAGATTTTGAAATAAAAGTGGGCTCGTGACTCATTACACCAGGTTAAGATAATTTGCCCCACCTCGCATAGGAGCAGGAAGTCCTGCATGCTCATTGGTGAGTAATTATGATGTTACCCCATCATTTAGTGATAATACTTATTTGAGATGTTATCAGCTGATCTCCACCTAATATTTATATGTCTCCGACCAGTTCATTTCGTTACATAGTTAAACGATCGTACAAATTTCTGATGAGATGTAGTAACCAATCTTAAATCTTAGTACTCTATCATAACCATCTGGTTCTTTACATTATCTTACTGATCGCTAACCGGCCAGTGCAGTAAGTAGTTAAATTAGAAAATTTCATAAAATCGTAGCTAAAGTAGAGCGCTGAACATGGTTGAGACGGCCACGTTCAATTGCTTCCCTGTGTTGGTTTATAAACCGTATCACGTGATCAGATCCCTGACACACAGTTGGCTGGTGACTTTAACAGAGTTGTGTAATTGGTCTGGTTACCAGTGTGCCCAGAGCAGGATCCCTCCGCTTGGTGTATAATCACAGCGATTACAGGGTCACGTGGCACCCAGCCAAGTTCTAACCGATGTACAGGTGGTCACGAGGTACTGGAAGAGCTCTCCTAGTGGAGGAGAGTCTAGTAGTGCCACCCCTGTCATCCGCAATCCCGTATTTAATTTACATCCATCATTTAACGGTTGAGAGAGTAGGAGTTTTGTTGTCGGGCATTTCATTTCCCAGATTTTCGGGGGGTTGAAATGCACACTGACTTCTAGTTCTAGGTTTTTTGGTTTAATATGGGGAGAATGGCGTAGCTGTCGAATCTGACGTTGGTCATTATTCCATACTGGTCGCGTGATCCTGCCTTGCTGTGCAGCTGAGCCGCAGTCATGTCATTATATATATTATAAACGAGTGTCATTTGCCCTGCCACTACGTTCGTACATTTCACTATAGTTTACCCTTCTAGCTACATTCCCATACGTTTTAATCATAGCTCTATGTTTGGCATATTTATCGCTTAACGAGTTTTTCTACGTCATTGTCCGAATTCTAGTTTGACACTGTTAGTTAGTTGGTAGTTACTGTTTGCTATTGTTTAGATTTGTGGGGAATTTGCCTTTCTTTCTACCTCAACCTGTGTTACATTATGTAACCAGTCTGGTAAACAAAGGATCCTGGCATCATACTTAACATTGGAGAATGTGCACCCTTAAGTGTATTTTAGAGACACAAATACCTTTATAATTATAATTGGCCAAGTAGTACACACTCAATGTTTTTGTGTCAAATGATGTACAATTCTGTGCACTTGTCCGGCCAAAACTCAAAAGCATAATAATATATAGTTACTCTAAACAACAACTACAAAAGCAGCGATAATCTCACTTGTTAACTCAGGAGGGTTACAGTCGAGTTTAACACTAATAGTGTAATGTCAGAGGACACAGTAGACGAACAAGCTCCCATCTCCACCAAGACAACGGTTAGGTTCATCTTACTGTCCTTACTGTATATATTCCATCTAATGGATACAGGTTTCACGACAGACTTATTTAGGAATCACTTGGCTTTTGTGATTTTGTATTATATCCACCCTCACTTAAAAATTTAATCAAAAACGTCCGTTGATCCAGGCTGTTTTTATAAGTATAACGTATTAAGTATTTCCCCCTACCCTAACCCCCTAGTTCCATAGCGGATATTATGCCAAATTATTAGACGGAGATCGTCAACTAATACTTTTTCGGATATTTCTCCGGTTTGCAGTTCCATAACCTTATCCGGAGACCATCTACGGTAATTTTGTTGATTCTCACAGATGAAGCAAAGTGCAAAGAAACTGCCACAAACTGCTACAATCTCCGTCTAATACAGTATACGGAGCCGGAGAATCATCACCGTAGAAATGAACCTCCGTCTAATAATTTGGCATAATATCCGCTATGGAACTGGGGGGTAACTGAAGACTATCCTGACACTATGGCCCAACTCTCATCATGCCCTTACCTACATACGATTATCGTTCTCCTCCCCAGGCTACATATGAGACCCTAGAGAATGCAGCTGACCCAGAGAATGAGGTTTTTAACCCCATATCAGATGAGGAGTCTAAAAGTACAACCTTCGGAGCTACCATGAACTTTATCAATGCTATCGTGGGTGCTGGAATCGTTGGTATGTATGTGGGATTAATCTGGACTATTCTGGAGACTTTTTCACATAATATTTGAATGAACGTTCTGGACCAGTTTACACTGTTTGCGTTTATTATAAGTCTTCTTTTTCAGCGATACCGTATGCGATGAAAGAGTGCGGTCCTATTATTGGATTATTCTCCCTAGTCCTCATCGGTATCTTAGCAGGTCTGATATCAGTTTGAGACTTAATCACTTAATTGGTAGTTCACTGCGGTTGTCGAGTAGTCGTTTATCTGCAAAACTAACATGATAACTGATTCCTGGTTGCCAATACATTTTAAAGATCTCACACATACTCCTTGATCCTTTACGAAACTGAAAAAAGTCTAGTTCAGTGCTGTTTCAGGTTACACCCTGATCCTGCTATACAAAGCCGGGCAGTGGACTAAGAAGAACAGCTACAAGGAGGTTGTAGCCGCTACGTTTGGGGAGGCCCTGGTGCCAGTCCTCATCGTTATGCAGTTCTCATTCCCTTTTATGGCCATGATGTCTTATCAGATCATTATCTCTGATAATCTAAGTACTATTATCAGGGCTATTGGTATGTTATTTTAGTTTTTAGTATTGGTAATTGGTATGTTTAACGTTAGCATTTTCCCATTCATAATCACCTCGTTATATTGGGCACCTTGTATGTAGTGGGTATGAATATCCCTCCCTTCATTATACCCTCAGACTACTCAGTGTTACATATCATCTACTCAGAAAATCTCTCAATTTTGGCTGATGAGGAGACCACACACAAGAATGTTTTAGCTAACAATGTCAAATACAAACAATAATCCCCAAATTTAACTCAACTCAATATCTCAGCCTGGGACTCGCCCTTAGCAGACAGACGACTTCTTCTTCTTATCTCAACAGTCTTCGTAGTCCTCCCTCTATCCTACTTCAAGTTCATACAGTCCCTCTCCAAGATTTCTCTAGCCTCCGTCATATCAGTCCTCTTCCTCGTCTGCACTGTCATCTACAAGGCTGCTACTCAGACCCAGTGAGTTTTATTAATGTAATTTATTGAGTTTCAGAAATATTACGATCGATATGAATTATCATAGATAGCAAGTGGCAATTGTTTTAATTTTGATGGCATCATACTTCCTGCAGACTGAGAAATTTAATTCTTTCAGCCAAACTAGTCCTCCGGAGTATGGTCTTGGGAATTTCGTGATTCAGTCTTGGGGAATAATCCTCTTCGGTAAGACTATTTACATTTTTGTCGTTTGTAAAACAACCAAGATCGTATAGTAAACTTAACAACATTTCTCAACAACCAAATAATACCACCCGAATTCCGAACACTATACCAACCCCCTCTTCCTAGCGTACGTGTGTCACCACAACAGTTTCCTGATAATGAACTCCCTGGAGGAGAGAACGGAGAAGAATTACAACATGGTTGTATGGACTAGCATCAGTGTTGCTTGTGTCCTTATGAGCATCTTCGGCATCTGTGGTTACATTATCTTTACTGATAACGTTATTGGTAGGTTCTAGCATCTAGGGAAACTTACTATCTATTTGAAATTTTGAAATGATTCTTTCTTTCACTCTAAAGCTCAATTTTTACCATTTCTAATTGCCCCTCCTATAGATGTGGATTCTCGTGGGGAGGTGAGGTACATTTGTTTACTTTTAAGGGTTAGTACCTGTTTAGCACAAGAAATAGGCGATGCACATGTTGAATTATGGAACATTTGTAACTCCTGCTACCCTGGCCCTCCTGTTACCCCCCTTTGAAGGTCCCGATTTATTTCCTGAACGAGAGCTTAAAAATAACCGAGAAATCGACCTTGTTATTAACTAATTTTGATGACTGTTTCTGACCTAAAATTGCACGAGAAATAGATTTGCACGAGAAATCGATTTGTCTAGGTCGACACGTACTGTAGTTCGACAAACCCTAAGGTTCGACTCTGTCGAACTAAAGTGCGCTACCTGGACTAAAGTTCGACACGTACTAAAGTTCGACAAGAGAACTTTGACTGTCAAACTAGATTTTGAAATCTCCGATCTCAAGCGACGATCCTTAACGAGCTTGAAATCTATTCGTTTGATTGTTTTCCACTTGCCTCATGCTGTCCAACTATTTTAGGTGGATGTTATCTCTATAATCAATATCTATGAAAATTTAATTGACCTCATACTCAATTGTTTGTAAACATAATTGTAGACTTAGCGGAGAGATAAAAGACTAATGTGGTAACTCGTACTTCGTTTTATAGATCTAGATTGTAGAGTACGCTATATAAATATCTACCACATACCACACTTTATATTATCACAAACGACTAGTAACTAACCGAGTACCGGTCTATACTAGAGATTTGGCTGCTGAACCGGAAACAGTCTGATATCAATCTATTATCATGTTAGCTAGACCAGAACCGGGTGGCAAACAGGAGAATTAAAACTATACTGAAAGGTTCTGGAATTTTTAACCGATGGTTGCTAGAATGTCAGAAAATTGTTTTATCTGCCATTGAACCCTGTGATCCTATGATGAGGACCCGGCAATAGCCGTTGGATCACAAGCAGCAACCATTTTTCGGACTAGAATACGCTACCTGGACTCTATTTCGACACGTACCGAAGTTCGACAGGGGTGATATCTGGCGAACTTAAGTTGTCGAACTAGAGTACGTGAATAAAGCTGTGGTAACGATAACAATGTGAACAGAGGGTCAAATACAGATAAAGAAAGTAAACATATGATATCCGTCTGCTCGCTTTTCCTGTTCGTGGTTGGACTGATCGGCGTCACTTGACATAACACCTCTATTACAATTGGTCGCTCGGTCAGGATCACGGAGCACACGGCTGCCTGTCGTTCAGAATAAATTTAATTCAGTTGTTATTATGATTGGTATGTGGTGTAGTATTGGTAACCTACCTACATTGTGTTTCTTTTGACTTTGCTATCGTGCTCTGCTCTGAAAATTGTGATAGTACCTGTTTGATTTGTTAAGGAGACGATCTCCTTGTTCTTTTGTTGCACTCATGCAGGATCAAAATGTTCTTCGTTTGAGTAAAACATGAATTTTGAGGGATAAGGAAGTGTTTGTGGGTTCTGAGACCTAGTTAAATCGATTTCTCGTGCAATTTTAGTTTGGAAACAGTCATCAAAATGAGTTAATAACAAGGTCGATTTCTCGGTTTTTTTAAAGCTTTCGTTCAGAAAATAAATCGGGACCTTCAAAGGGGGGTAACAGGAGGGCCAGGGTAGCAGGAGTTACAAGCGTTACAAGCGTTCCATAATACAAATTTTGCATCACCTCTCTCTTGTGCTGAACAGGTACTTAGTATCAAAAGTAAACAAATGTACCTCACCTCCCCACGAGAATCTACATTAATTCTTTCTGTTCACTCGCATACCCTTCACTGACCTCTCACATTCCAGGTAACATCCTCCAGAACTTCTGTCCCTGTGATACACTGGTAAACTTTGCTCGTGTTGCGTTCATTGTTGGGGTTGTTACCACTTTCCCTCTCGAATGTTTCGTGTGTCGGGACGTGAGTACTTTATATATTTATTCGAATAAATCCCCTCGTTTTTTTACAAAATGATATCGGTAACAATTTAGATATGAAATTAGTAGATTAACAGTTAATATTATAACGACTCCCTCCTTCAGATAATCCAGTCAACACTCTTCAACAACAGTCCTCCCTCGGAGCTACGTCACGCCTTGATTACAGTTGGTATTGTGGCCTCAACTTCTCTTATCTCTCTTGTCACTGACAAACTGGGACTCCTTCTAGAGGTAAAAGTCATATTTCACTTAACACTATATTGTTAAAACTTAAATGTTGCCGTTTAAAATAAAAACCGTTCATCCACTCTTCAACGTTATCACTCTCCTCTAGTCTCCATCTTACTTCATCGCATTGACTCTAAACAATTTGAACAATGGAAACTTTTCTCATCCCTATCACTTGGTAACCTCTTCTATTTCAGGTTGCAGGTATTCTAGCTGCTATACCCTACGCCTTTATATTCCCTCCCGCTCTCTACCTAAAACTGGATCCTAATGGTTCCAAGGCTCACATCGGCAAGATATCTGCCATTCTCATGCTCACTTTCGGGTGTCTTTTCTTTGTACTCGGCATGACAGGTTAGTTTGTTTAAGTCATCTCCTTTATTAATATTAATATTCCATTGTTCATTTTTATTCCAATATTGTACTTTTAAGTTCTCTCTGTGAGGTTTTTCTCTGACTAAATTATCCAAATATTCATTTGTATTTACTATTTAGTTGATTAACTCATCCAATATTGGTATATCATTTGACATGTGATTCAATATTTTCCACTTTTGTGGCATTTAAATGGGAAAAAATTCAAATATGTTTATGAATATGTAACAGCCAACTTTCAGTTTCCCAACCTACCGAATTATCAGTTTTTCAAACGATCAACTTATACCTCGCTGAAAGCAAATACATTTACAGTAGGGGAATTGTCAATAAATTCTCTGATTTACCTTTAGGTCTGATAATGAAAATAGTAAAGAACGTCTCAGAAACACCCGATCTAAGCTACTGTGTTGGGTTCTGTAACCGTACCCTGGCCGAAATGACGGGAGAACTCTGACGGTACTGCTGAACTTTAGATTGAGGAGAGGATCTAACGGATCCAGTCTTTAAAGCGATGATACGTGTAGCTGCTGTAATGTAGCAGCTCCATGTGTGGGGAACCCATTCTCCTTATAAACTAGAGCCCTCGCTATCAACCCTTGGAATACTCTCCACCTTAAAATTAATCCTCAATGGTATACCATTGTAATGCTTGTAAGCCTCTCATCGGCACAACCTCTCGAACAACTCCTGGTATAACCATCTGATCTACTAATATTACTGTGGATGTTTATTGTTTATTGTTTAGTAGCTAACGTTTGCTGACCCCTTCATTTACCTGCTTCGCTGGACGCTGATTATTCAAATTAAATTCTAATTTAAATTCTCTTTTGTGAATTTGAAATTTGTGTGCTTTTCGTAATCCTGTTTTTGCTTTTTATATTCAAGATTTTTAACTAATAATAACGCTTGTGTAATTGTACTAATTCAATGTTATCGTTGTAATAATTATTGATTCTAATTTATTTACAAAAATTGCTTTATAACTCGACTCCAACAACTGTAAATCTAACATAACTCAAATTAACAATCTAACCTATAAGACAATGACGTCACCTTTTCCCTGATCGTTTTTGGTTATACAGCGTTAAATTACTCAAATTTATTAGGTTGTAATTATATAATGTGCTATGAACAGAAAATGGGCAGTTCATGGAATACGGCGGGCTCACTAAACAACACATACAATCCTCTAACATCTTCTAAGATTTACTATTCTCCATCACGAGAAATTATTTACTGTCCTTCTCATCCCCTGAAGAATCACCCCCTGCTGCAGATATACCGCTGGAAGAGTCCCCGCCTGGATCGCCCCCTGCTATCCTCACTTTCTTCTTCTTGGTCTTCTTCTTCTTTTTCGGTGGTTTTGCTGTCGCCTTTGGTTGCTGAAGTGGTCAAAGAGGTATCATAGCTGGAATTATAATAATGTCTCGTATGCACTGTTAAAATATCTAGAATAACAGCTACACTCAATTCTTCTTTATTTAAATGTTAAACATATCGTCGATTTGTCATGAGAATTATCAACATGACTTTAAAATGGGCAATTGGAAATTCACAAGAAAAAGAGTAAATCGTGTTGTTTGTTGATCCTGGTATTCTGAACAGACCTTTATATTGTCAGATGCCATGAGCACACAGTTGGTACAGGCACAGATAGATCTATTACGGATCATCGCCTGGGTAAACTCGGTGCTAGGCATCATCCTGAAACACTTGACACACCTGAAATGGTTGGGACCAGGGTCAGGGGTGTATAATGTATATAATATGAGTGTCAGTGTCAATATAAATAAGGTTAGACCATGCAGTAGCTAGACCATACAGTAGCTAGACCATACAGTAGCTAGACCATACAGTAGCTAGACCAATACAGATATTTTTGCAGTCTGGCTATCAATTGAAGATTAGGAGGGGGTTGTTAGAAACATAAAACTGATACGAAATGTTTATTAAGGAGCTTTAAAAATACATGTGTTCAGCTGAAGATAGTTGGCATACCTGACCCCACCAAGAGGCTGGTCAGTTGTTCCTACACAGAGTACAAACTTGGGCACCAGATTGTTAACCTCAAACTTATTGTATGTTCGGAGGTCCTTGTCGTGGAAGAGAGCGTTGTAAAGTTCCGACGATATCCACCACAACTTGTCCTGTTGGATAGTCCCGAACTTGTAGTTTCTCCATAGTGTTATCAGAAACTTCTGGTATTCGAACACCCAACGCTGGCAGCTGCAATTTATTCATTTTGATTTCTAGTTTGTTTTGATGCTTCTTCTTATAGGGTAAAATTGTGTTAATGCCAGTAGCTGGTTAACTGAAAATCGTTCTGAGGTATTATCAATTCTTCGTTAAGTTATCTGCTAAAAAGCTAAAAGACGATGAAATCATGAATCGGGTTGGAAATCCTCTTCCATGAATAAACTAAATTCTTACTTATTCTCGATTCCATTTTTTCTACTCCTCCATGTTTTCTCCTCGAGCTTTTCCTCTATATATTTCATTTCTTCCCGTTCAGAAGGTTTGACGTAATATGTGAATATGTCATCTATCTTGAAGAGGAAAGTTTTTGAGACCACTGTCTTTGTTATTCCTCCTTTTTCCTGCCAGTTAGAAAATTGTTTTACTTAAAACATGGACCGTATTAAGCTCTACCCCGCCATTTATTTGTATATACCACTCAAGACGAAAACAGAATACTTTGAACTGAAAAACGTAGGCCGATGTTCGTTAAAAACAAAGTACATAACCATGATAACAAATTAAGAACACTCTCATACTAACAATCTTCTCGTGTGGTAGACCCTTGTATGTTTTAACTTTTCCCCTCTGCATAACCTCGATAATTCGTAGATCGAACATACCTGAAAACATTTTATAATTGAGCGTTAAATCAGCAGCTGAATTAAAACATGTTTCCTTAGAAAGTAAGATAAAGATAGTAACCATGATGCGTGATGAGTGATGCGTGATGCGTGATGCGTGATGAGTGATGCGTGATGCGTGATGCGTGATGCGTGATGCGTGATGCGTGATGAGCGATGAGTGATGAGACTTTAGCTTTATAAATATAAATACTTTGAAACATTAAACATGGTAATTTTTATGGTTATCAACATTTGGATATTCATGAAATATTCTTTTAATTCCACCAGAATATTATATTTCAATAAGACTTACTGCTGCATGGGCATTTTCCTAATTCATTTTTAAGGACTTGTTTGATAAGCCTCCTTACTTGCTGTTCTCCAGAATTCTTTTACCCGTCCAACTACTGACTTACTTGACTTAAGGCGGGTAGTATTCCCGAGATCCATTGACAACAGTTCTCCACAGCTTTCTGTCCTCCATCAGTCTAGCTATCTCATCTACTGATTTCAGCCCAGTATCTGCTTTTAGGTTATCTAGTAGTGTTAGGTAAGGTCGCCCCTGTTAGTATGCCCATGACTCGGCTTCCAGAGGATCAGTTTGTTCAGTGTCAGCTCCGGATGTCGGTGAGCATGACCTGCAAGTCTGAGCCTTCGTTGGGTTATCTTGGAGCTGACTTTAGGAAGATCACCGTACAGACTGTGGTTGCTGACATGGTCTCGATATTGATTGATGTTAAGGGCCATTCTTAGCATTCGTGTATAGCAACCATCAACCATCTTCTCCAGCCTTTTCGTCATAGTCCAAATCTCAGAACCGTATAGAAGCACCGACTCGACTAGTGCTGTGAACACTCTGGTCTTGATAGACTTTCTAAGGTTAGATTTCCAAAGTTTTTTGAGAGTGTGGCATGCTCCCCATGCTCTTCCTTTCCTAACTCTGATATCGCTCTCACTGTCTCTGATTCTAGAACCAAGGTAGGTAAAGTCTTCCACGTGCTCTATTGTGTTGTTACCCAGGGACTTGATGGTATCAGGGTTCTCGATGTTCTGAGTAATGAATTTGGTTTTCCCTTCATTCATTTTAAGTCCCACTGTAGCAGCAACTCTTTCTACCTCTAGCATCAGCATCTCTGCCTCCTTTACAGTATCTGCTATCAGAGCAATGTCATCTGCAAAACCAGTGTCTGTTATCTTCTCCGCCTTGACTCTCCTACTCCGATAAGGCTTAATGGTAAATCCTATTTCAGGATGCTTGCTTAAGGCTTGTCTCATGCAATAGTCAAGGGCTATAATGAACAAGTATGGTGCTAATGTATCCCCTTGAAGAACTCCTGCCAGGATATCAAATAGCTCGGTATCCCCATCTGGTGTTATAACTTTGCCCTTCGTGTTGACATAGAGAAGATTAATGATATCTACAATACTGTCCGGTATTCCATAGGCCTTTAGTATTTGCATCAAAATTCCCCGGTGAAGTGAATCAAAGGCCTTCTTAAAATCAACAAACACCATAGCTACCGGTAAATTTCTCTGTCTAGCCCCCTCTAGAATCCTTCTGAGTGCCAAGATGTGACTAGTAGTGGACCGTCCTTCCCGAAAACCATTCTGAGTGTCCCTAAGTACCCCCTCTATAGCCGGCTGGATCCTATTAAGCACCATTCTATTAAGAGTCTTAGCTACGAGAGAAGTCAAAGATATCCCCCTCCAGTTTCCAGGGTTGGTCAAGTCTCCCTTTTTGGGAACCGGGATGATGTTACTTATCCTCCACTGATCTGGCGCAATACCATCTGTCAGGGCTTTGTTGCAGAAGGACAGCACGATTTCATCCAGGTCGCATCTTTTGAGGACTTCAGGTGGTATGCCGTCATCACCTGGTGTTTTACCTTCTTTTATCCTGTGTTTAGCAGCTTTAAGCTCATCCACAGTAAAAGGTTCTGTACTGATGTTGAGTCCTTCAAATTGAGTCTCGATCCTAGGATGCTCGTTTTCCACATCCGGTATACTCCCTAACAGATTCGTGAAATGCCCAAGCCAATTTTTCTTCCTTTCTTCGGCTCCGTTGCCCCTTATTTGAGTTGCCCCCTTGGCCTTCCTGCCAGTTATCTCATTTATGACATTCCAACTTTCTTTGTTTTTGCATCTGTCTGCAGCCATTTCGACCCTTCTAACCTTGGCAACTAGATCTTCTTCAAAGATGTCCTGGTACACCTGATCCAGTTCAGTTTTTAGTAGCTTAACAGACAGTCGACTGTCTTCACTAGGATCCCGGTGATAGACAGTCTCTGCTTGCTGCAAGGCTGTACGCACGCTTTGAACTCGCTGATCACCCGCGAAATCGTCACGTCTCTTCTTTTCTCTCTTAGGCAGTATGGCTTTGTTGGTATCAGCAATCGCATCAACAAAATGCCCATACAGTTCCGTAACCTCACTTTCATCGGTTTGCTCGCATAAAGCAGAGTACCGATTCTTGACTTCTACAGCATATCTCTTCTGTAGGTCTTCATCCGATTTAAGTGCTCCCCAATTATACCAGGTTTTCTTGGGTTGCTTTTTTGCTCGTCGAAGAGATAGCTTGATCTTAGACAAAACAAGTCTATGATCAGTACCCAGTGTACTAAAGAAGCTGTAGACTTCAGTATTTTTGACACTGTTCCTCCACTTCTTCCTCACTAGAATAAAGTCTAACTGAGACTTATTCAGGGTTCCATCCGATAGGTGAGTCCACATCTTACCCCGCTTCTTTCTGAACCTGGTGTTTGTAATCTCCAGATTACATTCCAGGGCAGTATCCCGAAGCAGCTCCCCATTTCTGTTGGTTCTCTCATGGAAATACCAACCAAAGTCATTCTCGTCCCTCTTTGAAAGGTGAGCGTTAAAATCCCCAATCACCTCCAAGAAGTTGTGAGCAGGGATCTGTGAGACTGCACACCTTAGATCGGTATGAAACTTCTCTGCTGCTTCTACACTATCTGCCTCCGTAGGTCCGTAGACACAGACGAAGGTTGGTTTAGGATTACCATTTAGAGATATCTTAAGGATTCTCTCCGTTACTGGTGTTATCTCCGTAGTTGCGTCAAATGCCTTGCTAGTTAGGATGAATCCCACTCCGCCCACTGCTGCCTGGGCCCGATTCCTAGTAGCTGATGAAGTAATTAGATAGCTGCTCTTGCCAACTCTCTCTACTTTGACAGGCTCTTCATGGACTATCCTGTGCTCTTGGATACCTACAATCTCTGCTCCACTCTTCTCGAAAAGATGTACCATCTCCAGTTTCCTCTGAGCAGTTCTTATCGTTCTAGTGTTAAGAGTGCCTACCCAGGTTATGTCGGTACATGAAAATAAACTTTTTTTGTTGTTTTCGTTTATGTTGGGTGTTTCAGGTTGATTAGGCTCATCATTCACCAACCTTCCATTCGGATTTAAGTTGGTGAAATCATTACCACCTTCACGTCCAGAAACAAAAGTAGGGGCTGATACCCTAGTGCTGTAAGAACTATTCATCATGTTTCTTTTCTGTTGGCTATGTGACACGTGAGCCACCTGCGCCACTGGAATGGCTCTCTTGATAGCTACTTCATCAGTAGATGTTCCCACATACAGTAAATAAAACGGAAAGATGACAGATGGTGCTCCCATAGTTCCGGAATCTGTTACATCTTCATTAACCCAAATCACCATCATCACGAGCTTGTTCTGAGGATGCCCGGCTTTTTTTCGGGGGTGCACCCCTAGATCCGCTGTGTTCAGTTACAACTCCATCGCTGAAGTTGCATGCAGCCCCACCTCGAGCAGGATGTGGCTCTTCACCACGCACAGACGGTCTGAATGTACAGAGTTGAATCTGCAGCATCCTAGGTTTACCCGTAATAGAGCAAAACCTTTGGGGCCATACATTGTACATATTTGTATTAAGTTAATGGCTTAGGTTGTGCCGGGAAAAGAAGGTGGAGGAAGCGATTTGAATACAGTTTAGGTTATTATTAAAGAGAAAATGCTCCGTAACCTAAAACTAGACCCTCAATTCGACTTAACTGTAGGTTTCTTCATATTGATAACGGGTCGTTCACATATTACGTAATCACTTTTTGGACAATGTTTACCCCCCCCCCCCCCCCCCCCCATAATCAGTTTTACACATGTAGCTATTGTGTCAAAATTACACTAGCTTAATCATTTGGAAACCCCACCTCCCCCCTCGGCTGATTACGTAATATGTGAACGACCCCTAAGGTAATCTTAAACTTCCCAGATTTTATTCTTGTTGCTTTCTGCATGGTCTGAAGGCCATGCTAATGTAGTATTACAACCCCTGCTCCCACTAGATGATAATGACAGGGACTACAGCTCTGCTCCTGTTCACAGTCTGCTCTTCACTCCGACTACATGCTACTCAACTACCTTGCAGAGAGGACGATGTGACCTGTCAAGATGGTACTGAGTGTATTTACACCGGCTTCTGGTGTGACAAGGACAAGGACTGTTCAGACGGGTCTGACGAGGCAAATTGCAAAGCTTACGTCTGTTCAGAGGGTTTTTCCAAATGTAAAGATGGCCTGCAGTGTATATGGACCGGGTACATGTGCGATGGTAAAACAGATTGTTTGGATGGATCAGATGAGGCCTATTGTGAGAGGTACGATTGCTCTGATGACATGGTAAAATGTAAAGATGGCCTGCAGTGTATCGAGAAAGTGTGGCTTTGTGATGGTTTGGCGGATTGTTATGATCAATCAGATGAGATGAAATGTGGGTCTGCGGGGCACTTTGTTACGCCACTGGCATAATGCTACATCTGCTATGAACAATTGTTTAAGATATTCATATGAATTTGATATTTTATTAATTGTTATGTACATTTAAAAAAATTTCAACTTAAAGAACAATCTCGACTAACGATATATCGTAAAGATACGATAATAGTAAAGATTTCAGTATTAAAAAATCTCGCCCATTACCAATGTAGAGATTTCATTGTAAAAGTAAAATCTCGCTTTACCTTTGTATAGATGATAAATGATCTAGTATATTATTTAGTCACGTGATGTAACAGCTCACCTTTGTAGACGAAGCCGTGGTTGTTAGTCAAACAATCCTTCACTTCCCTGGTATCGAATACCACTTTCTCATTGTACGGGATCTCTAGAAAGTCCCTCATGCCCTGTTGACGATCAATTATTAGGCGAATATCAATTGTCCCGAGAGATCAGGAAAAAAGATGGCGTAAATGGCCGAGTCGCCCCTACTCCTAGATTATTGTACATTTTTGTATGGTGGGAAATCTATCTATATTTTTAACTAATAAATAGTTGTTGCTTGGTTTCCCAAAGAGAGTGCTCAACTGTAGTTAAGCAGGAGCGTTATAATTCGAACAATTGGAACAAATTAGTGCACTGATGATTGGTATTGTTTTATACATATCATGAAACGGATCATTTGCCCGGCAATATATATTAATATATATTAATATTATTATTATATTCTTAACTATATCAATATATATTAATTTTATTATTATATTCTTAACTATATTAATATATTATTGATATTATTATTATTAAATTAATATAACTTGTAGCTGAACTGCTTTTGGGAGTTAAACCCTATTTGAAAAGTTTTCAACTGTGTAATTGCATACTGTGCATACTGATAGTTTGGACTGTCTCCTGATTTGTATATCTATAACAGTATAACGTAGGCCGACTATATTGACACACTTTATAGTTCGTGGGGCTACACATAAACGAAGGCAAGACCAAGGTTATGACATTGAATATGGAGGATCGATCTAGAGCGACCTACGAAGTCGATCCGGGGAAGCCATAGAAAATGTGGATGATTTCATCTACTTAGGATCCTGGATTGAGAGCACAGATAGGGAGATAAGGGTTAGAAAGGGAAAAGCGTGGGGTGCCCTACATAGACTGAAGGATATCTGGAATCTGCATCAGACATCCTGAGCTACTTGCCAATGATTTAGTCTTATGGGAACCTAGGTATGCACGGTAGAGCACAGCAAGGCCGACCAAGACAAAGCTACTTGTCTATGTTACGGAAGGAAGTTGGGACAAACTCTAAAGAGGAATCAGGAACTGCGAACCATGATGCGGGACAGGGATATATCATGGAGGGGGTTATCTGGCGTAGATCGGACTTAGTTCCGACATAGTAGTAGTAGTAGTTTATAGTTCTGTGCAGGATGTTAACTCTTGGTCAGCCAATAGCTTTCTGATAAATTGTAGATTAACCTATTTAAGCCAAGAGAAATACTTTAAATAGTCCCCTGCATCCGACCACTGCTGATCACTGCTGATCAGTGATCACTACTAGCTCACTGTTACAATATAATTCAGTAAAATAGTGCGGTCAAGTAGTATCTTAAACACACCAGCCTCGAACCTTTAAATATTTAAATAAAAAATAATGGAGCTCTCTCGATATTATTATAATGTCGTAAATATTCGATAGTCTTGTGAGTATCTCAATCATTACCTTGCTGGACTGTACTTTATAAATATTATGATAAGCTGTTGTGAGTCACGCGGTGTCTGTTTTCTGATTGGTAAAGAGGGAATTTTGCGACGTTTTATTGTATAATACATATTATGTATTATAAGCGTGACAAAGTAAACTATGTTTTGTCACGCTTATAGAAAGCTCCTTTCCATTAGTTGAGCACTTTGCTTAAAGGAGAAATAAACACCGTTGTATATTATGTATTATTTATTTCTCTATTGATGTATAGTCAAGACGTGAGTGACACCACGACTTCAACTTTAACACGACTTTCCGCGAAAACCGTGAGTGATATACTTTTGAAACTTTTTTGGCTGGGTCGAATGCTTTTATGGCCTTTTGGTCAGTATAAAGAGATACAAATTTGGCCAAGGAATAAATAATTTAGGTCCCGAAAAATGGACCCCCAGCGTGGTGTCAAAATCACAAATTAAATAAATAACATTGTCTAATTGCTTAATGTCTTTTGACACCACTTTAGAGAAACACGGGTTCCTGCTAGTATTCTTCTAGCTGAACTGCTTTTGGGAGTTAAACCCTGGTCATACTGTGCATATACTACGACATACATACGTAATACGTTTTAGCATGCAAATGTAAATCGTTTTACTTGAACTTCAGAATTAAACATTTCCCCATTTTGATTTAACAGCATATCCACAATGCACAAAGTGGAAATTGCCGTCGCCGTAAATTACTATTTAAACAGTGTTTCTGATTGGTTAACTGCAATCCCACTTGTAAATTAACCCTCAAAATCATTTTTCCGAATGCCTCGAAATTTACGTATTTACGACTGTTATTCTGAACCACCGTTTAATGACGTTACCGTGGGGAGAAGATTGGAATTTTGATTTGGGTTTGGCAAGACACGTGGGTCGGTAAAGCAGGAGCGTTAGATTGAAAACTGGTTAAAAAATTAGCGGATTTTCAGTTAAAATTTGAGGACTAACGTTGAGGATAAACTTGGTAACTGAAAACACAGCAGAGTCTGGGGATCTAACTTTCATCATTTTGTCAGGAACAAATTTAGGAGGAGCTTGGGCAAGCTTTGGAGTTTGATTTCTTGATATCGTCAATCCGTTTAATTAACGTGGCATCTTCATAATACAGCTACGAATCCTACCACTATTTCTACCTCTACCACTGCACCCAACTATTTAGTCAAATGCTATTTATGGGTCGTCATTTATCATTAAATAAATAGTATCCCAAGAATAGCATTTGATTCGTGATACTGGGCGAGAATGACGCGGTGACAGTTACCTGGGATTAGAAGTGACACAAATTAACGACAAGATGACAACATATAAAATGGTTATCCCCCTTTTAATATGATCAGCCTCCTCTATTTTGATTAATATTTAAAGAAGGGGTTGTGAAATGCAGTGAATGTGCTATAATCATAAATAGTGTGAAGGAGCGTCGTGGGGTGATATTGGCCTTGATAGCGAAGCATCAGCTAAATTATTGATACCGAACCACGATTTTGTTTCACAGAACCTAACCGAACATAACCTAACAGAACGGAAATTCGGTCGTTTCCCAACTCCCATTAATCAGGCCAGATGTGAAGGTCGCACAGTCCGATATTACTGCAATAACTTAATTAATACTATACTATTTTACGCTAGTGACCTCTCTGCTGCATTATTGGTTTGCACCAAGCAAAATAAACAGTTGCCTCACTTCAGACTAGTGATCAGGTGGGCCTGAATATATATTAATTACACCAGGAGCCACTTTTAAAATTATGTACCGAAACCTCAATGTATGCAATGGCAAGCATGTACAAAAATGTTTGGAGGTGTTCTTGTCTCTGACTAGTTGATGATCTTGTCGAATTCATATTTATTCGAGACCAGATGTGTTGACTAAAGACTTTTGCTGACTTAAGTTTTATTAATAAAAATAAAATAATTATTCCGTTGCTGCGATAATTTAATTCCAAAGTAAATAAACATTTAAGGCTTGTGATCTCTCTGCTAAGTGCTACATTATAACCAAGCAAGATACGCCCTCCCTAGTCCCTACACAAGTGTTTACTTTGTTTAATCAGGATAATGATCAGCTGTGATACTTTAATAGCATGGGACTAGGAGTCACTACAATATTGGAGGGTGTGACAATATTAGTGTGACAAGTTAATGAGCTGAGCTGAAACTGTAATGACATCAGTTTAGTGCGAGTTGTATCACGAACGAATAACGATTTACTCTCACTTCCCGTTTGCTGATGATCGCATTATTCCTCATGAATTAACGGTAACCCAGTTCTTGAACTTAATACTTGTCACCAGTCACTTCGACAACCCAATGACGTCTATTTATCTATTTAAAACAAACTTTAAACCGTCAAAATAACGTGATATCGTATTGATAAAATTAATTTGGGGTTATCATTTTCTGGACAGAATTAGGGCCAATTGGGGCAGGTCTTGAAACCTTCTTAACAGTTAGTATTAGTCTTTCAAACTGGGTGTAAAATGAGCTTATATATCTAATGCTAAGGTAATATATTCGAGATTTTCTTCAGAATTGCAATTACCAAACGTTGATATCATAAATATGGTTTAAATATTAATATTACATGACACTGACAGAAAGCATGAATATTTCTAAATTGTACAACTCACATTATCCCAAAGTTCATTCTCGAGAGTTATTAGATCGAAGAGGTAGGTTATACCATTACCTTCTGTCACCGCTATCAGCGAGATAAAACCTGGTGAGGTGGTGTTGTTAGTTATTATGGTGGTGCTTAATTATCAGCCGGTTATCACTTCTGGATATCCAGACATCATTTCAGAGCACTATTAGTAATATCTCACTTTCCAGGGTGATTATTGATTGTAGCATATATAGTACAAGGCGTTAAAGCTGCGTCAATATGATGCTGAAGCGTTCACAAAAATGTGAATCATATTAAGCACCCTGGAAATGGTTTCCAATAATGACTGGCAAAGATCACTGTTCTCAACTATGATCCTCTCAATTTTGTGAAGTCGCCTATTATATTAATATCGTGGGAGGTGGTGGCAGAGTTAAACTTTACTGTCAGTTCTTAATGCTTTCTTATGATCGAAAGAGCGTCGGTATTAGTTAATGGCATAAAACGGTTGCCACCCGACACATTACTGTCTCAAAGATCTCTTTGTGGCATTAATGAATTATTACGATTATATAGTTCGAGGAAGACATTGGTAAGAATGGTTTGGATAACATGCAGTAGATGCAGCAAGGATGTTTAGTTCATTTAGGAAGGTCATTGTGATTATGGGAGAATGATACCAAATAATGTTGATGGTTGAGATTAGAATAATAGTTTCCAATTTGTTAATCACCGCGTTTTATACTCTCAAAGTCGGTAAAATTTTAAGAATTTAATTTGCTAGACGTCAATAAGCGAGAAGTTTAGCAGTGATATATTTTCAGTGCGAGCTACATTGCACTGTAACGTGGAAGAGAGTTTGGCGGGAAATGGTGGTGGAAAGACACTGACCGTCTCTTGAGATGTTGTGTCCTCCGAACGAGACGAATATTTCTCTGGTAGCCTGCTTCACTCTCGGCTTCAGGTAACTGCAATGTTGTCAGGTATTAGTTTGGGTTGGGCGGTTAGTGGTTAGTGGGGCGGTTAGTGGGCGGTTTGGCTGGCTGTTAATGCCATGTTAATCCTGCCTAAGGTCTGTCTAGATTGAACACAGAGAGCCTGCTTGTTGGTGTAAAGCTGTCTATTTGAGCAATGCTCTGCGGCCGATCTCTGCAGTGTCTCTCCCGCAACAGTCTTGTCAATCAACCGTCATCCATATTGTGAAGATATAATGTTGGTTAAGCGATTCTTATTAATGTTAATATATTTTACATTTGTCTAAATGCGTGTTCTTGTAGTTTTAGGAATTAAGAGTTTACCGCATTAATGTTTTCGTTGTTTGTAACACGCATGTAACCATGTTCTCCCACTTCTTGTTTCGCAGGTTTTCAAGTTTGAAATGTTGGGGCTCGTCTTTCGTTGACTGACCTTTTCTTTGCTTGTCAACTTAATTTAATCTATACCCCAGCACTCCTTTAACAATTAAACTTGGCTGTAATTCTGTGGTGGCAGGTACAAATTCTAGATTGTACCACAATAGTGGTATAGTGGTACACCATAGCCAATAGTCATTTGCCACGTAACCGATAGCTTGGATTTTGTGATCATTCTCCAACCCGCGGACCAGTGTCGCTTTAGTTTAACGCATACAGCTGAACAACTGTATCTGAACACCAGTTAATAAAGTGATGTATTGTCCAATAATTTGTAAATAATATTAAGTAATAACTCACTGGTTGATTTTCTCGAAAGCCTCGATAACTCCCTCTTTCGTGTCCACGATAGTCATGCCGGGGTAGGGTTCGTCTTCGGAGGGTGGTTCAAATATCATCCACTTCTTCTCTACCTTTGATTGTGGCATGTAAAATGAACTAATCGGAGATTAAGTTATTTAAAGAAATTTCGGCTAACAGTATTGATTATTACTGTAGATAGATCGTACAATTTAAGTTGCGGGAATTAGAATTTAGATTGCTTGAAACACATTTCTACTGTTTTCGTACAAAATATTGATGAAAGTAGTTGTAAGTTGTTAAATAAGTTTTAAAACATTCAGCTTTAATCTGTACATACTTTTTCTATTTTATTGGCGACCGATCATCGCCACTTTATTTTCTAACGGATCATAAAACAATCCAAATCTTATTTACTGGATCCAGACTTTAACTGTCCGCTACTTTTGAATTAGTTTTCTATTAACATTTAAGTCTAGAGATAACTCTATTTTTAATGAAATAATTTTCTCAACTCTTTTTGTTTGTTATCTCGATTAACAGCATTTGATATTTTGTTGCTAAATTTTGCATTCATTGTGTTATCATGTTTTGTTCCCGTTTACTGTTAAAGTGTCTATGGTAATGATAATAATATGACCTTTTGGGTAAAGCGCGTGAAAAAGAGCTTGTGTAGTTTTTATAAGGTTCATTTAATTCTTAATTTAGCCAAATTATTGATGCTGAACACTCACCTTATTTAGTAATTACTCTGTGGTTATATAATATATAATGATGTCTTTATCTTTTTCAAACATATTAAAAAAACACTCTTCTAAGGAACTTGGTTCATTGGCGTGACATTTTTATGTCGCACTAAAGATTTTCTACATATTAAAAAACACTCTTCTAAGGAACTTGGTTCATTGACGTGACATTTTTATGTCGCACTAAAGATTTTCTACCATAAGGATGAATTTTGTTTTACAATCACATGCTATTCTTACCTAACCTCATTCATTTTCCGCGGACTTTCTCAATTGATACAACACGTGAGTCACAATAACATTTGATTATGTTTTTAGGACGAGAATAATCGCTTTAGTCTAAATAGATTCGCTTAATTTATACTGTTAGTCACATTATCTTAACCTAGATAATTCTAGTGCAAGTTCTTTGTTCTGCAGCGCACTCCATTAATTATCGTGGTAAACTTTTGTTACATCGCTACGAAGCGGTCGTTTAACTTCAAGTCTTTCATAGTCATAACATCTAAATGATTAAAACTGCCCCCTTGTCCAATCGCGCAACTAGACTCCGCAACGTCTACTTACATTAACTTTAATTAGTAGCTTTATATCTCCTTGTATGCAAGTATTGTTTCTACTGACCACAGCTTACCAGTTTTTCCTTGTTTCTTCTCCGCCGACTAGATCCACGTGATTTTCCCGTTTTGGAGGATCCGGCCCCGAAAGTAGACTTAGGGCCGGCGGAAGCTGTGAAGGTCCCTGTCCCGGTTGTGCCCGAGGTCGGGGTGTCGGTTTTGGTGTGTGGAGACATCGTGTACGAGGTTGCAATTAGCTCTTGTGATTGTGTAGAACCAAGTGACGTCTTTAGCTACCTTTTACATACTCTGCAATTAAATACTTGTTAGTTTTTAATTACCTACAGCACAAACCAGTTAGATCGTTTAACGATATCAAAATATTAAAGTTTCGCAACAAAAAGCAAACAACAGTGAACAGCTTACAACATTACATTGTGTACATGTAGACAGTGCTATAAAGAGTATTGAGATGCTTGGTTTATACAACTTATCTGGCAGATAGTGGAAGTTTCACACTTCTGATGGAATGATGAGGTCTGCAGTAATGATACAATTAATGTACCTATTTGATACAGTGCTGATGACCCAAAAATAATGCAGTGCTCATTTTATTACTGACATTATCTTTCATTGTATGGCTGACTACGTATTTTGATTGGGGCTCACTCGAAGGTTCCAACGTTAATAATGTTAATAAATTGGTACCTTGCGAGACATATTTATGTTTGACGTAACTCCGGTGACCTAAATGGCTAAATGATTTGGGAACGAAAATATGGGAATTTTCTTCCATAAACTGCCACATTTCGTACCTCAAATTCAATCATGGTATTTGGGGATTTTTTCATCTCCTTATTTTACAAAAATGAAACCCAATATTTGAGAAATTTGAATACGAAGATCTTCTCTGATCAGCTGTTTCATCTTGTAAACAATTTCTCGGGAGCCTTTGAAAGTTAGCCTCAACTTAACTTATAATCCTCCAAAGAGTATAGGAGACCGACAGTGTTTGTTATCTTCCACTAATCTCAAAATTTCATCGCCGTGGCCAATAAAGTAGTGACAGAGCTTGCTTATTTTTAATGGAACGTGTCCAAAATCATTTTTAAAGCAATTCATGATCGAATACTAGTGTTCATTAATTGTTTGATGAATCATATTTATAACTTACTTTATTGATAAGTACCATTTTAATATGTCTCGTAAGGTATACTATTTAGAACTGTCGTTATGACAACTTTCTGAATTTTAACAATATAGCAGCTTTTTAATGTATTCTAGATTGACCTGTATTGTCTAAAGTTTGCGATAATTCAAGACTAAGTGCAACAGTTATAATGTTATAACCTTACTTCGGTCATTTTTTGGGCGTTTTTACCTCTTAAGTAACAACATATATCTCAAATCAGGGGCGTTGTTACTCTTTTTCTATGGGTCGTCCTGATGCCAAATATTAAAAAATAAGTTTTATTTTGTTCATAGCATAAATTTAATCGTCTATTGAGGTACGTGACACGTACCTCAATAGACGATTAAACGTACTACGTGTATGTGTACCCCACAGCTGCATAAGTGTGGTATCCCTGGAATCGGGTATAAAGTTTTGATACACAAAGATCATATCCCCTGCGAGGTATGGGACCCATATTTCAGTTCCAACCCATCATAAATACCGCTCACATGATAATGGTAATGACTTTGAACACTCTCCACCTTACTAATGAAACTATATCAGCTATAAAATGTTACCTACCAACCGTTCTCATCTACTCAACTAGCAAATTGTCCCGAATTTAAGAGAGGCTAGTTAATAAATAAGGTGTGCACAGAGAGAGAGAGGTACTACTACTATTATTATAGCAGTAAGGTTTCTATCCTCCCGATTAACCGGCCTATTGGTTAGGTACTATCGCCTATTGAAACCATTAAAATAACCATAATAATAACTTTTCAATTTTATCATTGGACCTCCCTAGAAGTTTTCCCTACTCCCGCGGATGCAGCGAATTAATGTTTAATTAATAATTGCCTCTAGGCTGACTTAAATTAAAACCGATAATAATGTGAAAAAGTTGCTGTGAGCTGTGAAATGGTTTATTGGTACGACAGCATGTATTTTGTACGGATCTCTTAGGATCAATAAGGGTCTCTTTTCTGTAGGAGACCTTATTATCCCATTATCAGAACAAAGCAGAAAAGATCTGGTTCTAGTGTGGGGTAGTATTCAGTTTTGTCCTAAGGCACTTAGTTGGTATCTATAACTTTCCTTGACGATAATTGCTGCAAACCATTTAAGATATAGAAATTTGTTGGATTGTGTGTCTTAGTTTAACATGGTGTCTTGAATAGTTACTTACCAATTCCTTCTAAGTACCAGTTTCGTGTTTAAACTGTCTGTATATTATGATAACATCTGCTCTGTTTACTGTGTACTTTCTTATACTGGCCCCACGAGAGGTTCTGTAAATGGAGGTTTGACTGAACGTCCGAAGAACATCATGGTTTATTATTTCAAGTTGGCCGACGGCTCAGTTTGAGTCTTCATTTGACAGTATTGTGGCCTTCTCTGTTCATAAAATTGACAGTTGTGGCCTTCTCCGTCCCGAAACATGATACTGATAGTTGTGGCCTTTTCCGTCCCGAAGGCAAAAAATCTTCAGGCATTCCATGTACGAGGGCCAATAAAAATTCCTTCAGTTATTCCATGTGCGAGTGTTTAGTAGTCCTTCTTTCTTGGAGCCTAATGTAATATCCCTGCTAACCTGTCCGTGCAGATTTATGATTAATCATTCTGGTGTAGTTTAATATTGCAAATTATTCAATCACCCCGCACATGCATTTACTTTTCAGATTAACCCACGGCTGGATTCAAGGTGGATATTTTTCAAATTAATCACACCCCAACGCTTATTCCCAATAGGCAACCCAGTCAAATTTCGTGTTTACCGGCGCTCAGCTCAACGTTCATTCAATTATTCAACCCAGTCACATTGTGTCTTCAATGGCTCTAAGCAAAAGGAATACTGACGAATCTTTTTTGCCTGAAATAACCCTGTACTGGGATTAACGGTACGACGGTTATTGCTTATTATATATCTTCCTAAACCTTCTGAAAAAAATCCTTGTAGTATCAATTAAAGGGTTCCAGATCCCCTTTTACTTTTAGTTATAGTAGGTATTTAGTCTCAGTTATAGTTAAAATATTTGAGTGATTGATATCATTTCAGAGTTCAGATGAATCTAATGAACCTTAAGTTTTGTAATAGATATCCACCTACAAGAGCGCTGATGAGCTCCATTGTTATAAGCTTGATCTCTTATTGACAGGAGCAGATGATAAGTTGCTAAGCAACGCGGGGTGTAATGTCGTCATTGTGCACGTGACAAGCAATAACCATTAAACGTGCATTAAATTAGATTAATCTGCGCTCTCTTGACCATCTGGTAGCACGTGACCGGGCCTCCCAGCTCGGTTGATCAGCTCTCTTGGCGGCTAAATCCCACCCGCCTCAAAGTGTGGGCTCAATAAACGTGCTTTAATATCGGAAGGATGCAATGAGCAGTCGGGATACTTATCAGGTGGTCCTACCAGCGCCATCTTTTTTATTCTTTTCTATGTCCGATGCTGGATAAATGTGGTTATAGAAATATCATTATTTTTCATTAAATCTACTAGCCATCTTCAGAGCGGCACAGTCGGACTATATTGATGTAGCACGTACTGCTATATAGTGCAAGTATCGTGTTTAATAGCGGTCAGTTCAATTCGCTTATTGCTTCTGAGGGTCAAGTGGTTTTTAATCTGACAAGGGTGATCGGCTGCGGAAAACTAAGAGTGACCTTTTTGAGGGCTCTGCTAGCGTCATGATTTATGGTTTTTTCTTTGTACAGCTTTTTTGTTGTGGATTTTTTAATAGCTGATACACTCGAAGCGGATAGGTTTGCGTTCTGTGCTTCAAATTCTACTTCCAGCTCATAACTTTTTTCACTGAGAGAATTTTTTTATGGCGGATTACATGATTAGATGTGGCATGGCAAAATGTCATTTACTTATAGCCTCCTAGTAATAGCAATTTAATTTAATCAAGTAATGAGTCTGCTTTTAATCGATCCCCATTGTGTCTTCCTCGCAAACTTTGTCCTGCTAAATTGTTATTCTATATATATGTATAGTTCTGATATCTGTTTACTTGGTTAAAAATCTGTTTTATGAATAACTAAGTCTCTAAATTTTGCACAAAATATCACTGAAGTCTATGACTTGACTTTAAACACAGAAATCTTTTGTGTCGTGAATTAAAAAAGTGACTAAACATTGGCAAAGAATTAAAGTTGATGTCCAAGCAAAGCTTTGGCGGACTTAGGCGACAGCTTAATTGGTCATGTTGTCCAAATTAAATCTGGAACTCGCGTTGAAGATTTACAAACAAGATTAACAGATCCCTAATAGTTAAATAAAAATACTTCTGAACACTATTCCCGGGTACGTTCATTCCCTGACACACACCCAATTACCAGTCTACTCTTGTCGAACACACCCGGACACTTCCTCGCCATTCAATGAAGCTATTAACTCAAGGTATTTCCACTTTTTACAGTCCCATCAAATCCGCCTGATCACATCCCGCTGCCATTTTATTTCTTTACGGTTATTGTTCCGAGCAGTGTCCAGACTCGCAGTCACAACAGCTGTAGTCTGTACGTGACACCATGTCCAGTGAGGACAGATACCATCTCCCCCGAAACATGTTCCCGATAGAAGAGTTCATCTTTAAGAACCAGACTTCTACCCCCACCACATCCCGCCAGTCTGCTCCTGAGTCCTGCTCCTGCTCATGGAGTTGCTCCTGCTCCTTCTTCTACTCCTGCTCCGGCTCCTGCTCCTGCTCCTGCTCATGGAGTTGCTTCTTCTCTCGCGGTGACTAAACCGAAACGGGGCAAACCTCCCAGGTATAATTGCTATGACTAGCTACTAGTAACTTGCTCACTGTAACTACTTTATTGTCTAGAATCTACAGGTTCTCTCGGGAGCTGGAAGTATTGTCGATCATTCACAGAAACTAGAAACTTGAAGTATTGTAGATCATTACGCGGAAACTCATTGACTAGAAGCAAGGAAGATCATTGTCGAAACTAGAAGTTATTGTACCTGTAGAGTGTACACTGTACACCCAGCAGATCATTGTTGGGGCTCCTCCTCTATCGGCCCAGCTTATCACTCTTCCTCACTTCCTGTAACCCTGCTTACTCTTTAAAATAATCTTCGGGTGAAGACTCGGTAGAGTATGAGATTTTAGTTTCATATACTGTTAACGCTT